ATAGGCTTGATACAAGCAAGAGATTTGGCGACAATCTATTCAATACTTTAAAGTATCTATCTGACTACAACGGAGTCAATTTAGGACCAAGAAGTATAGGTCAAGTCAATAATAGTCGACGGATCATCCATTAGATGATAAAATAGACTGTGGGACATACGAAAGTACTCAAAACTCAATGTTCACAATACATAATTAAGACAAGTTAAGAGGTATGTTGGTGGAGTCAATTACATCATGATAGAGTGTTGTCAAGGAAAGAGTACTGACAACAAAATCACTTCGACTAGAAGCGGAGCCGTGGGCCAAGGTCCCTAAAGTGGAAGAGATATATTATCTTAGTCCATAATGATGACAGAAAATAACATACTAATACAAATGTAAGAATCTGCAGCAAAGGACAGCACACAGTAAGAGATGGCATATGGCAAGAAGGCAGTGTGACGGGAGGTGGTGCAGTAGGAGACAATACCACGAGATACCATGAGATACTGCGAGATATCTCGAGAGGTGGTGCAGTAAGAGATAATACCGCGATATAACGTGATATACCGAGAGATACTGTGCAATACCGCGAGAGCGAGAGGGGTCACAGTGGCAAGGGCCGCAACAATAGGGGCCGTAGTGGGAGGGGCTGCAGCAGTAGATGCCACGACGGCATGGGCCGCAATGGTTACATGCCAGTGCGCTAGTTACGTGCAGTGTAACAACAGATTTTGGTGGCATGGTTGATGGCGGTGCACAATAGAGGATGGCATGCAGAGAGAAAGAAGAGCACGTAGAGGATGCAGCAGCAGCAGCACAATGGCGACAACAAATGGCGGTAGTAGCACAATGGTAGTGGCAGCGGCTGAAAAGAACCAAAGGGCTCTAATACCATGTTGATAAGAAGGGTTAAATCCATAGATTTGATTAATACTAAATGAAGAATTATGTGTTTATATAGGTGGGAGATGAGAGGGAGATAATGAGACTAAGTGGGTCATGTAGAAGAGGATGTTCGAACATTAATATGTGTTATCGAGTTTGTCCCATATTTTGTTTTGTTGTACAACAACTTAAAAGTGATTAAATTCATTGATATCAAGAGCACGATGTAATAAGTTTATCACCCTAGTATTTAATGAAAAAAGGTATTATTAGATTTATATATATGAGATATTTTCAAATACCTATAATAATTTGTGTCATGAAAGAAAGGTGTAAAAATACAATGACTTTCAACTCATAAAATTCATGAGGTACTAACCATGATGATCTACTCAAGGATTATTATTTTTTATGATTTGAGGTTTTCTTTTATACTAGTTGTTAATCCTTAGATGACTAGAAATACGAATCAAGAGGGGAGGGTGAATTAATTTTTATATGTTAATTATGTTTTTTAATTTAAACTTTGTAAGTTATTTTCTTAAATTTAATTCAATGAGGATATAGGGGTCCAAAGACACTCGATGTCACAATAGTTCAACCAAACTATTTTGACCTCTGTCCACTTCTACAATCATAATTTCAATTCAACTATTATCTGGAAAATACAATTAATTTCGTTAGATTATGACCCTTACAACATAAACTCCACAAGTTTATTTCTCTTGCTTGTTTACAAAGCCCTCTAGCATAAAATTTGTTACTCTTTCTTATTAATTTTCTACACCCTCTAACAACTTGTTATTGTATAAACTTTCTAAGTCTATTCCTTTTCACTAACTTTCAAGCTCTCTAACAACCCTAATACCATAGACTCCATGAGTCTATAATCCACTAGACTTATAACTCTAGCTACCCCAATGATGCTTGATAGGTACTCCAAGAGTTCCTCTATGTTTCTATTCAAACACAACATCAATATTAAACAATATTTAACTTAGATGTAGTGTTGTATTCGTGTGAAGTGATGAAGCTCACTGTGGAAGAAGGGAGGATGTGAGAAAACTTTTTAGTGTATGATTAGCAAAAGATATTCAAATGTTTAAATGCTCAGTGGCATGGGCTGGAACTATATTTCAACCTAGATGGATTTTGCTTGGAAATACTTGAAGAATGATGATGAAAATGGATCTTTGAGGCTCTCCCTTTGATTCTAAACACTCCCTAAAAAATCTATGGTTTATTAGGCCAAATGGTTAGCTCAATAGTTAGTTGATAGGACCTTTAATGAACCCAAAATAAATATAAAATTATATTTTTATTTGATTTTAAATTCATAATCATTTCAATACTTTGAATTTTGACTTGTAATTTTTTGCATTAGATATCTCTCTAAGTGAGCTTTCTAATGATTAGTTGTAAGCCTATATTTTTGACATGTTCTCTTAGATAGAAATCATTTTAATAAGTTAGATAACAAATTTAGACCATTTTCCCTTGGATGAAATTATAAAGTCAATAATCTTCTAAAACCCATAAAAAAGAAAATTATTTGAATTTTGATAATATTTTTATTGCATTATATTCACCTTTCAATTACCTTTTGATGAGTTAATGATTAATATTTTTATTCCATTATCTTGTAAAACCCATAAAAATGGAATTCTTTTGAACTTTGATAATCTTTTGATTACATTATGTCATTTTGTGAATGTAATGATAATCATGTCCTTTTGTGAATGTAATGTGACTTAAATATGGCATTTCACACATTACTCATATCACAAAATTATCATCCAATTAAAACTTTATCATCATCTAAATACATTAAGCCCTTCAGCACCAACACATGATCCATCACACCAAGCATCATATATAGAATGCAACTAAATGTCAAAATAAAAATATTAGACAATAGTACTCAGAAATAAGTGTTTACTCTTTGCTACTCTAGTTATTGTGGCCATAAAATTTGTCATAAAAGAATCCTTATAATTGACCAAGGTAAGTCATATTTACTACATCAAGCTATGTACCTGATCATATTGATGGAATCGTTCAATCAATGAGCTATGAAGTTCGTTTTATCTTTAAAGTCATGATTTTAACATATTTATGTTCTCAACCTTCATAAGTGTATCGAATTAAATTTACCTCAGTACTGAACATACATTAATTGCTCCAGTAAATAAACACTGAATGCATATTAACTTGGGCGTTCATCTGCAATATCTTACTTTTTAGACATCGTCTGATACTCTACACCGGCGCACACAAATACATACATGGAAAGATGGATGATGGATAGACGAATATGTAGCTTCACAGTATTTTAGGGGTTTTAGAAACATGTTATAATTCTAGGGGTTTATATATAAATAGCTTCAGACAAGATTGTACAACGCAGTACACTATAAAGAAGACCTTGATAGGTCCAGTACTGGTCGTCCTCGTCCTCGTCCTCGTCCTTGACCCTCGCGTGGAGAGGTAGTGCAGTACAGTGAGCATCCATCCAGTACAGAAAAAGAGCCCCCCAACCTGGTACGACCCCCCACCCCCGGTGACCAGTTGTCACTTGGGGAGCTCCTCCGGCCACCTTCGCTTCTTCCTCCTTGCCCTCCGGCGAGGAGGAACTAAGCCCGGAGGTAGTACGAGTACGAGAGTGGAGAAGCGGCTGCCCGTACTTGGAGGGGGAAGCACTCCCCCCCCCTCCCTTCCTCCGCCATTAATAGAGAAGAAACTCCCTCGGCGGTGCCGGGAAGACCGGGAAGAGGGAGGGGGCATCGCCGGAGACCCGGGTTAAAGGCATCATTGAGTGCAGCGTTGATGAATCCGGCCGGCGGCGCCGCTCGTCCCTCCCCGCGAGGCGAGTGGGGAGAGGCGGCTGGGGGCACCGGCGCTGCATTCAATCATGTTTTTGAATCGATGGGTCGGAGAATCGGGACGAGTTCGGAGGATCTGGGGAGGGAAAGCAGGCGGCGGCGGAGAGAAGGACCGGGAGAGACTGGGAGCCTCGTCGCCGCCGTTCTCCCGTCCTGACAGGTCGGAATCTCTCGCCGGCGTCTTTTCCGAGTCTTCATTTTTCATTCTTTTTCAGAAGGAGAAGCTCTATGCAACCGACCGTCTCCCCTATCCCAGAACCCCTCCCTCAAGAGCGATTGATGATGATCTTCTGGATGCCAAATGCCCATCTCTCTCTCTCTCTCTCTCTCTCTCTCTCTCTCTCTCTCTCGGTATTTATTTATTTATTTTTCTCACAACCTCTAGACCCCCACAAATTGCCCATTTAGCCGGAATAAATTTCCCAGAAAATACACCCCACAAATTTTTCTTTGAAGAATTTCAGAGACTGTCACTTGAAAACGCCACCCCCCCCCCCCTTCCTTCACTTGAAAACAGAGAGAGAGAGAGAGAGAGACAGACAGACAGACAGAGACAGAGAAAGAGAGAGAGGGAGAGAGACAGGGAGAGAGACAGAGAGGGAGAAGACAGACAGAGACAGAGAGGTGAGGCATCGGCCAACCTGAGCAACAGTCAACTCAGTCAAGCTTCAAACCATGAAGCTGGGACTGCTCTGGAGGGCTCAAGACGCTGATGCAATTACGCCAGGAACACTAATTAGGGAAAGGCCTTGTCTGATCAAGATGCTAATTCAAGTAAATATGTAGACATAAATATTTCTCGCCACCCAAAATTTCAGACGAAGAATTTATTAATTTCCCCAATTCAGTAACTTGCGGCCATTAATCAGACTCAAATCCAACCCAGTTGACTTCCCCAACGGTCGGAGGCAGATGTAGAGCTTGGAATCCTCATTGAACCGAAAAGGCCAAATTTTTCTGGGTTTTGCATTATCTACTACATCGGTCAACCTCTCCATGGCCCCCGATGTCGATGGGCCAGGAGGGTCAGTCCATCTACCGTACCTCCGCCGCCTCTCTCATGGCGAGGTTGACTCCACCCGCCGTTCTCGAGTTGTAGGAAAGTCAACCGTCTAGATTGAGCTGTCAATGGTGTCTGGTTAGGGAGAAGAAGGGAAGGAGCAGATTTTGTTTCGCGCCGATTTCAAAAAGCGGAAGAAACAAAATAAATCGCGCCGCTGGTGTTAGGAAGATCCCCGCTGCGATTTCTCATGGCGAGGCGATGGGATAGAAGAAGAGGAAAAGGAAGATCACGGCGGCGGTGACGGTGGGGAGAACGGCGCCGCCGCCGCCGCCGGCCGCAGAGTCCTCGAGCCTCTCGAACTGGAGGGAGTCAACGGCGAGGGGCATGTTCTCCTGGTCGGGGCTGCAGCGATACTGCGGCTGCTTGCCGGTGGCGCCGCTGCCGCCATGGGGCGGCGGGAGGTGGTGGGAGCTGTACATGATGGCTCGGAGCACCGCCGATACGGTGGGGATGTACGCCGTCCGGTTCCTCGCGAGCAGCCACGTTAGCCCCATCAGCTGGCAGTCTCTTCCGAACATCCTGCTCGCCCGATCTCCCCCTCCGGCGCCGGCGCCGCCGCGCCCCACGCCTCCCCTGAGCTGCACCCAAAAACCCCCCAGAAAAAGGAAACTGTACTGCATCACAAACCTTGTTCCAAACTTGAATAATCTCCTACAAGAAGGGGTAGGTGGGTAGATCGGGAGTAAAGGATCTGGGCGTCTTCCAGCTCGTCCGAGGAATGATCAAGAGAGAGAGAGAGAGAGAGAGAGAGAGAGAGAGATTCCCTGAATTTATTTGGAAGGGCATTTATTTCAGACATCCGGGGAAACTCTCCCCAGATTCTTCCCACTGTTTCGGGATCCACAGGCGTCGACCAGAGATTAAATTTCCCTCCTTTTCCATTACTCAAAGGAAACGAGCTCGACGCCGAGCTCGGCCGCAAAACCCAGACGGAAAAGAGAAACACGAACGGGAAGAGTCCGAAGGAGCGATCGAGGTGCAGATCAGGAGGAAGAAGAAGAGACAGGTGGGGAAGAAGAAGAGGAGAGGGTAGTACCATGTCGAGGGACTGGAGGCAGCGAGTGCAGCCGGCGTAGGAGGAGTTCCGGCAGCTCTTCTCGAGGTTCCTGACGGCGGCCGTGGGGGTAGCGTTCCTGTACAAGGAGGAGGAGGCCGGCGGCGCGCCGGAGGAGTCGGTGGAGGGTGTGGTGAGGTTGAAGGCGGCAGGGCAGCTGAGGGAGCCGATCTGGTGGAGCCGGATGCCGCAGAAGCAGAGGACGGCATCGCAGCTAGCGTTGGGGCGGGCTAGGAAGATGTTCCTGCTCTGCAGGGAGCTCTGCAGGGAATCAACGCACTTCTGAGAGTCGTCCGGCATCATGGGCATCTCAGAGCCGAGCCCTCCGCCGGAGTCCTCGTCGCCGCCGTCGTACGGCGGCGGCGGTGGCGACGGGAGTTGGAGCGCCGAGCGGGCGTGGGCGGCGAAGAGCCAGGCGGCGAGCACCGGGCAGCAGCGGCCCCGGTCGAGGTTGCGCCCGCAGGCCTCAGCCACGCCGCCGAAGAGCTCGTCAGAGAGGTCCAGATGGCACGTCTGGTTGCTCTGAGCCTGCACCACCGGGAACGCCGGCACCGTGCTCCCCGTCGAGGACGATCCCTCGCCGCCGGCCACCGGAGCGGCGGTGTAGTCCCCCGGGTTCAATGGCTGCTGCTGCTGCTGCTGCGGCTCATAGTGACCGGCGGCGGCCGCATACAGAGAGACGACGAGGAAGAGAAGGAGAAAAGGCGAGACTGCCAGCGAGGAGGTCATCTTGGGCATCTGGAGCGAGTGTGGAGCTTCTAGAGAGGGAAAGCCTGTGGAGTCCCACACATGGGAGGACGGGAAACCCTAAAAAGTAAGGTAAGGGGAGTTGGCAATGAGTGCAGAGAAAGGAGCTCTGTGGAACCCTAAAAAGTTGCAGTGCCTTCCTCTGCAATGGCTTCTCCTGCGTCGCGAAACAGGGTCTTCCTCTCCCCCGCCGGCCAGAGAGCCCCAACGGGCCGAACGAGAGAGAACTTGCTGCGGCGAGGAAGGAGGAAGAAGCTGATGAGGGTGACGCCGATAGGAGAAAGCCTAGCAGTTGGGCCAAACAGGCCCTCTTTTGTCCGTTCGCCTGTCAACCCTCCCCCCCCCCCTCCCTTTTCCTCCGGCAACTTACTCTCTCTCGCTCGCTCTTTCTCTCTCTGTGGCGGTGGGTGTCGCTAAGTGGGGGCGGCCGGCGGCTTGTTACAGTCCTGCAAGCAGCCACCTTTTTCACCATCCCACCAACCCCTAGCACCCCCTCCCGATGCCTAATGTGAGAAACCTCCCCGGAGAATTATTCACGCACAATAAAACCCTCGAATAAAATGATAATAAGCCCTTTACTTGAATAAAAACATATTTATCACCTGTAAGAAAAATATTTATGATTATGCTTCCTGGGGGGACAGCACGAGGTTGGCCCGGGTCGGCCTTGTCCGTTTCTGCCGCGGTCCGATTCCCACCCGCCCAGCGAAGGCAGATATGGTAATTCCGTCCCCAGGTGCCGTTTCTGCCATGTCAGACGTCAGATACGCCGCCGATTCATCGATCCGCGCGTAGCACGGACGGCTATGATTCATTACCCGAGAAACCCCATGTCAGCGATACTTTTTGTTATTGCCAAATTTGCTACGTTCCAAATGTAAATTTGTCCCGCCTTTCCCGGGGACTGATACTTAATTTTCCACCCGTAGTTCCCACCCCGATGACAGAAGTGTCTTTTCTAATCCGGCGCTCCTTCGCTGCCGGTGGGCGACTGACCTGCACTCCGGCGAGGCCACCTTTTCTTCTTCTTCTTCTCCTTCTTCTTCTGTTTCTTCTTTCTACCCGGGGGGTGGAGGGGGGGGATTCGAAGAAGAAGAAGAAGACAAAGACGCCGGACAAGCTCGCCGGCGCCGGTAAGGCCTCCTTCTGGGGGCGCACAGCGGATTCTCTCCTGGGAACGAGAGCCCCCGCTGTTTCTTTAATCGCTGGAGCTCGAAGATGAAGACCCGCTCTCATGGCCTCCCCCGCGCCACACCGCCATTCTTCTCTCTTCTCTCTTCTCTCTGTCTCTGTGTCTCTACAGGCAAGGCGGCGTAGGGAACCCCTCCGGCGGAGATTTCCTGCGAGGCGCCGCTCGGAGCAGCCATTCATCCGGCTTCATCCCGGAATCAACTGAGAGTAAATCAGGAACTGGGTACCGCCAAAGCCCCTCAGATTCCCCTCCCTTGGTAGAGAAAGAGAGAGAGAAAGACAGGAGATAGAAGATAGAAGATAGAAGAGAGAGAGAGAGAGAGAAGGGGGGGCAGGCGCCAGCTTGCGAGCCCCACAGCTCCCGCTCGTCGGCAACTGAGGGAAGTGGGTGGGGAAGCACATGGAGAGAAAGAGGGAGAGCGGAATCGTCTCTATCCTCCGCCGCACCGCCAGAACGGACGAGCGATGGCAGAGGAACCCACCCGCCGTCTTTTCTTCTCAGGGGCGACCTCCCAACGACCGCCGTCGCCGGAGATTCCCAGCCCTTCTCCCTCCGACGCAGGAACTCTTATCCGGGGGGAGGGGTCCCGTCTGAAGAGGACACCCATCACAGGCCTATTTGGGCCGACGCCGTAATCTTATTATTGGGCCCATTAGAACAACCCGATTCACATCTACTGGGACAACATACCCTTTTCGACACTGTTTTAGAGAGAGAGAGAGAGACAATTCATTCAATCGTCGCCCATTCAATCGGCTAATCCACCCATCAGACGGCTCAGCAGAACAAGAAGAGGGTAAAATGGTCCCCGAATACTTCCGTGCCTGTGAAGAATTAATTAATAGGAGGGACCCACCTCGTGATCTTGAGACTATTTATCACATAATTCACAGGGAATGAAATAAGACAAAAATCAGCATGATTGGGGTAGGAGGGGCGCCTCGTGGACTACAAAACTCTGTGCTTGCTGCAGGTAAGAAAATTCATGAGATAATTTATTTGTGAACTTATTTATATTTTGGGGATGAAAAGGGCGGGAGAAGGGCTCTTCAGGGCGCCATGAGGCCTTCGATTGTGTAGGAGAGGGACTTGGCCCAGTCGGCCTTGAACAGGAGAGTCTGCAGCGTCTGCATCACGTTGTACTCTGGGTCCAGCTTCCTCTGCCAGCCCTGAAAATATATTTAATAAATAAAAGCGTGATTATTCAATAAAAGGCGGGTGCTGCATTTCTATTAGCCAAAAAAAAGGAAGGCGGCATAGACTGGAGAGCCATGTTGGGGATCTGCACAAGACAAGGGCGGAATGCAGTGTTCGGGAGGGGGGGGGCTTGAGGGTTATAGAATTTCAATGAATTTTTGTTATTAAAAAGAAAAAAAAAGATGTACCCTTTTTTATCTTAAAGAAAATATATAGGAATATGATGTTCTTATAAACGAGCGGAGAAAGTTTTGGCGAGGATTAACAGATATAAATGATATATATATATATATATATAATGATTGTGTTCGCATGAATCTTGCAGAACTTGAGGCATTTAGCAACAAATAAGAGGATAAAAACAATAAAAAATACACCTTTTAAGTTATAAAGCATACGAATTACGTCCTATAAATGAATGGAAACAGTCTCTCCGTGAGGCTGCCGAATGCCAGCCTATTTTGCCACAAAATCCCATAAAATGTCAGGATATATGTCTGTGTATGAGAGAGTATATCAGCATGAATCTGGCAGAACCCAGGCATTTACCCACAACACAAGAATGAAAAAATAATCAGATATAACTTTTTAAGTTCAAAAAACGAATAATGTTGCTATAATGAATGGGAACAGTTTGTGAGGAATACCAGATCACCCACTTATCAGCATCACGTAAAATGGTGGCCTATAAATCTACATATATAAATGTGCGTATGTGTGCGTATGTATGTATGTATGTATTATTAGCATGAATCCAGAAGATGTAAGGCGCATTTAAACAAGAATGGTCATCTGGGTAGGAATAGAAGTGCATTCCTTTGGTAGAAGGGAGGGAGAGATTACCTCAAGGACCAGGATGGTCACCATCACGGTGCAAATATTGCCATCAATGTTGACTTTATGCCGGCGGACCTGCTCCAGCAGTTGATGCATGCACTCGGCCGGATGGTACACGTCTCCCTCGGGAGTGCCCCAGAAAGAAAAGGTCTTCTCCAGCTCCTGTCAGTGGGAAGAAGACCCAAGATCAATGAGAGGCAGTTTTCATCGACATAAAATTGGAGGAAGAAGACCACCAACCCTACACGAGAGGGATCACAAATAGGGGAGATAGTGAAAACAGTGAGCACTTCCATAATAGGAAATTGTGCTTGACATTGGCTGTGGCTCCAAAGATCCGGGTTAGCCCAAATAAGAAGAATAATAGAATTTGATGAAAGATTTCAGCAGATGAGGGACAGCAAGTATAGATCTCATCCAAGGGTCTGAGATGGAAACACTCAGTCACCATGTGGAGCCCACCTCTTTCACTAAATGGGTTCTTTCACTGTCCAGTAACCCAGAGATCAAAAGGCCATAGGAATAAACCCACATCCATGTCATGAGGATTCCCGAGATAACGGTAGCCTCTTGCTTCAGAATAATTTTGGCTCCGCATCGATCGGGTTTTCAACCTGACCCACCAATTAATTTGTTGCATTCATTAGGTGATTAGCACGAGGAAGTCCTAGGGTATTTTGTATATGATGGTGAAAGGAGACTGAGGAGGGCAAGCAGGCTATATGACAGGCTATATGGCAGGCTATACGGATCCCCACCCTGTAAGAGAGAGCTGGGAAACACAGAGTCAAACGCCATGCTCAATTTTCTCATACCAAAGCATGCTTTGGATGGCTAATCTTGCCACTAAAATCATGGATCAGTCCAATTGCAGATATAAATCCGAAAAGTACGTCCACTCAATCACGATTTCTATTCGTATTCAGTTACATTTTCCATAAAACTTGCACTAATAAATAAAGAAAGGAAGTGTGCTGATGAAGTACCCCAATGACAATGGCAACTACAATGCCTACAAAAACAATGTAAAATAATGATCCTCAGTTTTTATTAGCCACAAAAGTGCGACTCAGATGCCCCTTAGCGGATAAACCTCATCACCACAGAGATGATACCCATGAAATAAATAAATATCCAAAAATTAAATTCTTCTAAATGATCTCAATCTTCCCACCGGACTGAGTACGTTTCATTATAAACCCTCCCCCATCGACCACTTTCTCAATGTTACCGGCACACACTGATCGTATCACAGTTGGAGTATGTACAGTTCAAAACGATGGAGGAGAAAGAGACCACGGTGTGAAATCTAGTGGAGAATCATCTAAAGAAGTTCACAAGGGTCAATCTGTAAGAATAATCTTGCCACAAGAAGGGGTATGCAAAGACCCGGATTCTACATCCATGGTGAATCTAAAATGTCTAACAATAGTTAATAATCCTTCTCAAACCCCGCTTGAACCCATCTTAAGACCTTGGCAACAATCTTTCCGAGCCCAATGTGGGAGGCTGTATCACGAGGCATCCTATCCCCCCAATGACAAAGTATCCCAGTGACCAGGGATAACCAAAATCCTCTTGAAGTGACGACGACCCCGGAGAAGAAAATCTAAAAAAGGGAATAGGAAATGGGATTATCTTGGATAATCACGTGTACATCTTCGATAAATACGGGAAAACCCTTTATGATTCTAGGGATTATAAATGCAGTTACTATGACATGAAAGGTATTCTAAAGAGTAGTAGCTTTTACACTAAAGGTATGAATAACTTTTCTTGTCCACTCAATACTTCTCCATGGAAAGGAAGAAGATGCAGTCTAGTAGAAACTCAACCCGCGTACATATTGAGGATCACCGTATTAGAAGGAAGGATTTTTTTTTAGTTTTGCATAAAGTCAACCCGACTGATTCTCACTGTTTGTTCGCATTCAATTGAACATACAGAAACTAAATTTCACACTTGACAAGAATAAAACTCATGTCCTCCAATTGGTGCACTTAGAATCTAGTACATTACCTCAGTAAAAGCTTTCGGATTTGGGCAGTGCTGATGTTTAGAAAGTTTTAGCGTGCACGCTGCGGCAGTACGGCCATCACGAATGGCAACAGCTTTGAAGAATTCAAGCAAATTAAGACGATCACTTTTGGAAAGCTCAGCAGTCATGCCTACATCAAGGAACACTATATGCGGCCGAGATTTGAAGATGTTTTTCCTTGGAGCCTTGGGGTGAGATACGCGAACAAGAATATTTCCCGGGTGCATATCCGCATGAATGAAGTTGTCCACCTGAAAAATTTTGAAACCAAAAATAGAATCATTCCCAAAGATGCAACTCATCTGCGACAGATTACTGTTCATAAACTACCCACAAACAAAGATGATAACTTATAAAAAAAGAAAGGCTGAAAAAATTTGAAAAGCAATGCCTAGCGGAGGAAAAGTAAGCATTGAAAGATACTGCATACATAATCTTCTGCAAAATACCGTTGTTGGGCAACATGATTAAGAAAAGTTAGAATAATTTAAATAAATATTATCATAAAAATTAAAGCAAACATGTACCAGGAGCATCTTGAGGAGTGCATGAGTCCCAATGTGCGCCAGAGCACTTTTAATTCGATTATTTCCTTCAAGCTGATCGACATAGTGAGACACACATTCTCCCTTCTCATACGTCTCCACCAAAACAGCAGGATGCACAAGCGGATAAAGAGGCCTCGGAAAAGACACGTCCTTCCAACTCCGGAAATTGTAGATAAAACGGCTCAGCTGAGCGGCCTCTCTCGCAAGATCCACCTGAGACATCATGTAAACCGCGAACTGCTGCACACTCTCGTCGAGCCTCAACCAATTCAGGGCAGGAACAAACTTGGAAATTTTAGCCACAAGGTTGACGATCACAAAATCCCTCCTGATCGCCTCACCCACACCAGGATGCCTGACTTTCACCGCAACTAGAACTGGCTTATTTTCCTTCCCGCGGTACCTGTATTTTAAGGAAGCGCGATGTATTTGGGCAATGCTTCCAGATGCGACAGGGACCTCCTCAAAGTCTGCAAAAATCTCTGAGAGCTTACGGTGAAAGGCCTTCTCCACGGTCTTTTTCGTATGGGAAAAGCTGTGCGCTGGCGCCTTCATGTGGAGCTTCGTCAGCTCAGAGCAAAGGTCGCTTGGGAAGAGATCAGGCCTCGTCGCTGCCCACTGACCCCATTTGATGAACGCCGGACCTGCTTTCTCCAGGGTGGAATGGACAACGTGGAGCCATCTTCTTCTAAACTGGGCGCCAAAACTATCAGCAAATGGAGCCATGCTAAGCGCGGGGGAGAAAAGTATTGCCAAATAGATCACTCTCAAGAACAGGATGACGCCCTCTATAAGCGAATAGAAGAAGGACGTGAAGTAGAGATGACTGTCTTGCGCCATGGCATATAGATTATTCCTCGTCGGGTAGTATTCCCCATCTGCCCAGGCCTTCTGTGTCCAGGCCGCCTGTCCAACAATCAGAGCTAAAACCCCGGGGACGACAGGAGATCTCGAAAGGCCAAAACTTACTGCAAATGCTATCCTGTTTATCCTCGGGAAAGCAGACCCGCTGAGCGAAAACTGCTTCCATGCATATTGGGCGTGATGGGTAGTCAAACCCTTTGCCGAAACGATAGAGAAGTATCTCGCGGTCTTGCAGTGGTGTAAGCACTCCCTCGCTCTGTTCATGGTGAATGAAGCATTCCATCTTCCAAACACCTTGTAACACGAAAGCAGTCGGCCTAGGGAGGCAGGAAGTCCAACCCTAGCGAGTGACCCATGATTCCTCAATGGTGAATAGTTGGCCTTCTGGCTGCTGTACCCAGATCTTCTAGACCTTCTGAACGCTGACAACCTGCGAAGAAATCGTCATCAACAGTGCTTCAAAATGAAATGAAGGGAACCGTATGTCAGGAAATTTACGCCAAAAATAATGATTTCGAGCAGAGATTCTTGAACCAACGCCAGAAGTCGAGCGTGCAAAATGTTCGCAAAACCGAGCAAACTACCTCATCAATGCCCGTACATTTTCCACTCAGATCGGCGCCCCTCACCAGAACTATCAGCCTCACATGGATCAGAGAAATTAAGAACTGGGGAAACTTCTACCCGTGACAAGCAATTCGAACCCTCGTCGCCGGAAAAGAAAGATCGTCAATTCTCAGGCAAGGGCGGGAGGGTAGCAACTCCACACCCATCCCCGGAGCCGGCTGACAGCCCCAGAACAAACACGCGCAAGCCACATCGCAACATCAAAGAGCGAAAACTAAAATCTCCAAAGGGGGCAGAAGAGGAGAACCTCTCGTGGACGGCTAAGGCGCGAAGCATTGGAAACCCTTCATAACCGGCTGCCGAGACGAAGCGGAACCAGACGGGCCATCAACGGGGAAAGGAAGGCTCCCGCGCCGGCGACGGCGATCGGCGACAACCCCCACAGGGTTAGACCCACAGAATGCCCACCCGGCGGCGATCCTCAATGATCTCGCCAGCAGAAGAAGAAAAAGAAGGAGATGCAGCCCGGAGAGAGGGGATGGAAGGAGATGGGAGGGGGAGGGTAGCTGTGACGGAGGGAGGCGACGCGGAGGAGAAGTGGCCACGGGAGGGTAGCGGACTCGTTCTTCGACGGGCCTCGTCATCGGGGAGTAGGGTTTTTCCCCATGCCCAAGCCACCCCTCCTTGGGCCAATAATGGGCCTGTATGATCCCGCTATCTTTTCTATTGATGGACATATGGGTCTCGTGTGTCTATTAATGGACCTATACACCCCATTTATCTTATCCCTAATGGCCCCTTTTCGGCCCACGCTCATTCCATTAATGGGCTTGTCTTGTCCCATGCGTCGCACTCTCTTTGAAATGGGGCCTATGTGGGTCGCTCTATTTTAATGGGCCTTATGGTCGACTATCTCTCCCATATAATGGGCTTTTAGGCCCATTCTCTACTATCCATTAATGGACCTCTGGGTCCTATACCTCATTCTTCATGGGCCCATGTGTCGCACTCTGTCTTCTTGATGGGCCTGTGGGTCCCACCTGCTTCTCTCTCAACGGCGATTTTCCCTTGAATTAAAGTAAAAGCACCTATACTAGCCTCACAGTGTCCACATTTGGTATACATACTGGGCCGGTAAAACCCCATAACCCGCTCTGTCTCGGTTTGGACTGGCCCAAGACATCACTTACGGCTGAAAACTAGGCCCAATTCTCCCTCTTTCTTCCCTCTCTCTCTCTCTCTCTCTCTCTCTCTCTATCCAAGAACAAGGCCCTCTCTCTCTCTCTCTCTCTCTCTCTCTCTCTCTCTCTCTCTCTCTCTCTCTCTCTCTCTCTCTCTCTATCCAAGAACAAGGCCGGAGTTCAGACTCCCAAATTTTGTCAATATATTATTCTATCCGCTCCACGAATATGTAAAATATATTATTCTATGATATATATATATATATTATTTTATTTGATATATTCCGAAGAGAAAGAAATGAGAAATATTCCAGAAAGTCGTATGATTTCGGAGGAACGAGCAAGGTCCACCTGTCACCTCAGCTCGAGCAAATCGAGGCGGCTACGACGAATCCAGCCAATCGCCCAAAAAAAAGGAAGAACAATAACCAGGAGGGGTTGGGGAAGAGAGAGAGAGAGAGAGAGAGAGAGAGAGAGAGAGAGAGGGTGTATCTGGGTCTGGTCATCCAGGGGATTGCTTGATGTAAATACAGGGGGGGAAGCAGCGGCAGAGGACGGATGGATGGATTGATTATACGTGCGGTGTTGGGATCATTCACTGCGTGTCGAGGCCGACCTGGCCCAGGATCTTCGTGACGGCCTCGTTCGCCTTCTGCGATCCCGCCCTCTCCTCCCTCTTCTTCTTCTCCCTGAAAACGGAATTGCGGAGGATTAGTATGATCCTTCATGTGAGCGGCCTAGAGAGAGACAGAGAGAGATGATCAAAAACACATATAACGCTCCATGCAGCTAAGATGAACAAGAGGGCAAGAGTACACCACAGCAATTAAGAGAGAGAGAGATGACCAAAAACACGTATAATGCTCCATGCAGCTTCCATGAACAAGGGGACAGAGTCCACTACAGCAAGGAAGAGAGAGAGAGGGAGAGAGAGAGAGAGAGAGAGAGAGAGAGAGGTTATCACACCGCTCATGTTCAACTCGAAGCAAGCAACACTCAGTAACACAGAGACTGACTGTGCCAGGTCAACGCAGGGCTGTTATTTTGTCCGGATATAAATTTCCGAAATCATAAATACCCATGCAAAGGGCTTCGAAAAAATTTCCCCCTTTTCCTGGCCGTCGCGCATCGGATCAAAACAAATGTTTTCAGAGGGCGGGCGGCGGTTCAGAAATACCTCTCCACGTACTCCCTCAGGAGCTCCTTCGCCTGGACCAGCTTGGAGAGAAGGTTACGGTACACATCAAGATCTCTGTCCACGCTTCGCTTTTCTATGTTCAGGGCGGCACACAGCTGTTCCAGACACAGAAACATCAGTCTGACTACAGACACCATGTCCTTCCCTGCCCTCTCCCTGGTTAGAAAAAAAAAATTGAAAAAAAAAACTCCCCTTTTCGAGTAATAGTAATAGTAATAGTAATGTTGTGGTTTTCCGGCAGTAAAAAAGGATCCGAGGATCGATTAAATGGCTAGAGCCCGAAATGATATGAAAATCTGGCAGAATGGTACCTACTGTCACATGGAACCCAAGTCGGAATCGTACTGAACGGCTCAAACTTTTTGTAATCTGGATACGATTTCAAGGTTCTCCTACTAAAAATATGAACTGCCATTCGTATACGGTGTCATACGGTTGAAATGGGTTCGGATGAAAGAAAGATACTGATTCGATTGAATTATCAACAGATCTAGCACAGATGTTGTTGATCCAATAAATATACGCACGTCAGAGACAATAAATCATCGTAACAGTTTTTCTTTTTAAAAAACCCCTAAATGTAAGAATAAAGGTAGAAAATAATATATATATATATATATTCCAAATAACATGAGTAATCAGCAAGATTGGAAAATAGAAGTATCATTATCCACATTCAGCACGGTGCAGAAAGAGATCACAGAAGGTGAGAATTATCACTGAAGAAGCAAAGAAGTTGGAGTGTGAAAATCAATAGAAGGATGTCAACGTAAGGGAAAAGTACCTTCTCCAAGACAGTTGGCTCAGGTGCATTTGCCAATTCCAGTAGACGAAACAGGCCAATTGCGAAGAATCGGCTGTAGTTGAAGTTTCCCTTACTTGCCACTCTTTGAGCAATATCTTTCAGAATTCCCTCAACATCTCCCTCCCTTGAAGGGAAGTCGACCAAAGAACTCGCATTCTGCGCACGTGCCCACTGTTCCAACTTCTGAGAATCAGATCTGTAAGAAACAAGCCAAAGAAGATCACCTGAACTGTGATATAAATATATAGATAAATGAGAATATTTTAAGGGTGTACCGATTTTTGGAGAATAATGCAATATTTTTCTCTACTACAAGAATACTATTGGATGACCGTGAACAAGTTTAAAATTCTAAAACGGTGAACAGAGAAAAGCTTCTAGAAAATCATATGATTATTATGCACCATAATCAACCAAAAGTTCAAGATATTTTTATGATTTTTAAAAATATCAGGATATAGTTTTTTTATTATTATTCACATGACATCACGCAAATATACAAGCAAGAAGATGTCTGTCGAGCTAATCAAAAAGCCAATAAAAATAATGGATAGTTCATAAAATAAGATGAATACCTTTTATTTCATCGCTATTTATTCTCAAGCAAACCGCATAAAAAATAGATCTGCTTATGAGCTAATCCATATCCTGACGGATGTGAGAAAATATGACAAATGGATGGGATCTTGACGTCAAAATTTCTCAAACTTGAAGGACATCAGCAACGCCCACAAGGAAATGTTAAAATAAAAAGGCCAAAGCATTACCAGACTGCAATTTTCGTATGAGTCGTACATGTTTATGTTCTTTTTTTTCCATCAAGCCTGTGACCAAGTATAGCTTAATAATTTATGTTCTTACTTGAAAACCAGTGTTTTGAACCATCTAATAAACAATTAATTCTCCCGCAAAGTTTCCTTCATAAAATATTAGATGCAAGAGATGCCCTATTAATCAACAGAGAGTTTCCGCACTCGTCTAAAAATAATTAACAATAAATTTTCATCAATTGGTCCACCATGTCTGAGGTGTCGTTGAAGTTTGTGAAGGCAGTGGCTAATGCATCACTGACCTAATAACAGGACTTTGAGATATATTGGAGCACAGAACATAGCCGGATAATGACGTTAAATACCTGTACAGTTCAGGATCCTCCTTCAGGGCCTCAATGTAAGCTTTAAAAATTGCATCTCGATCATCACTGTATGGATACCCATCCATCAATTGGTCATAGACAGTCACAAAACCAAGCGCAAAGACCGCATCATACTGATACGTTCTTTTGTATCTCATTAGATGCTGTTGCACAAGGAGCTCTTGCAAAACTGTGTTGTATACGCTGGGGATGGGTCGTTTGTACGCCTTGAGGAAATTCATCTTTGTGTCTGATACAGTTGGTAAGGCATCTGGTATTGAAGGAGAACGAATTAATCAAACTATTCTTCACGAATGATTCTTTATACGAACCGCCACAATTCCTGACTTGACTAATTAATACTATTATCGACGAAGTATGCATCCTACATCTCATCACCCAGAATAAAATAGCAGTTCATTACAATTAACGGCATTGAAAAATGGGAGGACAAAAGCATATGGAATTTCTCATTGAACCCGACGTCACAGCGGATCAAGCAAATCCTCGAAAAACATGTCCAAATCCTATAAAGAAAAAAAGTAGTGTACGTGAAGCAGGAGAATGAATGATACAGTGATAAAATCGGCCCTCCTCTACAACTAAATCAGCAAGTGTAGGGCCATGCAATTTGTCCTGTGATGAATTGGTCGCTCATGGAACAGCTGAGCAGAATTTCTTGGTCAAGCAACATAAAAAATCAAAAATACATATCTATAAAATATTAACATAAATAAAAAAATCCTAAAACTACATTCCAATTTTTATTAGGGATCACTGCGATGTACACAAGATAACTAGACAATAATAACTTCACCTCCCGTGGCTGCGACGCACCGGACGACCATCTGAGAACCCGATGTCTCCACCCTCCCACGGAACCCCGAGAAACTGACTGCGGAGAAGCCGAAGGAACGGAATCCCGACGTGTCCGGGGCCCTCCTCTCCGAGACCTGGCCCATCGCCGTGAACGATAGCGGTGAGATCGACGCCATTACGAACTCGGAGTCTTCAGGGATCGCTTCAGAGCTGAAACCGGGAGAAAATATTTGATCTGGGGCAGGAACTTCCTCGCTACTTCCCTCGATGCCTCGCCGCCGACGGATTTCCCGGCGGAAATCGCATTCCTCGTGGGAGGTTGAAGGTCGGGGAAGGAGTCGCTAGCAAGAGAGAGGTCAGAAAGAAAGGTATTATCCGACCCGAGGGGGACGGATTTTTGAAGCCTCCAATCACACATGAGCACGTGGCCGACATGGGCCCACACGTTCTGTGGCCATTCGGCCGCCAGGCGAGTATCTCATCCGTTTGTGCATGCACTGTCCACTTCCCAACTGCCAATAAAAAATTCGGGATAAATAATAAGGAAAATAGCGATTGTCTTTAAATCCCTGATTTTTTCCATTTTACGATATAATAATCGTGTAAATGACAAAACCACATAATATCTTAACGGGATGAATAGGAGACCATGGCAGTATCAGATGAATTCGTAGGACGAGTACAAAATCTTTTATATTTAGTCAGCAGCGGCTATCTCTATCTCTCTCATCCTTACGCTGAGTTGTACAGAATAAGATATTTACATTTATGTATATGAACAGAATAAAGTATCTTTAAATTAAAATACATATTTGTTTCAATATAATAAAATGATACACGCTTTTTTGTATGAAATTAGGGGAAGAAAATATTTACCAAATGATTCACCTCGATTTTATGACCCTGAAAAAAACATTGAAGTTCATATATACTCATTTCACAATTTTTTTTTAATTCACACAATATATCAATGTTGGAAATTTAATACATTAATAGTTGATATTTCATTATGTAAATTTCAAAATGCAGAATAGTAGAGTATATCAAAAATAATCTTATAATGCATGAGAAATATGTCGTGAAACCCAAGTAACATGTACCTAGCTAAGCATATATTTATGATGGTTCAATATAGTAGAATATACCAAACATAATATGTCAATATATTTTGTGATATGTTCTGGAACAGTATAAAGTCATAAGCTTAATATGTCGATAAATGAAATAATTACATTGTAAAATAGCAAGATATGTTGAACTTAATATATTAGTATATGGAAATTCTGTTATAAAACCACAAAGATCAAACTCAAGAACTCTATATAAACATCTTTGTATGTTGAGCTCAATATTTTAACACATTAAGATTATATTTTATGATAACACAATATATAATTCAATATATGATAACACAATATGATAGCACAACATTTCAATAGTATGCAGTAACTTAGTATATGAACTTTATTATAGAACAGAAAAAGTAAATAACATCATATGACTACACTTTAAAAGCATGTAGTAGTCTACAGTCAATATCTAGAATACAATAGCGAAACAAGACCTATTTATTGGCATGCCGCCATTGAAATGACACAAAATGCAGCCTTGCCAAGCAATTAATCAGAGAAAAAAAAAGTTTCATATATAGGGAAACGTTACAAATTCAATAATAAGAAAATAAACACAAAAAATTATTATATATTCCAATAACTCCCCCCCACTCACTCCCTTCCTATAGTACCTTTTTGTGACCCCATTGGATCCGACAATGAATACTTGTGAAGAGGCACTTGGTATGAAATTATAAAAATTAGTTTCTTAGTAAAATGATAGACACATGTGAAGGTGTGAACCTTTTTTGGGAAAATAATTTAAATACAAAATATAATTATTATTTTATCTTTGTGTAGAAAGAAACCAAAATTCAATCAGTTGATTTTGTGAGTAACCACATATTAATACAACAGTCCAACATCAGTGCTTACAAAATAATAATAATAATAATATGATTTTACTTATTTTTTATTTTATTTTAGAAATTCAATTAGTTTATTTTACAAGGACTAAGTGAGTTGAGAGACTTTGCCATAAACGTACAGGTTTTGAAGCAGTCAACCTAAATACACGTCACATTATTGAAAGAATCAAAGCTCAAAGATCCTTCCATTTTCATTATTTTATGGTTAAAAATTCCATATTTTGTAAAATGAAGGCGTCATCTTTTAATGAGCAAGGAAATTCTGAGTCAAGCCACTCATCACACGATTATTTACCCGTATTTATAATAATCATTATTCATTTAAAATTATATTTTATAAACGGACAGACCATTTTCGTGTAATATTTGTCCGAGGACATGATTTTATTGCAAAGTATTATTACACATCCTAACACGTTCGGTCCAAGTCTACGTACAACAGCCCCTTGTTTTGGACCGTCCAGATTCGCTCGAATCAGAGCCCTCGATTGGCATCCTCCGCTGGATGCGCCTTGTGGGACTCTCCATCTCCTGGGCAGAAACCGACAAACCGTTTGAGGATAAGTGCGCCCTGACCATTAAATCACGTCAACGCGTCGCAAAATCCAGATCCTTCGTAAAGGTCGACAAGTGCCAAGGGGAATCAGCGGGCCCGGCCAGTGGTTTCTCTCTCTCTCTCTCTCTAGACGAGCGCTCTATATAATGCTCTCTCTTCTTCATAGTTCCTCAATCTGTTCTATTGAGGCGAAGCGAGTGTGAATTCGACAGAAGGCTTCCCAGATCTCTCCATTTCTTCTGTTGATCCTTGTTTCTGCGAGATTTACGAGCTCCGTGGTGGTCGATCGCGTTGATCGGAAGCATGAGTCTGAGGTACGCGTGCCGGATCGCGGCGCAGGTGGGCGTGCGCGCAGCGCAGGCGGCGAAGGAGCAGACCGTGAGGTCTATTAAGGATGCCGCAGCCTCGGCCTCCTCCGCCTCGTCCTCCTCCTCCAAGCAGGTGCGGCGGTTTTCCTCCTCCGGCAGCGGGCCCTCGTCCGGTGGCGCCGGTCTGAGGGGCGCCGGCTGCGCGGCGGTCCGCAGTGAGGCGAGGCGCCGGAGGGCGGAGGAGTCGCTGCGGACGGTCATGTTCTTGAGCTGCTGGGGCCCCAACTAGGCGGCGGCGCCTGTTCTCATCTGATCCCGATGAGATGGAAATTCCGAGGGAGGGAAAATAATTAGTCCATGGATACTCTTTTTTGTTTGGGAATCATCCTCGAATACTTTGAGCTAAGAGTCTGATGATCCCCTGTGCGGACCTTGGTCACTTGTATGCATCCATTTAAGTTGTATACTCTTTCTTTCTGGATCGTTCGATTTGTCCTTCAATCAAGGAAAAAATCAATCAAACATATTGAAATGGCCGAAGATCGATTTCTTCTTCCCGTGAGATCTGGCATCTTAAAAAGCTCTATTCCGCGCATCGATTTGCGTCTCAGATCACAATATAATCTCCTTCTCGGTTGTTTCCGAGCACCGCCAGGTCTCCACCGATGCGGTTTTCAGATTTCAACCTGCATCTCTCGCAAAACAGCGGGGACGGATGCCTCCCGGCTTCTCTCATAGTTTTCCGGAACCTTCCACCAAAACCAGCGGCAAAAAGAGGGGCGGACAAAAAGGTGTACGCCCCACGGACTCTGCGTTCATTAATATCAGGCAGAACTATGTTCCCATTTTTCCTTCATTAAGAAAGGATTATTGTTATTGTTATTATGCATTTTTCACAAGGATTATAATTCTCTCAGGATTGACTGATCCAATCGGAACAGAATCACACAGATGATGCGGTAGCTCGCCCCCTCCTCTCTCTCTATCTCTCTTGATTATTATGCATTTTGCACGATGATGATAATTCTCGCAGGATTGATTCATCCAATCGGAACAGAAGCACACAGATGATCCGGTGGCTCGCCGCTTCTCTCTCTTTCTCTCTCGATTATTCTGCATTTTGCACGATGATGATAATTCTCGCAGATTGATTGATCCAATCGGAACAAAAAGCACACAGATGATGCAGTAGCTCACTCACTCTCGCTCTTTATGTCTCTCTCTCTCTCTCTACTTGGGACCCCAGCAGATGAGTTGCATGACGGTCTCCGCCTTCTCGGCTTCCCTCAGCTTTCTCCTCGCAGCGGCCGCCTCCTCCGCCGCCGTCGTCGCCATCGCCGCCACCGCGGGCCGCTCGGAGGCGCCGGAGCGCCGCCTGGCCTGGCCCGCCGCCGTGGGGTTCTCCGGCCGCCGCACCGACCTCACGCCCCCCCCCGAGGAGGCCCCCGACCAGGGCCTCGAGCCCTGGTCCCTCAGCGCCCCCTGCACCGCCCTGATGAAGGTCCTGCTCGCGCACCTCAAGCTCATCTCTCTTTTCTCTCTCTCCCTCTCTCTTTCTCTGTGACAGTTGGTGGAGTATGCTGGTCGTCGTCTTCGTCGTTGGGGAGCCTTGGTCGAGGGAGGAGAGCTTCTTATACAGTGCAGGAGAAACGTCAGAAGGTGCGGTGCGCCTTCCAGAGTCTCCGTGACGGAGATGGGCCCTTGGCGGCGCCGCCAAGCCCCAAGAGTCCCTCTCTCCATCAAGAGAAAACTGCTGGCGCCCCCGGATAAGCCAACTCATTGGCCGGTGGCCGGGCCCACAGGCCAAATGCTGGCGTATCCCATAACTTATATAAATAATATTATTCATTATGAAAAGGTGATTTTTGTTTCCCATGATTGAGTTTAATGAACTAATATGCCCAATTTCAAGCCCTTGGCCTATAAAAATAAAAGTGTTCCCCTTTTTTCTAAAAAAAAAAAAAAAAAAAAAAAAGCAAAACGAAAATTCGAACAGCGAGATCAGGCCCAGCCACCTCCACCACCAGGAGCTCGTTTGGGCCTCCAATTCGGCGCGGCCCATGAAACGGCGCCGGTGCTCTGGGAGGAGATATTTTATAGTTTGTAATATTCAATATGTTCCCCCATTTTAAAGGGAATGCCGGGCCCACCGGGCCCCACCCTCCTTATCGGACGGTGACGTAATATTATTGCTAATTTCGGTCAATTTTGGTGTTGTTCGACTGCAAAATAAATGTCGAAACTTGTGCGCCCGGATGATGGCGCGTCGCCGATATGGCGTGCCACGTGGAAGTGGAATGACATATGCTAGGCCACGAGAAATAGAGAGGAGCGGATTCCAACTCCGCGTGGTGTAAAATCCAGCAGAATCCGTCATTTAAGATCCGTCATTGCCGCTGGTTGGTCGTCTTCTTCCTCTCCGGCGTCTCCCTCTCTTCCTCCGTCGGCTCCTACGCAAAGGAGAGAGGGAGAGAGAGAGAATCCGAGCTCTGTGCCAACAGTCTGCCGGTTCGTGCTGTTCTCCGTGGCCGTCTAAGTGGAGCGAAGGATCGGTGGAGAGGCCCAAAGACGGCGGCTTCATGGAGGTAGGTTGTTGTTCGGGTGGCGCGACTGCTTGGTGAGATATGGCGGTGGGGGACGGGGATTCGTCGGAGGGGAAGGTGTGGGTGATCTGCAGGATGCCCTTCTGGAGGAGGGGCGGCGGCTCGGCGACGAACCAGAGCGATGGAAGGCGGTGCGTGGAGGGATCGGATGCGCCGCAGCGGCGCAATTTGGGGGTCTCTTCGGTGGCGAAATCTCTCCTCCCTACCCGGCGTAGGCTCCGGCTGGATCCGTCGGGCAGGCTATACTTCCCCTGTGAGCGACGTCTCCTGGAATTCTCCGTTTTAATCTTCTTCTCTCCGTGATTCCTCGCTCGAGTGTTTCATTAGGGTTTTGAGGGGTCGTGGAATCATCAACCTACGTTTATCTCTTCTCTCGTGGTATGATTCACGGTTGTCGTTTCATTTGGAACCTAGATTGGGGGTATTGTCTGTGCTATGATCTCTACCTCGTGTCCCCTGATTCTTATACGGATGCTTTTCTTCTCTGATCGCATATCCCCCTCATTTTTAGCTCCTTGAGGTATCGAAGAGCAACGCCCGCCCGTAGAACTTATGCCACTTATTTATCAGACGTAGAGTGAACTTGCTCGGTTTATGTCCATTCGTTTCCTTCGATTTTTCAGGCAAGTTCAGTCTCGTCTTTCCTGATCAGTCCCCTTCTTCCGTATCTTCCTCGCAGATGAACCTGGTAAGCAGGTGAGAAGTGCGATCAGCATTAAAAACACGAGCAAATCCCATGTCGCATTCAAGGTATCCATCCAGTTTTTCATCTTTTTTTATTATACTGTCGTGGTTTTTGATTTATTAGCGAATTAATACGAAACAGATATTAAGAGCTGAGATTTGCCTTTTGGAAATCCTCCCGACTTAGTTGCTAATCACTTCACGCCATCATCAAATTGACCAGCTGATTCTCGCACCTGTCTTCCCTTTGTTGACTTAGTTCCAGACGACTGCGCCGAAGAGCTGCTTCATGAGGCCACCTGGAGGTATCCTTCAGCCTGGTGAGAGTATTATAGCGACGGGTAAGCTTCTGGATGGCTGACCTCTCCTCTCGGTTGAAGAATGCTGTCACGTTGACCTTCGTGTTATTGTCCGGGGCGCAGTCTTCAAGTTTATAGAGCATCCAGAGGACAACGAGCGGCAGTCGGATCAGAAATCCAACGTCAAGTTCAAGATTGTTAGTTTGAAGGTGAATGGGCCGATGGATTATGTGCCAGAATTGGTGAGTCCTGCATATAAAAATTATACATAAAATTGTTGTGTGGGCTGCCTTTTCTTTCTTTCTTTCTTTCTTTCTTTTTCTTGTGGATGATCACTCGCTCTCTCATGGAAATAGGATTAACATTTATTTAAGAATTAATCTAATGGATGGTGATCGCCAAGGTTCTTGTCTTATTTATTATGTGGGCATTAATTTCGGATGGATTATTTTGACTGACATTAGATTATTTCTTCCGAAGATGTCACATTGATTGACTTCTTCGTTTTCTTTCATTTGTTCCTGGCATGGCAGCCCGATCTATGTTTTGTTTTGGTATGGTTTTTGTTTCTTATGCCCTCTCTCTCTCTCTCTCTCTCTCTCTCTCTCTCTCTGTTTCAACCCTTTGTCTCTCCCTCCAGTACCCCATCTCCCCTTGCCTCCCCCTCTCTCTCCCTTGTCTCTCTTCATCGGCCCACTCTCAGTCTGCCTCCTTTCCTTTTGCTCTTCTCTCTCTCTCTCTCTCTCTCTCTCTCTCTCTCTCTCTCTAAGAGCTGAATCTGACGATTCTCCGTGACAGTTTGAAGAACACAAGGACCAGGTATCCGTGGAGCGGATCCTCAGGGTTGTCTTCCTGGACGCCGAGCGCCCATCCCATGTAAGTGAAAAAAAATCCACCCGATCCGACAGAAATCTTCCAAAATCCAGACTCCCCACCGTGTGTAAAATCGCATTTGAAAACCCTCTTCTGCTCTGCCGTGGGTTCTCCTCCGTGTGGGAAGAAAATGGAGAAGCTCAAGCACAAGCTGGCGGAGGCCGAGGCGGCGCTCGAGGCCCGGAAGAAGCCGCCTGAAGACTCCGTCCCTCAGTTCGTCGGCGAGGGCCTCGTCATTGATGAATGGGTAATCAAAACAAATAATTAAATTCGGCCCACCAAGCGGAATCGATTGATTTTTCTTCCTTTTTCTTTTTTTCGGGTATTATTTTATTTTTTTGGGGGGGATGGATGATCTGATGGACTGCTCGGTTGGAATTCCTGCAGAAGGAGAGGAGGGAGAGATACCTGGCTCAGCAGCAGGTCGAAGTCGTCCAATCTCTGTAAATTCTTAATTCTTCCACCCACCCTGCTGCGTTTACTTTTCCTTTTTCAGTCTTCCCTTTCAATTGGCTCTCTCGCTCATGGTTTACTCCAGAGATGAAGTCTTGGGCATTGAGAATATATTCCCTGCAATTTTAGAGAGAGAGAGAGAGAGAGCCCGTGATTTAATGGGCTCTGGGCTTAAACGGCCCACTAGTCGGTGCATGGAAGCCCAACCCTTTTCTTCCACGGGGGCGGGCCGTAGAGAGAGATGGAGAGGGACAAAAATCATTTTAAAATTATTCATGCATTTAATATTAACATAAGGCACGAATTTAAAACGGTTGGGTGCCGCCAATAGCGGTGGAGGCCTTTTATGGGCTGGACACCTGTCGGCCCCAGAGCCGTAGGACCCAACTTTCAGGATAAGGCCTACACCTGTCCCCCTCAGCGCCGCCGCACCCACGACGATATATTCGTTCTCGATTCTCCCGAAAATACCGCCCCTCGCGATAAGCCTCACGAGTCAGCGCCTATCCATGAAGCTGGCTATCAATTCCTTTATTATCTCGCGATAATCACATCCGAAACGTAGTGCGAGACGGATCCCGTATTCCTTGCAACTCGCGAGGGAGTGGACAGGACCGCCCCGTGTCTCCTCGAATCCCTCTGTTCCAAAACCAGAAACCGCTTCCACGGATCCCGCCATCTCGAAACCGGAAACCGGAGCCTCGGTGCTGCCGCTATAAATACCCCTTCCCCCTCCCTCTCATTCTCCTCCCTCACTCCCTTCAGATAGACCCGAGAACTCTGCGCGGGAATCCCCAGATCCCTTCTTCTCCTTCTGCTGCTGCTTCTTCTTCTTCTTCTTCTTCTTCGTTTCTTCTTCGTGTTGTTGGATCTGTGGAGGAGCTAGAGGATGAGCTACGTGAGCAGGGCGTGGATGGCGGCGACGGTGGCGGTGCTGCAGGGGCGGCCGGAGAAGGGAGCGGAGTGGCACGCTAGCCTGGGCGGCGGTGGGCGCCTCCTCGGGGGCGGGGTATTTTCGTCGTCTTCCACATCGCCGGCTCCTTCTGCCGCCGGCGCCGGGAGGAGGCCGGCGGCGGGATCCGTCGGCAGCCGGTTCCTCGGCGGAGGTGGGGCCGGCGCCGGAGACGAGCGGCGGAGGCAGGCGGAGGAGTCTGTACAGAAGGCCATGTTCTCTAGTTGCTGGACTCCCAGCTAGGCCGTCATGTGAAGCGGCTCCTGCCGGGGACGCCATCCAACAGATCCGGCGGCCTTGCGCAATCCGCCAGGAGACGGTGGCAGGAGAAATAGCCCGGATCCGGCGCCTGCGTGAGGCGATCTCGATTCCTCCGATCTCGAGAGTTCCGATCCAGTCCGGCGACGACGGCGTCGTGGGGTGATCGTGTTCCGGCCGAGCCCCGACGGATGGGGGGGCGAGGAGGGCAGAAGGGATGCGGCCTGCTGGAGCTCTGTAAAAAGAAGAAGTCAAATTCACCAGTGAAAATTGTACATTTTGTAATTGAAATAGCAGATGTAAATATAGGTTTTTCTAAAATCTCGCTTTGACCTGTCGCTCTCACTCGCCATCTGATCGACATCTCGCGCACTATATATGCATATACATTGTAAATAAATAAATATAAAAGTCTGTTTATTCAATTATTATTGACTCCGTCCTCCCTCTTGGTTTTGCAGATCCTTCACGTGGACACGGCGGGGCAGCCCAATCGCGCTTCCCAACGTGGAAGAATCTCATCTTCCCCACGTGAGAGGCCTTATCCCCCGTCCGCGTCATAAATCCTCGAATTTCGACGCGGTTTTTAATCGGATATCCATTTCCACGTGGCATTGCCTCCTGGCGGAAATATCGCGCTTCGCATAATAAGGCATTAGTATATCGATAAATATATACACTTGTGGGCAACCAAAAAAATAGCATTAGTATTCATTCATAAATAAATAATAAGAAAGACCTTCGCTATCGCATTTCTAAGAAAAATGGCGGTGCTCACAGTCCATCCCAAATAGGGAGAGAGGGAGAGCGACAGAGAGAGATAGAGAGAGAGAATAATGACATACCAAAGGTGTGGTGGCATGTCAGGCGCCGGCCCAATAAGTCCAGGCGCCAGCCCAACAAAGAGAGGCCACTGATGGCATACCCCCCCCCCCCCCGTCTGGTATAAATACCAGAATGAAGGACTGATCGGCAGGCAGAAATCGGTACGTAACCTCTCTGTCTCTCCTTCCTGACCCATCCTATCCTCCTGTTCCGTCCAGGGCCCTCTCGCCGGCGACGTGGCTGAGCTCCGGCGGCCCTCGCCTTGGACTCTTCTTATCCCTTGGATCCCCCTTCTCAGCTATATCCGCCCTCGCTCCCTCTCTGCCTGTGAGAAACCGTTTAGATTTTCGGTGGAGTTCATAGGGACTCCATCAGAGAAGCATATCCACAAATGCACTTCCGGGCGGCAACGGAAGAAATATTATTAATATTAGTCTATAAATAAATAGTATGAAAATCCCACGCTGTCGCATTTTTTGAAAAATGGCAATTCTCAGTCCTTCCCAAATAGAGAAAGATAATAAGAGAGAGAGAGAGAGAGAGAGAGAGGGGAAGAGAGAGAAGGGAAGGAGAGGACTGAGTTGGTGGTTTCACGGGATGTCGGGGGGGACGTTGAGGTTGCGGAAGAGCTCGGGGAGGTGGGCGTTGGTGAGCTTGGTGCGCTTGCTGAGCTCCCGCTGCTTCTTCTTCGGCTTGGCCTTTCCCGCGTGGTTGGCGAGCCCGTGGACCTGCGCCATGGCCCGGCGCCGCGCCGTGTTCGTGGCCGGCCTCATCCCGTTCTTCTGCAGCTCCCTCTCGATGTCCACCATGTCCCTCGGTAGCTCCACCCCCCTAAACAGCTGCTTCAGATCCTCGTCCACCTTTATCACCCCAGCTCTCGGGTCGTTCGGATACACCGTGTCTTCCTGCGAGTCCAGATTCGACAGCAGCCACACCTCCCCCTCCCCCTTCAGCCTCTGCAATCCATCATACATGATAATATCACCAAACAAGACATGTTCCTGTTCATGTTCACGTTCTTCTTCCTATTCCTCTTCCTTTTTCAGGGTTTGGAATGAATCCAGGGATCTGAAGCTACTTGGCGATCATATATATTGCCCATGAATGGTTTTATCTCCGAGAAGAAGATTGGGGGTTGATTTGATTCACGACCAATGAAATGGGGAGATGGGTGACAAATTCCTGCTGATAGGAATTAAAAACTCCAGAATGGAATGAGCAAAGAAAGAAACAATGGCGAAGGCAGAGACCTGTAAGTCATCCATGACAGTCGGGTAGGAGTCCTTGAGGTCGATGACCGCGATGCCCTCTGGAAACTTCCGAACGAAGTCGAGGAGTTCGCTCTTGTTCTTCAGGTTGTGCTTCGACTGCAGATAGAATTAATGTTATCAGTCTCTCTCTCTCTCTCTCTTAGACAACATGGACACGACTAGATTAGACCAAGGTTGCTGTGACATACAAAACATTCACACCGAATTTCCTTATAGAAATGACCGTAAGTAAAGTCAACTCCTTAATGGCTGCCATGCAGGCAGGGCCGGAAAGTCAACCACGGGCATGCATGCAATATTCAGGAAAGAGGTAGGCTCAACTAGCAGACTAAGAAAATAAAAATTATTAAGACGGATACATACAACTTGAACAGTTCCTCCGCAAGAAAATGCTCAGCTTATGAACCAAAATAATCTGTCTCGGTGCATTTTTTCTTTTCCTTTTCCAATTTCATCCAATGGAAGATACCTTGTAAGAGAAGCGATGACCGTCGTAGCTAACTTTATGGTTGTTCTTCAAGCTTTCAAAGACGGTCTTGTTGGCGATCACGTCGACATAGCAGGCTTCATTTATCTGCTCAGGCGTGAAAGCCTGTCTTGTCTGGAAAAGAGAATCCGCGGATGAGCAAGTGCATGCAACATAATGAAGATCAAGACAACTGACCCATAACAAAGTCAGCTCAGATGTATCCACGCATAAAACAATATGGTTTTAACAGGGAAAATCGCAGTCCCCAGGAGAGGGTTTCCACAAAAGCCCAGAACAGATATAAAATATTCGAAAGCTTGAAAGGTAAGTTGCATTCATGCCCAGATGATGCACTCTGCCACGCCTTGGAGATCACTGATTTCCACCCAACTATGGTAATTTAAACCTCTGCAAGTCAAAATCCAACAAGTGTACTCTAATAATCTCCATGGCTAAACACCAGAGTGACCTTTCTTTTTTTCTTTCTTCATTTCGATTCCTTGCTCTCAGGTCTCACCAGGTTCAGCATGCGTCTTCTAGTCCAAGACCAAAACCCGTGTAAACTATTGGCCTATGCGCATAGATGAAGAGGACCATAATCACCTGCGAAATAATGGATGCACGGATTTTTTAGCTGCAGAACTATGAGCTGACCGATCAATGCAGTGACTGGCCGGGGTTTACAATTGTTCTCATCTTTTTTCCCAGGAAACACATTTACAGACGGACATGCGATAACCCATCCTGAAAAGTGCAATTTGCCTCCATGTCCGAAAGAGTTTTGAGGAACAATTAAAGCTAAATCACAGTCCAATCGGAAGAACAGAGCACCAGGAAATGGGCAGATTTTCTTGCTATGGATCCCATCCACCAAAAATCCAAGACCGACGACATCGTGGACCATATCTTCTCCTCCAATCCTTTTTCCGGGGATGAGGGAAGGAAATCGTCAATAAATCACATGGCAAACGCTACGGGATCCGCCGGTTCCACTTCCCCTATTATCTCTTCCATGTCTCAAATCCAAGCCCTTATTCTCTTGAATCCTCCTCTTGCGGGGATCTCGGGACATCCTCTAATCCCTGGCATCGCTGTTCGACAGCCGTAACGGAAATTGAGATCTCCCAAAACAGCGCAACCATTACTGACGCAAGCTCGTCGCCAAGACGACGATCATTCGAACACCACACCGAGAAAAAACTCCGTTCCATTTCCTACCGGACTCCCGGCGACGACAGCCGTACCTGCAAGAGCAAGTCGATCACGCGCTTGATCTGCGCGCCGGCGGGGGACTTCCGGATCCCGTTGATGTGCTGAAGCCGCTCCGTGTCGCTGGAGAATTTCACCGGCGCCACCGGAACGGCGGGCGACGGCGCGGCCCTGTGCGGCGCCGCCGACGTCCTGCTGGAAGACGACGCTCGGGAGATGGTATCGGTGAGTATAGACTGGCATTTCTCCTGCTGTTGCTTGAACTTGTTCAGTCGCTCTTGCAGCGACATGCCGCCGATCCAGAGAGATCAACCAGGAAGATGAGCGAGACCGCCGATTCCCCTTGCCAGATTTCTCCCAGACGAATTTCTCCCCTCGCGGCGGAACTCACCGGAGCGGAATTGGGGAAACGAAGGACGATTCAGTTCGATCGGGCAAAACCCTAATCCGATCGGAGTGGCGAAAAGGCGGCACGGGATGGGGACACCATCAAGCCTCCCTTCCCTTCCTTCCCGCAACTCCTCTCCCTCTCTGAAGGTCTGGTTCAGGGGAATCCACAGGAGGAAGAAGAAGACGGAAGGAAAAGAAAGAGGATTTTTCTCTCCCCTCCGCTCGATTTCAGAAGGGATATTTATAGAGTGAGGGTCTGCTAGACGCACGACCACAGTGCAACGAAAAATGTACCCGCCAATCGGCACTCGAGTGGTGCGCAAGTCAAGTCAAGCTCTCGTGAGTGGTATTCCTAGAATAGCCCCCACTGCCCCCTGTGGGGCCCACGAAGGATAGCGAGCTGGAGAGAGATCCTAAACAATATAAATCCTACTTCGGGTCAGATTCTTACTTTCCAGGCATTTTGAAATCCTCGACTTATCGGTAATTTCATGCATTTTATATATATTTTTAATTCCTCGGAAATAATCATGATCATCACCGTCCAAAAGAGGGGAGGTCAGGATCGTGAGAGAATCCAGTTTCTCTAACACTCGTAAGGTTCTTCGGGAGAATAAATATATCACACCTACAATAAATTAAAGAATTTAAGTGATTGCTCTTAGCTGATTCTCCAAATCCGTTTTTTTTCTCCTTCGGGCAAAATCTAATGGATCGATCATCTTTTAATGGCTGATAACTCGATCGTCTTTTATCGGTTTTCGGCAAATAATGAAAGATTAGATTGGAAATCATGATGGCCGACTCCCAATCCCATCTTTTCGACACGGATAAATGAATGAATAACATGAAACAATCAGTTGTGGCTATCAACCATGTTCGACGCAGTCAACACTTCACAGTAAACTTTGATCTTGCCCGAGCGGATCCGACGAGCTCACCTTCTCTGTAAACAACGTGTAGTGGGCAAAAGTTCGGAGTTTCGATGATATTGGTTGTGTAAATCACGGCGACGGCCGGGAAACTGAATGACCGAGACTGAAATTGATTCGGAGTTCGATTCGCTGACGCACTGAAATTTCTGAAAAGAGACTGAGTGATCCTTTTCCCCCCAAATATATCAAACCTCGAGCTCGGGGATTGGTACCTCGGAAGATTAAGAAGAAGCAGCGGAATTAACGGCATCCATTTCGATGGCTCAGATTTTGTTAGCAGCTTCTTCGATCAAGAATTTTCTGAAGCAGAACTGGCGTTTTGAAGCTGTAATAGATCATCACGGCCGGGAGGTTCAAAATCTATCGGCGAAAATCAAGGTGGATGCGGATAGAAGAGATATCACCGAGCAGAAACCAACTCATCCCGCATCGACAAGTTCAACCACTTCGGAGTTCGTCGACGGCGGCTAGATGCAGCCGCCGCTAGATCTCGACGAAGAAAGGGAAGAGGGAAAAACACCAGACCTCTGGATCAGAAACGGAAATCCAAAGAGAAGCGCGGCGCAAGGCCATCAGCAGAGCCGGAACGAGGACGAAAGATTGATCGGAAAACGAGAATGAATTCACCGGAGATCTGCAACACATAGCGGCCGAGGCCGGCTGCGGCACGAGCATTGGGACCTCGCTTCCCCCACCTGATCTGGTCTGAGCATTTGGGAAAGACGAAGGAGAGAAGAACATCGCGGAATCAAAAACTCAAGAGGCAGATTCGACAGGCTCCTGAAGAAAGAGGAACGCCGCCGCGAGTGGTGCTGAAGGAAAAAGTGAGGAGGAAGGGTAATACTATTTATAGAAAAACCGCCGCCTGCGGAAACCCTAAACCACAGACCAGCTCACCAGGGAGAACAAAAAAATGGCACATAAAAAACTCCAGATAAATTAATTCATGGGTCCACAGACGCCCAGCAGGCGGCTCGCCTCAGACAATCATCCACGTCAGGTGCCGATAACGCAGCCACCTGGCCGCCAGGTGGATGCCGACGGCTAACCCCGCCAGCCGCAACGGGACCGGCGCCGCCGCCCTCTCGCTGTCGCCGCCTGCCGCCACCTCCTCCGCCGGAGACCTAGAATTCTGCAGTACAGCGAGGCCCAGGAACGCTGCCATGGCCACCGCCCTCAGCCACGGCGCCCCGACGGCGACCAGCAGTGCCGCCGGCGGCAGGGCCGCCTCCACCGCGTCCTTCTTCTGGACGAACCTCGAGAAGCAGAAGGCCCCAACGAGGAGCGGCCAGAAGAGCAGCCCGGTGATTGTCCCTCCGACGGCGGCATAGCCAAGCACGCCGGCGGCGGTGAGGAGGTGCCGCTGGCCGTTGACCGAGCCCGGGGAGGCGGCTTCTGCAGCGGCCATCACCGCCGATGTGAGGGCGATGATCCAGAGGAGCTCCGCCACGGGGGCCGCAGCTACCACGCTTGAGTACGCTGTCCGGGTGAGGTTGAGGGCGAAGTCAACACACCACAGGATGGCGGTGATCGGCGGGCCGATGAGGCGGTAGAGGAGACCGAAGAGGAGCTTGGAGAGGTAGCCGGCGGAGCCAACGACGGCGGCGGCTGCGTTCCTCCAGTTGGAGAGCTCCCACAGCACCGCTCGCCAGGCGTACGCAAGGAAACCCAGAGCTGCAGCGCATCAATTTGTTTTAGCTGGGTAAGAAAGATGCAGATTCCAAACCAGATTTTACTAAAAAAAATGACACATTCAGTTGACTTCTCCTTGTTTCATTGAAAGCAAATAAGTCAACCTAAAACAGTGTACTAAAATAAAAAGAAAATAATTCAACCTGAAACGGAGAGCTAGTGCTAGAAAATAACCCATTAAAGTAAGTAAGCTATGTTGCTTTGCTGAACATAATTCAATCAAATATCAGTGAAAACCCCCCAGTTAATCCTCACAGGTCAACGACACTTGCAAAGGGACGAATCTTCCCCGAATCGATTGGCACCTCCGCCATATACACGGCTCTGGAACCACAGAAGCCCAGTTTTCCTTTGAAGGAAACGAAGGAAAATCGATTATTGTCGAACGAAAAAGTTTTTGCTGCCACGCCAAACAGGCCCAATGATCCACATTTATGAGAAAAAAGTATTTTTTAATTAAAATTTTTACTGAAAAAGATAACAACTTCCAAAATAGGTCGCTTGGCTCCAGGCGATTAAATTGGAAATAACTGGCAAAAGGACCAAGGCAACAATGATGACAATTCTCTGTGGAGAGGGAAATGGTTGGGAAGTAAACTCCCAGAATAAACGATGAGGCTCACCAAAAGTCAACACAACAAGGGATATCAAAGAATGATATTCTCTCTTAATCACTAGGAGTGATAATTAAGTTCCCAACCTTCCTGTGCTACTCACCTGAAGTCAACCTCAACAATCCTGAGTAGGAATCTAATTTAGTCAACGCTTCTGAGCTCTATGCCACTGCACACAACAGAGAGTACACAGGCAAGGGAACAGGGAAACGTCCGAGAGAAAAAGCTGGTAATGATCCACTTTCATGGCAGTTAGTGCATAGGAAGGGAATCTGGAGACCCTTCGATCAACCATAATGGAAACTGGTATGGCCAGAAGCGACCAAACTGGTTTAGTTCCTGGTCAAGATAAGCACAAAATCAGGTGTTGGATCTCTTAATCTTCAGCAGGTTAAGCAGCGGCAGAGAATTGGACCAAGGCAACAATGACGACAATCAATGGCAGTTCAAGTGGAGTGGTGATAAGTGGAGCTGCTCTTTCTTACCACTGCTGACCATTTCCTACCACAAAATTTTTCATCCTTAGCTTCTTATTTCTATTAATCTGTTTCTAATGTTCCGATAAATCCTTCATTCTTCTTATGCTTCGGATATTTTGCATGAGATCAATGTGGTTGGAGTCATCACGAAATTAGCATCATCCATAGAATCCAATGCTCAGACAGATCTCAACGAATTCTCCCATAAATCGGTAATTTATATAGTGCTCCACCCTGAGAAATAATTTCAGAAATGCAGGAATCCGACTGGAAGGGGTGAAACAGTCTCCGGAATTTATCGAATCTACGGAATAATTTGTATCAAAACTTGATTCGAGAAGGAGAGAAATCCTCCTTTCTCAGGCAAACCATGGCCACCAAATCACGTACCGACAAGCCATGGCCATCTCAAGGGGCGGTCGGGAGTCTCCTTGTTAAGGTTGCGGAACCTTTCCGGCAGCGTGCTCCGCCCCCGCGCCTCTGCGACCTCATCGCTAGCAGCCGAAGAACTTTCCTCCGCCTGTATCCCTCCATCGCTGGCGGCACTCAGAGGGAACCGCGCCGCCCTGCGAGATGGAAACCCCTGCGGGAACTGGCCGGCCGTAGCCCTCAGAGAGGGGAGTCGGAAAGAGGTCGGATGAAGAGGGGAAGTGAGGCGTCTCTGAGGAAGGTACCCTCGCCCCCAGTTGAGACTCGAGGTTGAGGAAAGGAGGAGAGAGAGAGACCCAGACATCGAAGGAAGAGAGAGAGAGAGAGAGAGAGAGAGAGAGAGAGGGAGGGCTTTGAAGAGGATGGCCTGGGGCGAGGGTTTAGGATATCAGGTAGCTTTAAGGAGGTGTTTGAGAATGCTACCTCGGAATCCGAAAATCTGCTTTCAGAATTTTGTTATATTCCACCGATTTTAAAACCAGAAAAAGTAAAATTTATCAGGTAATATTCATAAAATATGCTTTAAATAATTCAGTGGTAAACTGGATGAATATTTATTATTTCCCTAAATTATATATATATATATATATATTTGCTAAAAGTTAAGACAGGAGGGTGGCTGGGCCGGGCTTCACAGCGGGGCATCGGGGGCTTGGCCCGCCCAGCCCGATCCGATACGCAGACTGAGGAAAGCCATTGGGCTTACCTCCATATCCCCCTCTTTTTCACTCACTCACTCACTGATGTCCTCTCTCTCGCTCTCTCTCTCATGTTCTCTCTCTCTCTTTCGCTCTCTCGCTTTCTCTCTCTCTCTCTCTCACACACACACACACACACTCACCCGCATTCTTTCTCTCTCTCATTCACTCATTCATCCGCATTCTCTCTCACTCTCTCACTCTCTATCTCCCCTTCCTATCTCTCTCTCTCTCTCTCTCTCTACCTCTCTCTCTGTCATTCACTCACTCATCCGCATTCTCTCTCTCTCTCTCTCTCTCTTTCTCACGTTCTTTCTCACTCTCTCACTCTGCCTCCCCCTCCTATCTCCCCCCCCTCTCTCTCTCTCTCTCTCTCTCTCTCTCTCTCTGTGCCTTCGCTTCCACGAGTTGACCGACGGAGACGAGGCGTTCGAGACCCTTCTCTGCTCCTCGGGCTCGTTCCTAGAATGGCTATGGCGAGGAGAGAGAGAGAGAGAGAGAGAGAGAGAGAGAGAGAGAGTGAGAGAGAGAGTGAGAGGAAGCTAAGAAAATGGAGGAACGGATTGAATCTCTTATTTATGGGGAGATGAGCTCCCGTTCATGGAGGTAGATGGCTACATCCTGGAGGAGGGAGGGTGTGAGAAATGACAGCCCTTCATGCACTCTCCCTTCCACCGGACGCAGCAGCCTCATCATCCTCCTCCTCCGCCGCCGTCTTCACCACTCGCCACCGCCGGGTGACAAGGCCGGCGGGTGGCCCCTGCAGTTGCCTTTAGGATCGCACTTCCTGCTCACGAAGTGGGCCGGCGGAGGCGCCACTTCATCGGCGCCGGTAGGTGCAATGGGCGGCGGGCGTATGATCACCGTCTCGTCCACCGCCGCCGCCGCTTCACCGGGGGCGGCGATCACAGTCTCCTCCGGCGCCAGCGCCTGCTGCGGAGGTCCTCGGCACCTTGTGATTTTGTTGCACCCACGAGTCCAGTGGTTGGAGGGCGGCGGCAGCACTCCGGCCCCGGCGCCGGCGCCGGGGCCGGGGGCCTCCCCCACCGCCTCGGCGGCCACCAGGAAGAAGCAAGCCGCCGCCAGCACCACCGCCCACGCCCGCGAAAGAGACCCCATTGCCCCCGGACCCAGAAGCAGCAGGAGAAGCGGAAGAAGGAAGGGAAGTGGAGGCTGGCGGTGGAGAAAGAAGGCTCCCCCAGGGGCTCCTTTCATAGGGGGCTCCGGCGAATCCAACGGAGTTAATGCCGGAGATACGAGCACCTCGCCGGCGGCCACGTTGAGGCAAATCTATCCATCACCCAGCGGAGAGGAGGGAGGGGATTCAGTAACGCTTGGGCTTCCTCCCCCTTCCTCGCGCGTCTGTACAGCTCGAATAGAATCCATCCACGTGGCAGTTTGGCCCACAGCTTGCCGGAGTTGGGCAAGGTTGGCAGATCAGTTTATTAAAAACTAGGCTTCATTTATCAGATCACTGCTTTTATTTAATTTTCTGCCGATGAAAATTACCATAAATTATGCACTTGGGAATTCTCAAAATGGGTTTAAAATATATATATGAATTATAAATTTCGACGTTGACCGACTGACGGACGGTCAGCGCCGAGAATGCGGCGGTTCTTGCCGTTGAAGAAAGAAAACGGTGCGTGCTTCTGTCCTGAAACTGACTGTTTCAATGCACACCTCTACGTAGCTCAGCCATCATAGGATTGTACCAGTTAGCGATGGAGGCGGGAGTTTGGGAGGAGAGGGGGCGGGCGGGCCCTGGTTTCGCGGGTCGGAAAGGTGCCATTTTTACCACCTCCTTCCAGCCGGGCCGGCCCCCTTATCGCACCTTGGGCTCAGGTCTCTCGGTGCTCTCGGTGATCTCGGTGATCTCGGTGCCGGCGTCCATTCCACCGCGATCTCGCCTCGTCCTCGGATCCAATCGGCGGCGCTGGTGGCCGTCGTCGCCGACGGCAGATCTGCCCTGGCTGTGGGATCTCCCTGGTTATGAGGAGCCCCCGGAAGCAGGACCGGGTTCCTCCTCAACTCTCAGTCCTGTCGTCGGATGGCGTATCGGAGGAAGCACGCCGTCGCGAAGTCGTCCACGTTCGAGGTGTTCCGGTCCTCCGCCGCCACCGACGATGGGTCGTCTCCTTCGTCGTCCCTCGCCGCCCAGGCGATCCGGGCTTCCTCCGCATACCGTGATTCTTCCCTCTCGTCCGCGTACGGCGAGCAGGCTATTGGCTCGGCCCGCGGGGGCTCTGATCGGCAGGAGCCAACACCATTGCGTCGTGTGAGCAACCCTTGACCACTTCCTAGATATACCTACGCATTTTATATAGATCACATTGTTCTCATGCCCGGGGATTGCATCTGTATCTCTGAGTTCTACGCGTCACGGGAGGATGAAGTTGGGTTCTCCTGAGAGCTGTCGATCGACGATGGGTAATTAGTTAGGCTCGGTTGATAGGGACTGTGACAAGGTATTTACTCGCATTTTCTGCCGGCAATTCCAAGAATATTTCTCCTCAGTCCACCTTTGGTCAGGAGACAATGGGAGGGATTTTTAGGGATGAATAATCTTCTTTTTTTGATGTGTTTTTTCGGGGATCGACAAGATTTAAAAGTTTTTTTTTTCTTATTAACATGGGAAATTGGTATTAATATGAAGGTTTTCATGGCGGTTTCAAGCTAGAACTCTGTAGAGCCTGAGGAATATTGTTCCCTTGTCCTGAACCATTATTATCCTCTGTTTTTTTTTGGTTGGGCTATCTGCTCTCACCGTCCAGAATAAGTGATCATATCCGTATCGACATTTCTGAGATTTGATTAATTAACTAGAAGGATTATATCACGCATATTTTTGCTTCAACATATTAATATCATGCCGTATATTCTTCCTCTTTTGCTTCATGTTTCTTTCTGGATTTACGTCGAATAATATCATCTCTTGTGTTCTTGTGGCGATATTTATGCTCCGTTCTTCGAAGGTTTGCTGTACCCTTGATTCCCTCCATTGCCATATTGATGCAAAATACCTCGCCTTCGTTTCTTTTCCCCTCCCCTCAAACGCTTCGCTCCTGAATGCGGTTGCAATAAATATTTTTATTTGGGTGTTTTATATCTTTTTATTCCCATTATCATGGATTCAAGCAGGACTCTGTAATCTGGCAGCCTTACCCTCAAGAAACTGAAAGCTATCTATGCATCTACCCGGGTTTAATTATCAGTTTCTGTTTTATCTCTTCTTCATCTTGATTGGGGGCAGTATAGTTGTCAGTGTTTTCGCTCATTTCCGAAATGCGAGCAGAGGATGTAACATCATGACGTATTTCAATGGCCTCTCCCAAGTCAGGAAGATCGATTTTTCTGTGATGAGATTATTCTTGGTGTCTGCTCTCAAGCTCAGCTTTTCTGAGTTTGCTTTTGGATGAGAACCGAAATAGTACATTATCTTTCGTAAAGAAGTGATTTTTGTGGATTTTTTTTGTTCCACGCCGATCGATATCTTCTCTCCATCTACAGATGGGTTTGAAGGTTTTTATCCATCTGTTTTCTTCCGCATTCTAGATCGCATACTCTCTTCGGCATTTTCGTCACTTGAGGCAGCCTCTGCACATCTGTTCTCCAGCTTCTCCTCTTATATATATATATATATATATATATATATATATATAGATAGATTAATGGGCAAGGGTGGCTTGGTTGTTCAGGAGTCAGCCAGGACTCATCGCACATCGATGAAGAGCTCGGAGGAGCCCAGATCTGAAGGGCTCTGGGGTGCTCTAACTAGAAAAGCCAAGTCCATTCTTCAGGATGACGGCACAGCAGATGAAGGCAGAGGACCTGGTCGGAATCCGCTGCAGAAGCTCAGCACAGGCGATGGTGGTCAGGTGGGGACAGATGAAATTTTGTGATCCCCTTTCTAGAACCTCTGCCCCCCATGAAACTTGTTCATTTTCTGTCCAAGTAATTTATGGCATCCTGGAACCCACCCACCGACCCACCTGTTCCTAGAACCCGTTCCTGGCTGACTTCCTTGCGGACATTAGTGATGAAAGTTCCCATGGACATAAGTTATGAGGGAAAGGGTGGGTTTGAGACCGCTGACCGGCCATTCCAGCCATGTATGGGATGAAAAACCCACATGTTTCATCTTAAGAATCACCTTCTCCTTTTGCCAATTTTGTGGTTTCAGCAGCCCTGCCGATCACCAGAGGGGTTGCAAAAGCCAGAGAGCCCAGGGATTCAGAAGCGCATAGGTGTTTTAACATCTTCTCTCAGCTACATTGGCGGCACCATTGGGAATGCCTTGGAAGTAAGCCCTAAAAATCATTTTATTGTATATTTTTAATATAGATTTTTTCCTTTTTTTTTTTTTCATGTGGCTTGCCCTGCCCAGATCTCCTTTCAAGACCAAGTAAATGGGTTTGTTTTCCTCAGGAAGGCCTGTCAAGGGTGGAGCATCGAACTGCCGACATCATCCAAGAGACGAAGAAGCTGAATATGAGGAGGAAGAACGGCGGGTCTCAGATGCAGAGCAACGCCAATTCGCCTATTTCCCCTCAGCCTCAGGCCGCTGACTATGAGACCCAACTGAAGGCGTCTCGCAATGTAAGCCTGCAAGTGTGAGTGTGTGTGCCGTTAGATTTCGTGCAGTATTATGTCGCCCGCAATCTTCTTCTTTCTCCGGTTTGAATTTATGAACCCAGCTGATTGACCTTTTCTTTCTTGGGTTAGTAGCAAAGATTTGCTTGGCCAATTTTTTTCTTCTTCCCATTCAAAAGAGTTTGTAGTTCCGGGTCAACTGATTGATTTTTCCTATTTTTTTGGGTCAACTGATGGAGGCGGAAAACCCTTTTTTTCTTGGGTTAGTTGCAAGGATTGCTTGGCCATTTTTTCTTTTTTCCGTCCCATTCAAAAGAGTCTGTTCTTGTGGGTCAACTGGTTGACTTTTCATATTTTTGTGGGTCAACTGATAGAGGCGGAAAACCCTTCTTAATGGGAAGAGGAAAACAAACAAAAAAGCCCTGCTTTGTGTGAATTCGAGTAATCTCTTCATCTTAATTCAGTGATTTGATGCTCATTCTTGTTCTAAGGTCGGCACTGGTTAGTCGGAGCATATTATTTCTGGATTTATGTTGGCAAGAGCCCTTTGGGGGATAACTCTTTTCTCAACCTCTTGTGTGGGTCAACTCTGTGCGATGGTGGTCGCAGGTGGCGAATGCCATGGCGGCAAAGGCCAAGCTTCTCCTGCGGGAGCTAAAGACCGTGAAGGCGGACCTGGCCTTCGCCAAGGAGCGCTGCGCCCAGCTCCAGGAGGAGAATAAGGTTCTCCGAGAGAGCCGCCACAAGGGAGACCACCATGAAGACGACGACCTTGTACCTCTCTCTCTCTCTTTCTCTCTCTCACTCTCTCTCCCTCCTCCATCTCTCTCCCTCCCTCCCTCTCAGATGATCACTCTCTCTCTCTCTCTCCCTCTCAGATGATCACTCTCTCTCTCTCTCTAAAATGTGGGTTCTTGTGGGAGTTGACATCTGCAGATACGGTTGCAATTGGAGACGCTGCTAGGGGAGAAGGCGAGGCTGGCTCATGAGAACTCGGTCTACGCCAGGGAGAACAGGTTCCTGCGGGAGATTGTGGAGTACCACCAGTTGACCATGCAGGACGTTGTCTACTTGGACGAGGGCATCGAGGAGGTCACCGAGGTCTACCCCCCGGTACAGGTGCCTCCGCCGCCGCCGCCGGAGCCCTCCTCTCTCCCCATCCCCGTGCCCCCTCCCTCCGTCCTCAGCTCCTCGGCGGCGCCGCCACCGGAGCCCTCGCAAAGCCGCTGACTTTCTTTATTTTTTTCCACTGGGTGTAAAATTTTCTGCCCATTCTTGGGTTGTAATGAGCGAAAAAAACTGCCCGTTTTCCGCCGGGCAGCAGGTACAGTCCAGTTCGATTGCCCATTGATTTGATTCTTCGTCCAACACCTGCCTGGGCCAACTCAGTTCTTGGGGCTCACCAGAAATCCCCGCAGGAGCAGGAGCCTCCTTGGAAGTGGTGGAAGCGGTGCTTGTCTCGGACGATGATCTCCCTCCGGGCGACGGCGGACATGAGTTTGACGGCGGCGTGGCAGTCGCCGCAGATCCGCAAGTTCTTCACCACCCGCACGGCGGTGCCGCCGGCGGTGCTCATGATCCCGAACGCGACGGCGAGCTTCTCGCTGTGGTGTCTCAGGGCGATCTCCCTCTCCTCCTCCTCCACCTCGTGCATCACCGTCGCCGTCTCCGGCGAGTACCCCACCTCCCTCATCCTCCCCTCGAGCTCTTCCAGAAAGCGGTAGATCTCCGCTGCCTGCGGGTGGCGCCGCTCCCCCATCCGGAAGACATGGGCGGTTCCGCCCACCTCCACGGCGCTGTACCCCGCCACCTTCCTCAGACCCCGCCGGGCCATCTCCCCCCTCGCCGCCTCCACCGCCTCTGTCCTCCCCGCCATGGCGCACAGGTTCGATAGCAGCACGTAGTTCCCCGCGTTCTCCGACTCCATCGCCACCAGCCGCTCCGCTGCCTCCACCCCGAGCTCGAACCGCCGGTGCAGCTTGCAGGCCCCCACCAGCGCCGTCCACATCGCCGCCCCAGCCACCGGCGGCGCCGCCGCCGTGCGGACGAAGCGGAAGGCCTCCTCGAGGTGGCCAGCGCGGCCCAGCATGTCCACCATGCAGACCAGGTGCTCCTCCCGGGGAAGAAGGCCGTAGTCGCGCTGCATGCTCTCGAAGGCCTCGCGGCCGTCGACTACCAGCCCAGCGTGGGCGCAGGCAGCGAGCACCGCCACGAAGGTGACAGTGTTGGGCCGCGGCCCGCGGCGGCTCATCATCCGGAAGAGCGCCACCGCCTCTGCGCCGCGGCCGTGCATGCCGTAGCCGGAGATCATCGCCGTCCAGGCGACGACGTTGGGGCGGCGGAGCCCGTCGAAGACCTCCCTGGCCTCGTCCACGCAGCCACAGCGGGCGTACATGCTCACCAGGGCGCCGGCAAGGGCGGCGCCCACAGGGAGGTGCTTGGTGGCGATGTAGCTGCTGGCCCACTGGCCCAGGCGGAGGTCGCCGAGGTGGGCACATGCGGCGAGGAGGCTCACCATGGTGGCACCGTCGGGCTCCACGGCGGCGTCGGCCTGCATGGCGCGGAAGACGACGACGGCTTCTCCGGCGAGGCCGTTCTGCTCGTAGGCGGCGATCATGGCATTCCAGGTGACGAGGCTCCGGCGGGGCATTCCGTCGAAGACGGCGCGGGCGGCGGGGAGGTCGCCGCATTTCCCGTAGAGGGCGACGAGGGCGGTCTGGACGTAGACGTCGCCGGCGAGGCCGTCGAGGAGGAGGTGGCAATGGATCTCGCGGCCGGTGGGCAGCGCCGCCAGGTCAGCGCAGGCCTTGACGGCGGAGGTGAAGGTGTAGTTGCAGCGAGCGAGGGTGGCCTGCCGCATGTGGCGGTAGAGGCGGAGAGCCGCCAGAGGGTCACCGGAGCGGGAGGAGACGCGGATGAGGGAGTTGAAGAGGAACCCATCGGGGTTGGGGACGGAGTGGAGGAGGAGGCCGGCGTAGGCGGCGGCGGCGCCGCCGCTGGGGCCGGTCTTGATGACCAGGGTGAGCAGCTTCGTAAGCAGGGAGCGGCTGCGGTGGAGCCCGGAGACCACCATGCGAGCGTGGACCTGCCTGAGCGGGCGCAGCCGCGGCCCCGCTCCGACGAGGGACTGGTAGATCGGCGAGTGTTCCACCGGCGGCGGCGGCCCGGTGGGTTCCATCGGTGGAGAAGGAGGCGGCGGCAAGGCGGGTTCTCCTGTGCTGTCACATGGGGAGCAGAGCAAGGAGGACGAGAGCCTCCCTGGGGGAAGGAAGAAGACGGCTGCTTAGGCGATCTACCAACATTCCCCCCGATGATCCTCCTCCTCTTCCTCTTTTTTTTCTTCTTCTTCTAACAGGATCATCATCATCATCATCATCATTTTGTGTTTCTTTCTTATCGTGGAGGAAGATCGAGTGCACTCAGTGCTCGCACCCGCGAATAACACAGAAAAATCGAGGGGATGGATGGATTCAAATTCATCCGAGAAAACTAAAAACTTTCACCAAAATTATCACCGACCATAAGAAAGCATCCATTATTAATTAATTCAAAGGGTGTAATATTGATATGATGGTGATATTTTTACTTCAACCGTATCATTTTCTTACGGTATTTATGTTCAAATTGCGACTCGATTAGATCTCCCCATGTTGAGAGTTCTCCCAAGATGGAGGCTTTCTTCCAGGAGAACCGGCGAGCGGCGGGCGGCAGGCGGCGCCGGGGCCATAGAGGTTGGTTGGTCGCCGGCGGCGCCACCATGAGCTCCTCTTCTGGGAGGCGGCTTCTGGTCTCCTGCACCAAGCAGATGGCCGCACACGTGAACGGCGGGCGGCACAGGGAGGCCCTCGCCCTCTTCGTTCAGATGCGCGTCTCGCCTGAGCTCCCCGCCGTGGACCCCTTCCTCTACCCGCTGGCGCTCAAGTCCTGCGCGGCTCTCCGTCTCCCCGGCCCCGCCGCCGCCGTCCACGCGCACGCCGTCAAGGGCGGGCTCCTCTCCGGCAACCCCTTCGTCTCCTCCGCCCTCGTGGACGCCTACGCCAAGTGCTTCTTTCCCCCGGCGATCTCCCCTGCGCAGCGCCTGTTCGACGAATTACCTCACCGGAACGCCGTCGTCTGGGGCGCCATGATCGCTGCCCATGCCCGCGCCGGCGACGTCGCCGCCGCCGCGCGATTGCTGGACCTCATGGACGTCCCCCGCGCCGCCTCCGCCTTCAACTCCGTCATCGCCGCCCACGCCGGCGCAGGCCCCGGCGGTGCCATCAGAGCCCTCGCCCTCTTCCGGCGGATGCAGGCGGAGCGCGTCCGCCCCACCCTGGCCACCTTCCTCGCCCTCCTCCCCCTCTTCTCCGCCGCCGCCACCCTCAACCTCGTTAAGGAGCTCCATTCCTTCTCCATCAGGACAGCTCTCCTCCCGGAGCTCCGCCTCGGCAGCTCCCTGGTGGAGGCCTACGGGCGCTGCGGCAGCGCCGCCTACGCCCGCAGCTGCTTCGACTCCCTACCGGAGAAGGAGAGGGACGTGGTGTCGTGGAGCTCCCTGGTCTCCGCCTACGCCCTCAACGGGGAGCCCGCCGCCGCCATGGCCACCTTCCGGCGCATGGCCGCCGCGGGAGTGAGCCCCGACGGGATCATGTTCCTCGGCGTGATGAAGGCATGCACCCACGCCGGCATGGCCGACGAGGGCCGCCGGTACCTGGAGCTCATGCGGACGGACTACCAGATGGAGCCGGCGGGCGGGCACTACGCCTGCCTGGTTGACGCCGTGGCCCGCGCGGGGCGGCTGGAGGAGGCCCGCAGGATCATCGTGGAGGAGATGCCGGCGGGGAAGACGGCCAAGGCGTGGGGAGCGTTGCTCGGCGCGTGCCGCACGCACGGGGAAGTACCCCTGGCGGAGGCCGCCGCGCGGGCACTGGCGGAGATCGAGCCGGAGAACGCCGCCAACCTTGTCATCCTCTCCAGCGTCTACGCCGGCGCCGGCATGCACGAGGCCGCCGAACGGGTGCGACGGGAGATTCACGACAGGCGCCTCCGGAGGGCGCCAGGCAGCAGCTGGGTCTTCTCCTCCAACGGGCCTCCCGATGAACATCTGCCTCCAAGTCAACGGTTGATACAGGAAGAAAGGTCAGCGCTGAGATTTACATGAATGCCCACCTCGCCCGATTTTGGTTCTTCGGAGAGGGGCCGCGGCCCCCCCGGGCCAATGACGGCGTTTAACGCTTTTACATTAGAAGGCAGATCACTGACCAAGAACGTAGCAACAAGCTGTTAAATGTGCCGCTTACAGCAAGGTGAGGGGAATGTGGAAGAGAGAGAAACTAAAAACTTACCCAGCCGACGAGCAAGCACCACGGCTTCTGCCGTGGAAGAGCCGAGCCGCGCCGGCCTCTCGTCGAGTCGCTGTTCTAACAGCCGCCGCTATCCAGATCCATACTTCTCTAATATTGTCAACGATCCAAGGTCCGTCTGATCGCTGCCCGATACAGCAAGGAGATCGAGACTCGCCGCCTGCTGTCTTCTCGAGCCCTTCTTTCTTCTCCTTAGCTCAAGCATCTTAAGTCAACGATCACTGCGGTTGCCCGCTGATCGGGATTTGCAGGTGGGCAACATGATGCCTCGGTTGACTATGATGGTGGGCGGCCCGTTCCCTGTACTTCCCTGCTGCCCTGGCGCCGGATTCCGGGACACTGCCGGAGCTACTACTGTGCTGGGATGACGACTCCTGTTTACTGTACCCAGATCGCAGATATAGCTTGCGCCTGTCGGCATTCACAGAACGGCTGTGCTTGCCGCCGCCCTCTTGCTCGGTGCCGGCCTCGTGCTGGGCGGTGGTGGCGGCCCAGCCTTTCTGCTGCTGCTGCCCACGGCGATGGGGTACCGACGAAACGGGTTCATGCTTGGCCTCTGGGTCCACTGGCGCTAGGCCTGTGGCGGCTGCTGCTGCTGCCGATGAGGCCCTCGGGGAGGGCTCTTCTCCGGCCCTCCTCTCTCTTCTCTCTGCATGCCTTCTCGCAGTTCTTGCTTCTGCAGAAACAGGGATTGCTGCTGCTGGGGAGATCTTATTCTCGACGGGTGGTTGAGGATGGCTGCTCCCTCCAGGCAGGGAGGATTCACTGTCGGGTCCGTTGACTTGGGAGAAGACTTTCTGCGCTCCACCTCCACCCCTGGTTTCCGGGTCAGACGAGGAATTGTGCTGTGACTTCAGCTGCCAGTGAGACCTCGGGTGGTCGCTCTCATGTCTGACGACCCTCCTCCCAGAAGTTTCATCTGATTCTATGGTTATCAGCTGCCCCACAGCCCTGTCAGTCCTCCCATGGGAAGCGGGCTCCCAATTCTCTCTGGTCCCACCGCCACTGGCGACGACCTTGTGACCACGGAACGGTGGCCTCCTTCCTCTGCCCAACCTCGCAGAATCCTTCTCTACACCAGCTGCAGCAGTCACGGGCTCACTCTGTACCACCACTTGGTGACGATCCACCTTCCAGCCATCATCCGAAGATTTCGCTTGCTCTTTCTGCGGATCACCCTGTTCCTCCTCGGCATTGTTCTTGGAGTTGGAGAAGGATGAGCTTTTGAGGGAGGAGCCTAACAAGGGAGAGGGAAGCTCCGGCGGGACCCGTCGGCGCCATGATGCGTGCGCTTTACTGTTCTTGCTGGGTTTGGTGCTCTCCCTGCCCGTAGTATCTCCACTAGGTTCCGCTTTTAGATTCGCTGAATGACCCGTTCCACTGCTTGCAGCTCCCTGCGAGCTGATTGGAGCTTTTGGAGCAGATGGTGCTGGCTGATGATGAGAGGTGGCCGGCATCTGCTGAGAGAGGAGTTCTTGGGCTATGGGCTTGGGAACGTACCTCTCCATCTCTGCCCTCTTGAACTTCAGGTTGTGCTCCACGTCGCTGCTGCTTTTAGCAGAAGGGTCGGAGATCGCTTCGTCAGCCACAATCTGCGCTTCCTCGGCCAGCTCTTTCTTGCCCGTTGACTTCACTGGCGCCCAGACGACTGCCTCGGCTCCGTGGAACTTATCTGCCGGTCTCGCTGCCTGTGGGTTCCTCGTGATTTTCCTCGGATGCTGAGGCTTCCACTGCAGCGTTGACTTAGGAGGGGCTTCTTCTGTCGCTCGGGAAAAGACCTGGTTGGGGGGCGCAGTCGGCAGCGCTCCCGCAGACTTTTGAACCCTGACTGCAGCACCATCAGGGCCTTCCTGCTGAACCGCACCATCCTTAGCTGGTGCTTCCGAGGGCTTGGGTCTACCTTCCTCAACAGCTGGACCCTTCTCGGGGGCCTTCTGCGACGGTTTTGAGACGATGCTTGAAGGAGCCTCCTCTGGCTTGCTTCTATTCCTCATGATTCTACTGTTCCTCTTCTTGTGGTGGGTTAAAGATTCATCCACGTCTTTCTCCGCAGCTGGCGCCTCCACACCGGTCGAACCACCAGGAATGGCAGATTCAGTGAGATGCTTCGAACTCACGACGATGGAACCGACCAAGACGCCATCGGAGATATCCTTCTCAGATACGTGCTTTTCTTCCAGATTGTGGTGCCGCCTCCTCTGGAGCGTCTGTTTCTGCTTCGAGGGGCCGTTATGCTGGAACTGGGGATCGCTTTGAGCCTCAACAGCAGCTGGCACCTCAGACGCAGGTGGGTTGTCACGAGTGACCGACTGAGAGACAGTCTGGGAAGATGAATCCACAGGTTCCTCGGGTACAACGACGACGCCCTCCTTTGGCGATCCAAGTGTCTTCACTTTATGATGGGTCTTTGGCGGCACCGCAGCATTAGCTGGATCAGAGAGACGGACTGGGGCCTTGTCATCAGCAGTGCTGTGCTTAGAATCGGGGCATTTAGTCATGTCCTGGTGAGGCTGGGTTTCAGTGGAAGGAGCATGATGTAGTGGCTGATTGGAGCTTTCTGCTGCAGTCCTCCTGTTTAATTCTTCCAGCTTCGCTAGCGCCCTAGCCTTCTGCTCTCTTATTCGCTCTTCCTCCTCCTTCTGCAGTTGCTTTGCACGTTGTCTGGCAATCTCCTTCATTCTAGCGTGCTGGCAGAAGCATTCGGGCATTAGTAGAGTTGTCTAATAAAATATTAAACACAAGCTAGAAAATAAGCCCAAGAAAACAAGGAAAATTAAACATTTATTCCAGAAGAAGCTGCAGGAAATTAAAAATATTGAAACAGCACCGTTATCCTACGAAAGTAAATTAAATCTATAACCACTAAACGTATGTGTTTATCAACTCTTCCACCATCAAAATCATTGAGGCCAAAGGCAACACTGGAAATCAGGGAACTAAGGACAATCTCTCTCTCTCTCTCTCTCTCTCTCTCTCTCTCTCCCCTACGTAAATCAAGGAACACCGGAAATGAAGGAAATATAAAGCATGACATTCCCTACGTGAGTTATTCAGCAATGGAGATTCCATAAACTCAAACTGTCAGTATGAACACGAGCATGCTTATTAGAATAAGTAAAAGCTTTCATAACAATGAATCAAAAACCTAATAAAAAATCTGCATCTCACACCTGAGCTTTAAGATCAACCGAATCCATTGACGACACAATAAATGCCTTCTCGTTTATTTTCGTGTCATGCAACTCTTTCTTCTCCGTTACATCCTGACAAGGCCGGTGATCTTCTACCCTTGCCTCTGGAGAGTTCTCTGTATTATCTATCACTGAGGATCCAGGAGATTTGTTCTTCCATTCTTCACCATTCTTGCCATTGAACCTCGATTTTGAATGGTGATCCATTCTATTCTGTTGGTTGTGAGACTTTCGGTGAACCTGTGAATGAGCAGTTGATCCAACTACAGGACCCAACAGACTGGCCGAAGGAGCATGCACTTCAGATGCCCCTGATCGTGCTTTAACACAAGCAGGTGGTGCCGGAATTGCATCACCCACACTCACTAAATTTTCCAAAACAGGATCAGTAGAAGATTTCTCAGGCACAGCAGGAACCGTATCAGTCACTTGAGTCGTATCTGCCTTGTTGTTTACGTTCTTAAAAGGCTTTTCTCTATCCTCCTTGACAGCACCAGGGACTGCAGACCGACCATCCACAACTCGAGCTTTATTATTCAAACTCTCAATCTTTTCAATCAAAGCGGAACTCTTCTTAACAGGCCATCTCTTTGGATCTTCTCCTTGACCAGAAGCATTCGCGTGACGATCAGCAACTGTTTCAGATTTAATCGAAGGGACGATCTTATTTTGAATAGCCGGAATCGACGGATGAATTCTGGATTCCTTGTCAGACTGATGAGCAACTCCAGGTGCCATCTTAGCAGTCTCATCCTTATCACCTTCTTGAAGAGCTGGTTCAGGAGCTAGTGAATGATCCTTTATTTCTAACTGTGACGCACCTGATGTTACAGACTGATCTTTCTTCTCTACTGAATCATTGTCTTTCCATCTATCATGCTGTTTTAATAGAACCTTGAACCGTGGTCTGTGACTGTCATGAGGATGACCGTCGTCAACTTCTTTACCAGCCCTTGGAGGAGCATTATAAAAAGGCGCTTCATGGAGGTCTCCGATGTCCCCCTTTGACTTTTGACCTGGGTGTTGGTTGTAGAGCGTTGATTGAAGAGGAGCCATTCCTAACACAGGTCCATCCCGTTCACTGACATTGCTAAAGCTTGGAGGGCTATAGTGGCTGTCATTATGTGCACGACCAGGATAAACGTCTGGCCTCCTAGGGCTGAGAGGGCGGTGCATTGCCATGTGCGAATCAGGTGGGTGAGGATGATAGGGCGGCCCATTCATAGGCCCATAAGAAGCCATCACATTTCCATGTCCAGGACCAGCCTGTGGGTTGGACAACGGCCTCATCGGTAGCTGTGGGTAGAAAGCATACGGATCAACTGGATAACTGCCAGGCCCGCCTGGTCTAAACATCCCACCTGGAGGGGGGCCTCTATACCAAATTCCATCGGGAGAATTTGCCATTGGTGTCCCATGCCAAGAATCAAACTGGTACGGAGGCAGACTATTCGTATTTTGATATGGCTGCATCTGTTGCTGATCTCTTTTCCAATTGTCACTGTTCTGCGGTGTACCACCACCCACATGAGGAGAATTATCATTTCTCCACGCATTCACATTGCCCTTGCTCAAAATCTCATTACCTGGAAATCAAAGAGATATAACATTAAAGAGAATAAAGGAAACGAAAGATTTCATCAATTGGCTTATTACATCAATATGTGGGAGCATATTGATGTCACCCAATAGCCCCATGACGTGTGGCTGTATTGCTAAACAAAGCTACGGTAAATGAACACAGTCAAATAATACCTACCGACAGGCAGGAACTCGACTGTTTCCTTTTCTGCAGTAACTCTTCCGGAAGCAGAAGCAGGGCGCCCTTGAGAACTATCACCTGCAGCATAGAATGCTTGCTAAATAAGAGAAGAATCATGAAATAAAAGATAAGGCATTCAACAAAGACAAAGTAACCCCAAAGACCTGCCACCGCAGTAGAAAAACAAGCCTGTGATTATATATAGTAGATGGGCTTGACTTTATTCATTTTCAATTGGTTTCCATAAGATGACCCCCTAAAATTTAATAACGACATATTTCTCAGAAATGTTGAGTGGTCTTTCAAACAGGTTAATCATTACGTGGAGAATATTTATGGGGTGTTTCTGACAGTACGGAATGAACCACGCAATGTTATCATGGCCCTACCCAGTGTTTCCCAATACCACACAGATGCTTTCCCTATTGGATGTGTACCATTGAATGTCCTGTAAATTTCCATAAATGTCACGTACGTTTCATTTTGAATAAATAAAAATCTTTACCACGAAAATTCGATGGCAAATCTGAAATCAAACGAATTTCGTTTTGGTAATACTTTTTTGGACAACGTCCTTTTATTGCAGAATATACAATAAAGGTGCTCCACATTTTTATTTTTTCTTCTTATTGTTGGGGAGGGGGGAGGGGACAATCTGAAAGATCATAAATTTTCTGTACAATGTAATTTGAATCAAGCTAGTCATCACGGATGAAGAGCAAATCCGCATGAAATTTTGTGTGCATAACATATCCTTATTTCTCTATCCCAGAAAGAGATTTCAAGAACGAAAGAAAAAGCAAATCTCATGTGATAGGTAAATCACATGCCATATAAAACAGGCCGCATGTAACATTTTTACATTACAATGAAAAAGAGTAAGAGTTTGCATACATTAACGTAGATAAATCATATAAAATTTTCCGCAGACTTAATTCTTTTTCAAAAAACTAAAGAAATTTAGAAAATGCACGCTCTAGCAATAGGAAAAAAGCTGATAAGTTCATCAATACACATCATCCTGCAGACAAAGTAACGATTTAAGCGACTCAACACAAGCTTTGAATTGACAAAAAAGCTTTCATGAAACTAGTGTCAAAGAACAGATAAATATGTGTACCTTCCTGTGGCACATTTGACTTCGAAGTCTTCTCAGAGCCCAGCGTTGGAAAATCCCCAGAACTCAAATTAAAGGTGTTGAGCTTCGATGCAGTTACCTACAATGGAAAAAATGATGATAACCAAGGAGATGGATCAGTATAACGAATCCATACAGCTAAGGAAATATTTCAAATCAGATGCAATACAGTTTTGGATGACAGCCTAATTCAATAGGGAAAGAATTATGATACAACAGTCGAACTTGAATACGAAAACAGTACCAATTTCTCAGGGATTCTTGAGGGCCCCCATGCAGAACCTTCTGGAACAGATTCTCCAAAACATGAGCGCTGGGAACTACCATGACGAGTTTCAGCACTTCGGGGACGTGTGGCTACAACTGGTGCCTGATCTGATGGCAATATGCCGGAAGCCGAAGATGGTCGTGAATTTGAACTCCAAGCACCGGAGACAGCCTGATGGGATCTATCACTAGTAGCGGTTGAAGGTCTGGTATAACTTCCACCAGATGATGGACGACCACTAAGACCGTTTGGAGAGCTAGTACTTCCATCTGTATTTGGAGATGACAAAGATGAAGAGCCCCATGCATTTGGGCCAGCCAATGAAGCGCGACTACCCCAAGTAAGCGTGCCCCTAATAGAACAACACAAGTTATGCCATACAGTCACTTCAACAAATATCAAATAGAACAGAGCGAGAAAGTAAAAAGCTCTTCGAAAGAGGGAATAGAATAATATTACACTATACTTACTTGGGGACTATTTCCACATTTGGGTCTAGGCCATGATTCTCCAACCTTCAAAAGCCAGAATATGAACTTCTTAATGAAACATAAGTTCAAATGACCCAGTTAAAGCATAATGGCAGTATAATCCTGAGAGAGCTAGTTACCTCTGGCTAGGCAAGTTAATAGGTTTCGGAACTTTTCCCAAGACAGTCATGCCTGATTTTCGAGTTTGACCCCACCTGAAGTTGCATTAAAATGATATAAGCATAGATAAATTAAAAGGCAGATAAATTCATTGATACCCTACACTGACATATGACCTGTAGAACTTGAACCATGTTGCAATCTCACCAGAAAAACAAGTTTTTGAAATGAATAACACAGAGAGAATGATAATCCAGAAGTGTGACAAATGTAGCGTTTTCTAATCGCAAAAATTACAGAAACATTGTGATCTCGCTGCTAGATCATGAAGCAGATAAGCGTACCTGTCACTAACACAAATTTGAAACCAAACTTTGGGAACCCTGGGATGTGAGTTTGACTGTGTACATGCGGTCTTTGTGTGGCTACATTTTGATAGAACTTTTATTTAACCATTCAGATAAAATGCGATCCAATTATTCAACGAGTTTTTGTATTGAACAGACTTATATAAACTTAGCAAAATATGTCACATCTCACTGAAAGTGCTCAATGAATCTCAGGTAAAATGCATTTGCATACCATAAAGGCTTCCAACAAAAACTCGATTTTACAAAACAAATAAATGAATAAGAATGATGATAAACTTAACATTCTTTTCTGTTGATAGTCAAATCCTGAGAAGGATCAAGTTCAACAGTCGACAAAACTTTATTTAAAGTCAACACATAGATCATTCCAACAAAGTATCTCTGTCTCAACCTTTAAGTAATTTGTTATGCTAATGTACACAAACTGATCTAAGAATTTTTTGATTAGTTATGACGGATAAAGCAGCATAACACATTTTCAAAACCATAAAACTCAATCTCACAGTTATTGATAATTATCCAGTGGTTCATTTGACACCCAACATCATATAGTACAGTCCCTCGACCTAAGGGAAACGAAATTAAGAAAATGTAGACACAGCAAACAGGACATTATAATATAAATATGTACAAGAGAGTGTAAATATGTAGAATACTACTTCATAAGAGCTATCATGTGACCTAACAACAACCGAACCCAACTATGCTAGATTGGGATATAATGCCGTATATAGTTGTTCTCGGGAAAAAAAACAGTCCAAGTTATCTGTCAACGTCTAACACCAAAGCCTTATCAAAAGTATGATAATGGCATACTATAAATGATGAACCGTGATAATCGATGGTTGAGGGCAATCCTTTGATGATCCGATGCTTGAATGGACTACCTAATCACATCAAGATCATCTAGCAACAACATGATTCACTTCTATATACTGAAGTTGGTGTAAAGTATTGTGAAGTATTCTGAGTAGCCAATTAGTACAAATCCAGCCCTTTGAACTCGGCTGGTTACAAGAGACAATTGTACGACTGAATTTTGGTATGGCAGAGTTTGTGTGAGGAAACTGACTCTCGGTCCAGTATCACTTGTCAATGTATCTTTGAGCTGAATGGTCAAATGAATTTGAAGTTGCATTACAACCCCTTGGTAAAAGAAATAAAAACTCGCACTGCATACGAACCAACATATTTCCAACATGAGTTACGAGAAACAAACACAAACATAGTAACCAAAGACATGATGCGAGTGGTGACGACCATAACTCTCACTGTTCCACAGCATTGCATGACAATTTATTTCAGGATAGTGTAGAGCAACAACAGTTAGAAACCGGTGAGTCACATTAATCTGAGTCAGAATACAAGGAAATCAAAAGAGGAAGAGAAAACAAAAAGATGCATACTTTATGGAAAAAGATATCTTAAGCACTTCTTCATAGGGAAGTGAACTCTGATGGTTTAACTTCGTCAACCTCCCCAACAATTACCAAAGAAAAGGTGACACAGCTATGCCTTGAGCTTTAGGACAAACGGTTGCCACATTTTCAATGAGAAGTCTGTCTTATCAAATGAGAACCACGTTTTGGGCAATTGTCAACAAGTTGAATCAAAACTAGGTATCTGAAAGCTACAGCCACTTACCTACAAAAGCATAGCTTATCCTTGTTCTCGATGAAAGAATGATAAAAATGGTAAATATAATTAAGAGCTGCTTCCACGTTCACTTCCCTTCACTTTTTAATAACGATGCTTTATCCAAGTGACTGCACCCTTTGAAAAATTACACATTCTTGAGATCTTTATTACTCTATTTCACAGATTAATCGTTACATCAATTCTTTCTCCCAGGATTAACATTCAAGCAATAAAAAATAAATTGATCAAAAAATTTAAAAAATATTTTCTCAAGGCGTCCATAAAAAAACTTAGACTGTGGCAAAATGCTTATATTTACCGTTGCATTTTCTTTGTATCGTATAGAAAAAGAGAAATCTTGTTATGATGCCGCTACATGGCACTGTGGAGGCATTCCAAAAAGCTCATCAAAAAATATGATGAGAATGTGAACAAGCCCACCTCATTAGAAATAGAGAGGGGAAGCTTATAATACTTCACAAAGCCATAGCAATGAAACACATGCTATATGACGCCACATGGTGAAATAGGGAGGAAAATTAAAAACAACTGAACACAGAAGCAAAAGAAATGTAAGCAAAAAATGATACTTTATTAAAAAAATCTTACACATTAATGTGAATGAGACAGATAGGACAAAGTTTCTTCCGGAAGGATGACACAAATTGCCTAAATTTCGCAGGGCAGTACCAGTAAAACTGAAGAGCTTCCCTCCAGATCAACTACAATAGAAGATACAGTAATGACTTGCATGAGACTCTTAGATCCACTACCACTTAACAGTGAATTTTATATTCCTCTCAACACTCAGACCTGGTAATGTAGATCTCCCAAGTAGAAAGATGAGTCCCTTTTTCAACAAAATCCATCTTTCCACTTCTACTGATAGTGGATATTAAAATTCGACACCTCCGAGGCGATTACGTTCACCAAGACAGGCGGTGGGCATCAACTGTGCAGATACCTTGCATTAATGCTACACACAGAGTCACTTAAGCTTTGCATGGTGTCTAACAATTAAATAACACATGAGTTGGGCTTGTTCTGTTTAGTCTAAGTCCATGGTAGACGTTAACATCAGAACAAGTAGATAACTCCTTATTTAAAGGAAGAAGCACATGGTGTACGCATTGCTTTAGGAATGAAGACCTACTCAATGCATTACATTTTAGGTATGTAAAATAATAATAAAACGTAGTATAATTCTTACAGAAAGGTTTCCAAAGAGTAAATAGTCATCCATTGATTTCAATGGGAGAAAAATTACCTTATATTTTTACACTATTTTATTAACACAAAAATGAACTCACTAAGTGCAACATAATCCAGAAGAGTAGACTAACATTCATTTCTCTTTAGCTTCTCCTCAAATACATCAGATTCCCAAGGTTAACCAGACATATCAAGTAATTGATTATTAGAGACGTCCTCACAACTCCAATCTACCAATGATTCATGACCCTAACAGGTATAATTCTAGATACTCAGAAAAAACCAGTTTATTTTTTATATTACATTATTTTTATAAAATAACTCATAAAATTAAACCAAAATGTTAACTAATACCCCAGGGAAGAAGAAATATCAGAAAATATTGGACATATGGAAAATTATTAGTAAGGAAGCCCAAAAATAGTTCCATATGGGAGAACAATACAATACAAATAACATGAAACCAATATCCAGGATTTTACCAAAGAAAAAACTTCGAAAAGGTAAGAAAAGGGTAGTTGTCAAGTAATAAAATGAGTGAAATATATAGTGTTGATAAACATAGCAGGGTGATTATATATGCAGGACCAAAGAGCTCAAAGCTATCCATATCCTATATCAAAGATGGAAGAAGAAAAAATTAACCTTCGATCTCCATTTAGCATACTTGAAGCCATAGCTCAGCTCGCCTGATTCCAAGATTATCCAATCGTGCAGATAAAATTAGCCTAACAAGAAAGTTTAAAGAAAAACAAATAAATACCATAAGATTCAAGACAATGATAACAACATTCCCGTGCAGAATATTTTTGAGGGAGTTATTCAGGAAATGGAAATTTTCAAGACAGTACTAGGCCAACTGACACATGCACGTAGTAGTTGTCACATGATGGGGCTTCCAAGAATCATAATCCCCGTTCTTGCGCAGCCTCCAGATGGATAGAACAATAAAAAATAATATAGCAAGAAACTGAAAGCACAAAAGGACATGCCCTAACGCCTTTTCTACATGAAATCAGCCATTTCAACTTAGCTAACAAGCGGATCATAGCTGGTTGACAGAAGTACAGCTAGTATGCCTATGCATACCCATTCTACGTGAAAACATTTGAGGAAGTAAAAAAACAAAATCCATTTCAACCACGAAGTAGAAAAAGAAAAAAAATCGATTTCTTGTTATAAGCATAATTAAGCGGTGGATACTGGGTACAGGCTAAAAGCTTTCGGAGCTAGATGAATCCTTCAGACTTATGGCATAGTGAACTTATGACATATCTCGGATATTGTGGCAAATACTCTCGGCCCTAAATATATTGACACTCTTACAAAGCCTGGATGAGAGAACGGTTTCATCCAAATTTTCGAGAGATCAATCCAAACTGCGCAAGCTGAACATGGTCCTCCATTAAAGAAGGACATAAACGTTTAATAATAAGAGAGAAGACGTCTACAGCCTCACGTACGAACTTAGAGATAATCTACAGGTCTAGGCCTTGAACTTAGAATACGTATCAAAGACTAAACCAAAGTTACGTAGGCACACTCGGAGTAAGCTGATGACAGTCTGCCTTCTCATTTCACAAGGTAGGAAGAACACAGGTGCGAAAATGACGACGTCAGCATCATATAGGTCACAACTCCGAAGAACAATACCTGAAAATTCAAACACAGTCCAAATCTTGAAAGAGGGACAGAGAAGACCAACAACATCCCCCAAAAGAAGAGGAGCCATACACTAAAAGCACTAAGTAATCGGATCAGTCATCAAGTCCAGGCAAAGTTGCAGAAAGACACCCGTATCCACGAGTGCCAGAGGATCAAATAACGAAAGAAGAACGAATAAAAAAGAAGAAGTCACCAGACCGAGATCTCCACAAGCATAGAGCACCATTCAAATCGACCGACGGCAGCGGAACATCAGGCTCCACGCCGGTAAATCCACACAGGGAGAGAGTGAGAGGGAGAAGGAAATGAAGATCGAGAGAGAGCGGCCGCCGGAACGACGGAGCGAGACGGACGTCGAGGCTAGTTAGGAATCCCGCGCGGTTCCCCTACCTTTTCCTTCAGATGGGCCGGAGGAAAGCCCTAGGCCATCTCCGTTCTTCCTCCTCTTCCCCCTCCCTCCTCCCCCCTCCTCTTCGAGGCCCGTGGTATCCGGTGAAGGACGCTGGTGGAAGAGAGAAGAGAAAAAGGGGGATGGGGGGGGAAGCTTTATATGGGAGGGGGCATGGAGATTTACATAAATATCGTCCTATTTTGTAAGAATAACACCAACGGGTGATCTCCTGAACTGGACCTAAAAAAGTAGCCCAGCTTTCCCTTAAAGCAACCGACCTTGACCCAGTCAGGAGATGACGTGGACCGCGAATCAGCAACCCAATGGACTATCTTAGCGGGCCCATTTTGTGAGACAGCCCGATCGGCCCAGACAAAAAGCTCATCAATGAGAGGTGGGCCGGCCCAAACAAGGGTCCATAAAGTGGCTCTGGTGGGCCCAGCCAAAAAAGGTACTGGACCCACTCCGGGGGCTCGAATCGGGCTCCTCAATGGGCCTATCTAGCTCATGGCCCAGCTCCAAACGCATGCTTGCCAACGGGCCATTCTGAATCCAACGGCCAACAGGGCCTTGTGATCCGCTGCCCACGTGGACTACCAGGTCATCTCGCCACGTGGCACGCCAGGCTGTAGTAGAAACTCATAGAATTTCCCGTCAACCGTTCTCCGTACGCGACTGGAAGAAGAAGAAGATGGAGGACCATCAACCAAATGGGGTTGGCAGTCTAGTAGACACTCGGAGGCCTCAGTGGGTCGCCGGCTCCTCGTCTCGCTCCGGCCGAACGTTCAGGTCGATCTCCGGCTTGGCGGGCTGCGGCGGGGAGGGCGGCGGCCGCTGGGCCTCTCCGTCCTTCTTACTCGGCGCGAGCGCCTGGAGGCGTCGCCTGGCGGTGCCGCTGACGCCGCACTGGGACGCCGGCCTGTGCTTTGGGCCGCGGCCGCTGTGGGGCTGGATGCACTGGATGCGGGTGCAGTCGCGCCGGTGGCGCGGGTGGCGGACGCTGTGCCCGGAAGCTGCGGGGGGCGACCCATCTTCCCCCTCCATCGCCGCCGCCGGATCGCCGCCGGCTCCGAGGCCGCTCCGCTCATCGGAAGAAGCTGCCAAGAACAGGGGAATTAAATAAAATGAGGAGCTTATGCATGAACAAACAAGATCGAAGAGGTCAATCAGGATTCGCAGCAGTCGGCGATGGGGATGGATTCAGAGCGCTGGTTGATGAATAATGGGATTTGGGATAAGATTTAATTTTTTGAGCACCCCGCTAAATCTATTCCGACGAACGGAGAGGAAACTCAGATCTTCCAGGATGAAACGGCCTCCAAGAGGACCAAAGTTTTTGATCGCATGCTACCATAAAATTAAATTTAAAAAAAAAAAGAAGAGAAGGAAGGTTTTGATCCCAATTTCAGGTCTCTGTACCATGATCGCGGTGGAGCAAATCTTCCAGCTGCTGCGAGGAGACTTGCTGCGCGGATGAACACGAGGCCCTGGAAAGCAGGAAGATCTGTTTATGACAAAAATAGAAGAGACTCCAGAAGGATTCATCTGCGGCGCCACCACACCAAGACAGGCTCAGCAGAATGGCGCTCTGTAAGTACATAAAAGGAAAGATGCGGCTCGATCAGGACATGTCCGGTGGTGGGTGGGTCTGTGTGTTTACTATTAGATTTTTCTCAACGTGCTTTGTTTGGCGAGCAATTATATTGGGATTCGCCCTCATACATATTTCTGGTAATGGATATTTATAGACTTTATTCAGCTTCGTGGTAATCAGAGACTGAAAACAAAGCATGCATCTAATCTGATTACCACCGATATAAACATTCTATGATGATTCTGAATATGAACATGGAGAAAGGAACGGATCTACTGTTCATTCACTAAAAAAATGAGAGAAAAATCAGAATGGCCAGTTGTATATAGACGGCTGCTCAGAACCAATGTCTGGCAACTCAGCATCAAGGCTCCAAAATCTCAGAATTTATTGAGATAGCATCTATCAGCCTGGTTGTAACTTGAAACGAGTTGGGTTGAGTCCGCTCTGAATAAAGTTTCTTTTTATGTGCCACTCATTCAGGTCGTAATCAGGCCACGGTTAGAACCCCTCCACTTCTGGAGGCAAACCATACGACCCACAGAAGACAACATGAATCTGCCGGCACAGAGAAACCTATAGCTAGCAAAGGTTTTCCAAGATCTCAATACTTTGTGTCAGTAACTTAGCGAGCTTCGCAGAGATTGAGAGATGGAGGAGGTACCAGGAGAATAGGAAAATAATGTCTTAACGCTTGATGTATCGTTTCGGCAGTTCTTTCCTTCACTTTTCATCAGATATCTTCCCTATCAGACCCAAACTCTACATTGACACGAGTACAACGCTAAAGTGATGATGACCTGGTCTGATCGTATGCCTTGTGAACTGACTGGAGGAACAGCAATGGAGACAATTTTCGAATATTTAAAAGAGATAATGATGCCAACTATGACGAAAGACGTGCATATATTGACATTTAGAAAGTTTTCTGCCTAGCAACAAGAGCCTGAGTTTACCTTTCAGGACCCCATGAATTATCAGAACATGTCCAAATGAGAGGCAACAGTACACACGAAGGCACCCTGCGCCACTTCAAACAGTCCCCACATTGAGCCCATCGAGTCTTCTCACTGGTTAGAACAAGGATGTTAGGTTCATGATCATGATTAGGTTTCAATTCATTATTCATAAAAAAGCTATTTCTCACTTCTGGAGATTGGACTCTCCCAACTAAAAGTATTAGATCTTCTGTGCAAAAATAACAAGCCTTTTCTTAAAGTTGTGAGCAATTCAAAGGACAAACGCAAATAAGGAGGAGGATCCCAACCCTTGCCAGCCCTTGAAAACGTTTTGGCCCAGAGTGATCCTCGAGAAACTCAATTGAAAGTTTCACAGACGAAGAGGATTCTACGCATTCAACTGCAAAGATGCCTCGTAAGAGACCGACCAGCCCTTGAGGCGTTATCTTCTCTATCTACCAAGAAGCAATACCAAGAAATCCTCAAACGTTGGCATCTTGCAGCCCATCACTACCGTTTCTCTTTTTCAATTCAGAGGGGCGGCTTGTGGATGATTATAAGTTCGTAACGCCAGCACCTATGGTATCAGCTTGACCTTTCATAAGCGCTTCGTTCAAACCGAGATCGTTAGCATTTGCTGCTGCAGAATAAACCAATTTTAAAATGGGCCAAGTTGGTAATTTTTCTTACATCTCCCCCTCCGGGAGCCCTGCCATTAAAAATTTATCATCAAACTCGAATACTTTTTCTGGAAAACCTACCATTTTGAGCCACTAACAATGGTATGGATCTTAATTACACCTCAGTAGCGGCCTCCTTTGGGACATGAAAACACATCAATTAAGTAGCAATTGCCCACATCGTTTGGTATTGCTGGTATTAGGACAATTCAAGATTCGAAAGTTCTAAAGTGGCCAAATATTAATGGTGACAAATGTCCACCTGTGACCACAGTGCCGGCAAAGGCTCAAATGTGGAGAATAATGCGCATAAAAGCTCCTTGAAAAAATGTTATTTCAAAATTTTCATTACTACCACATTTTAAATGAACAGTTAATCAGCAAGATTCCTCAGTCAGAACGACATAATGAACAATGACGGCAATCAGCAAGGAGATGCACGGTGCAGCAATGAGTAAAAATCCCTGTAACATGGCACAATCAAATGACAATGAAATACCAAATGAATGCTTAAACCAGATACTCACAGAAGCTTTTCTAATCGTCAATATCGTTCTAAAGGACATCAAAAAAGGCACCAAACGAAATATCAAAGTAGAGGCTTGTATAAAAAAACCTTCTTTGGGTGAGTTGTGGAGTGGAAGGGAAGGATGGTATGAAAAAGGCACGGCATGAGTGCACCTCACAACCAAATGTAATGGTGATTGTCATGCTTTCCTACTTCACAGAAGTCATAGAGATTCATTACCGTAGTAGGATATCACCCCGTTTCCTGCCCACCTCTGAAAAGTTTACCAACCATATGAACAATAAGCCCGCTGCAGCCCCCCCTTCAGGATTTTGTTGCTCATTGTTTCTTTCTGCTTTGTACGTTTCGTCATATTTTCTCATTTCTCTTCTATTTAACAATTTCTTGTGCATTTCCTCCATACGATGCTCTAAGGAAATAGGTGGAATGGATGCAAAGGGAGGCAGCTTATCTTTTTCCATATCTTTTAACCAAATTGCCTGCCACTGTATTTTTCATTGGCCCTATTTGTGTTAATCCTTGAAAAAAAAGAAAAGAAATTCTGACGAGTTTGAATTTATTTCAGGAAAAGAAATTGGTGATCTTCGACCGAATTGGTGGGGATATAAGCATAGGATAATATATCATTAAATTAGATAACTGTCTATTCAATCTAAACAGAAGAGGATAACAAACTATTAAGGTTTCATCCACTTTATCCATCAGATGGAGTGAGCTTGTGAGCGAGCGAGCGAGAGAGAGAGAGAGAGAGAGGATTTGTATCTGCATCCTTATCCATAAATTTTTCAAAAGATTCCATATTCTTAAAAAAAGAGAGATAACTGGGACTTGGTTATTGCTTATAGCATTCCACTGATCATGTCGCCAGAATACAATAGATAATTGTGGTGATTGGGAACCCATGCTACAATGCTACTGGATAATTTTTGAGGGAAAATGCTCAATTTCTTCATAAAATCACCACAAAAACTCAGTTTGAGAATGGGAATTTACCTATCTTGAATCGCAGGGAAAATTATAGGCTTCCCAAGGACTGGCGCTTCCTGTTGAAAATAACCCATGCTTAAATAAAATGCCAGACATACTGAGAAGGGAAACTTTGAATATTCTTTTGCGTACATATGCACATACTTTAAGTACGTTGACTTATTGCATAATTTCTCGGAAATAATAATCTTTTAAACAGGAAATTATAGCATAATTGCAGAGCAAAACTGGAAGGTCAAGGGCCTATATATATTCTACAAAGCCATAGAAAAAAAATTTGGATTCCATGTTCTAGTCAACAGATGCTCAATTAAAATCCTAGTCAGAAATGTGCAGCACGTAAAATATAACGCAACTTCTTTGAAATTTTATCATTAAAACTCCCTTGTATGGAGAGACCCCATCTAGATATTTGATAAAAAGTTACTGATGTCATGTGTAAACTGGGTAAAACAGTGGCACCAGGATGCCTAGCAGTCTTAATTAACAGAAGGTTTAAACAGAGCCTAAGATAGCTCAAACAATAACCATCTTCAACAATGGGAACATTCTGAGACCCAGTGGCAGATGGCATGGACATCCTTCTGATTGGACTGTATGGGATCAGATATATTTGGGAATGGTGATATGAACAAGTTGAATGATCTTTTAGCACATATTAAATGTTTAAGCTTCATAATTATGCAATAGGTACACGACACACCTACATAATTATGCAGTTTTCATCCCCATTTAAACTCTCTAGGTTTCCTATTAAGGGTCATCATGTGTCCCCAAGTACAGCCTTATATATAGGAAATCTAGCTGCATAGAGAAGAGAGAGCCATAAGAATTTGTATCGCACAGTTCCATAGCATAATTCATGAGCAGTTCGATTACTACACTGAAGGAAAATGAAGGGACACAAATAAAATTCTGCTTCCAAAACTGTAATGCGTGGACACCACAGCTATGGTCAAAGATATTTCAGTCGATTTGTTTTGCATTTAAATGAATCTGGCGAATTTTACATCATTCTTTTAGAGATGACTAGGATTGTTCAAAGATCAAGTTGGCTTGTGCAACAAGTAAGCTTCTCACGGTTAAATGAATATTTTTATCATACCTCATATTCCTCGATCTCATGGCCTTCAATTATCAGAACAGACGGTTTATAGTTTGGAGGGGGGCATAGCAGCTCTTGAGCTTCCTCCCAAGAGAGCTTAACTTCAATGGAGTCCTCATTTTCCATCCTCAGGCGTTTACTTTTTGTACCAAGAGTGCTACTTTTCCTTTTACTTGAGAGCATAGGGTACCTGGATGGAGTTACTTCTTTTTGAATAATTCCTGATCTACCAGATTCTGACAAAGTTCCCTGATCGAATGGAATGCTAGCAGTTGCTGATTCTGAGCTATTCCTTAAAGACGAAATAGATGGAGCTGAGGTTCCTTCACTAGCTTTACCGTTCTTATTATTAACTTCCTTTCCATCACTGTACCCATTCTCGGATTTGTTTCCTTGGATGTCCTGCCAATGAAGATGAAACTTTTAAGACATCCAGTAGAGGTAAAAAAGCGTCCAAAAACAGTGGATAGGTAATCAATGTTACCAGGCAAAAAAAAAACTAGAGCAAACAAATATTCCACGGACAACAGAAGGAAAAGCAACGATATTCAAGTGTAGTGCAACCCGGTGAAGATTTTCCATCTTCATCCAAAGTTTGTGGTTGTACGATGATTATCTCAGAATCACTTACCATTGCCTGATTGGGATAAGTACGCAGTTACTTTTATTACACTAATTAACTGGCGTTATAAATTACCTGAGGACAAAGGACTGAATAAGAAACCCAAAACTTATCAAGGGGTTCAATGGATTTTGAAATCTCAAACCACAGCATTCTAGCAACTGGATCTCTCAACAATATCTTCCGCATTTTTAAGCACAAAATCTAAATAAAATCATACATTCAAAATCCGTATCCAGCAGAAATCTTTTGAATTTAGCATACTTAAATTGATATTCTCTTATGATCTTTTAAAAATGTTTCCACCAGATGACCAAATTTACGTTAAATAAAAGCGATAATGTTTTCGTCCTCATAAGATGCCACTATAAGAGAAGATCTCTTGGCATAATGGGGGTAAGTAGGTTCCGTCAAGTTCAGATGACAATATTAGCACGGTCAATGATTATCACCAAGTGCCAGGTAATGATCCTTTTCACCGAGTCAATCGTCCATGATAACAGATGTCGTAACTCCAGATTTTATCAATATCCATCCTACTGAAAAATGCATAGGTTTTCTCTAGTGATGTATATTTCTCCAAATGTCAAGACGAGATAAACATACTAAAAAAATAAAACAGCTAAAAATCAAATCCCAGAAAAAATGCTTAAACAGCAAAGCTCATTAATTGCATTTGGATAGTGCTAGAATTTGAAATTGATGTTCCGAAACTGCAGATCTTAACAAGAAAACTATAAATATTGGTATTTAAACAACATGAAGATTTCCCTCAAGTAAAGCATTTGTAATTTAGAAATAGGAAACTGCTTATCTATGCGATGCATGAATGGCATATATGTCTATGTTCATCACAACCATTATGCTTCAAAACTACAAATTAGACAAATGGCGTATCTAAGGCTATTTACCTGGTCAGTCGGAATATTTGAAGTCTTGCGGAACCCCATAACCAACTTTCCTCCTGGATCTATTCGACTAAATGTAACTGAACAACAAAGATTGCTTAGAATTGACACAAGAGGTTCAACCTCAATACTAATAAAATCTATTAATATTACAAATAGGCTCAACATAAAAATTGGACTAAATTGCAACGTATACTGTACTAGAATGATGATAACACCAAAAACTTCGAGGGAGAAAGGAAAAAAATGAAGTGTTAGTTGATCATCAACATGTCCATTCTGATGTTTAGGATAGCCCTTTAACGTCATCCCATATGACAGTTGGCAACACTAGGTATCTAGATGACCTCAAAGTCTTTTTGACAGCAGCGATCAATGAAACTTGGAGCAGATATGGGGAGGGGAGACGATTTTTTCGCCCATTATTTCTCTGTTTTCTGCTATTAAACTTTTCTTTCCTCTTCTTCCTATGCGAGTGGTCACATCTTCCTAGCCTAGAATCACCCAATCCGAGTAGAATTGCCAAAATTCTAGTGCTTTGGTCCTGCCTTCGTTTTAAAATTTTGAAAGGGGGATTGAAATTCCACCTTAAAAGTGTACTGGAACGCTTGATTCCAATCCAATTTAGCTGCTGTAGAATGGTAGCCCTCAATTTGGTGTGCTGGAGATCCCGCAACACCTTTGGAGAGGAAGAAAAACCTTTCAATGAAAGCAAGAATCTGTTTTTCAAGAGAGACGGGGTCCAGTATTTATACTAGACCCTTGAGAGTACATGATTAGAAGTGTTCAGGGCATATCTGCCAATAGGAAAGTACAGGGTTTATTTATAAAATCCTCACGACAGCAGCTACCTGAAACAAAATTAGCCACTGATTCCAACAACGTTATTTCGATTACAAATAGCATTTGGCACGACATTATTATAGAATGATCTAAGCGGACCCATTACAATGGGTTCATAATTGCATAGCAATGAAAAATGCAGCCTCTAAAGAGTTGATTTTTTTTTCCGTCCATTGCCTTTTGATTGAAAATCAATTGCTATCCATTTCAAAGATGTGGGTGGTTTTTCAGATGCTACAAGTGAATGGTAGAAAATCGCCAAGTTAGATTTCATTACTTAACTCGAGTCAAATCTCCTCACTGCATAAAAGCAATGATTAGATCAAGATTTTGGAAATCAAGTGCTTGTTTAAATATGCAGAAAACGTTTTAAATCTCAGAATGAAAAAATTAAAAAGGAAAAGCAAGTAAGAGAAAGATGCACCTTTGTTGCATTAAACTTTCTTGGATCCTCTATAAAAGATTGAGGAAATGAATTAGATAAAGTTTGTTACATAAAACTTGAAGGGTAAATTTTTGAATTGTTTTGTGTAATTATAATACGATACCTTCACCTGCGTATATTCCTTCCCAATGCAATCATGCTACTTTCATAGTCCAAAACAATGTTCGGATGGAAATGCTAGGAAAGAGAGAAATATGATTTCTCTCTGGTATCCCTTTTTACCCATCTTAGGCGTTTGGCTGCCCGTAAGAAGGCGCTGAGGTCTTTCAGGCAACCACTAAACCATGGACAAAGTAGTGGAGAGGTGCATGAGACAGATCTAACAGAACTATTATTCGAAAACTGCATTTCGCCTATCCCAATCTGATCTCTTGGTGGACCTCGATTCCCCTTTAAAAATTTCCATTCATAAAAAATGATTATCCTGATTAATCAAGGGGAACCAGTTGCATCAGAAGAGCAATGTGGACTGACTGATTCTTTCACAAATCCAAGCAAAAAGGATTTTACAGCTAGGATTGTATCCTGGGGTATATACTGACATTGTTGCAAAATGTAATATAGAGACCATGAATTTTTAAGATATGTTTCCTGGAAACTAAAAAAATATCCATTTCATGCCATCACAATCATATTTTTTTTGGCTACATATGTCAGCCAAAATAACTAACTGTGATAAGGAAATGTGTGAATCAAGCCAATCATATACATGACGTCTTGAGTGTTTCTGGAAAGGGTGTACACAGGAGCATTTAGTACGGTATATTTGCAAAAAAGAATATATCCCTCATTGTGACTATCTGTAATTAAATAACAATAATTTAGACCTTGGATAACCAACAAAGTGGGATGGCAAGTTGGAAACTGATGGAGTTCTCCATAAAAAAAGCAAGTCAATGAGGGGCATAGGACTTACAGGAAATGAAGTACATGAACAACAAACCTTTATAACAGTAGAAATATAGGATAGTTCAAAATGGATAATAAAAAGAAATAATTGCATTGTCTTCTGAGCCAAGTTCCAGAAATATTACCTACGTCACCTGCTTGTAATTTCATGGATTGAATGCATGGTGTAACCCCCTCCAAAACATACATCCTGCTGTTGTTGTTAGGCCAGAAGCGGAAATGAAAAACCCATTCCTGGCCCTTGACATCTTGAATTTTTATAGGGAGCCCTTCAGGCTGAGAAATTGAAGGAAAGTATGCCTAATAGCAAAGGATGTAAGCACCAAAAGAAAATGAAATTAAATTGGTAAATACAGATTATACAAATATTTCTTGCTACCTACAGGTATAAACTCAAAACTACAAAATCGGTATTAACGTCACAGACTTAAAAATTCAAAAAAATATTAAATAATGAGCAACTCCTACGATGGAGTCTGGATTGACAACTCGTTATTACATTCCTGACTTTACTATGAGATTTATGGAGACCATACACCTCCAGAAAATGTGTTCTGGGAAAAGAGATGTGCAACTCTAAACTAGGAAAAAGATGCGGCATTTTGCATGGACATTAATGTACCACAGTTTTATATTTCATTGTATGCATGAGAAAGAGAGAGATGGAGAAGGGAAGAACCAGAATTAAAAAAAACTTACTGAAATCGATAGATTAAATATTACAGTAGAGGGAGACAAAAATACATTTAAACCGCGAAAGGACTGTTGAAACAACATATAAAAGGAATTTAAGCGTCAAAAGAAGCCAATTCATTTCCAAAGCACCATGCTAGAAGGTCAGTCACACCCACAGACAAGGAGCAATAACCTAAAGAATGTTACAACCTCTTCTGTAGCGTGACAGCAGAAAGTTGTAGACAAAAAGAAATTTAGGCAATTATATCAATTGAGTTCTATTATAACTTAACTGAAAGATGTCTTCACCTCTGCACATTTCTTTGGAAGCACTAAGCGTCCTATCCGACCAGCATCACTAGCACTCAGCATCTTCTCAAACAAAGGAGTGATAACAAAATTTGAACTTGGGTAGGTTAAGTTCATACAATTTTTGTACAAAGATGGAAAAAAAAAGTTGCTGAGACTTTCATTCTAAGCTGAATGATAGTGCAAACTTTATAAAAGTGCTTAAAATACCAAACTCTATTCACCATTTCAGTGCATCATTGAAAGGATACTCTCTAGAAATTTGTTGCAGCTCTTGATCAGTTATCCTAGGCCAATATCGAGGAAGTAGCTGATTTCGTCCCCGACCTTCTGCTCGGGGTCTTCCATTGTGCACTTGACTCTGTGGCTGTCCACCAGATTCAGCTGAATTGTGACAGTTAGAGAAGTTATCTTTAGCCAGCAACGAGGCATGTCTATGCTGGTGTGGACGAGAAGAAAAAAATCTGGCAGACTCACGCTTATCACCTGGTAGAGGAAGAGGTGCAGCCAGTCCAAGGGATGCAGCTGATTGATTTTCTTTCAGGTAAGTCACAATTGGCATATTCATGGTTGAAACTAGAGGTATATCACGGCCAATTCCAGAATCAGAATTTATAGAAAGGCTTGAAACAGGTCCCTTCTGTGTAGCCAGATTTTTGGCTTCTCCTGCAAGGTGGGGTGAATTTTCTGATGCATCAATGCCTTCTTCTCTAATCAATTGATGGGCTGCTACTGGAGCTCCAAATGTCCTATTCCCATTGAAAAATTTCCCCAGTTGTGTATGGATCTGAGGTGTCAGCCTTTCTGGTAGACCGTCAAATTCAATCTTATCCTGAGAACTAGTAGCAAATCCTCTGGCTGAAGTAAATATGTCAGTGCCATTAGGCCCATCAAATTCATATGGCAAACGTTGCTGCACTTCTGACCTAGTGCTCCACATATAAGGTGCATGATGCCAATTTCCCGAAACTTGATGGGAAGCTGTAAGCTGGCTCCCGTTTTTAGTGGAGAAGTCTTTCAACCTTTCTTGACCCAATGGAAAAAGTAAAGAGAATTGTCGTATGTGTTTTGGTACCTGTGGAAGATAAGATTATTTATTGAGTAAGATATCAGCCAAGGAGTTGATGATGGGCTTTGATCAGCAGCTAAAAGCAGTGGTTACTCTGATGTATGAAAGAGTGGATCTCACCAAAAGAATTATCACAAAGAGAGAAAACGGAACTCTACACATAAGGATGCATCCAGACAGAAGCTTAATTAAGGTGGTACCATCTTAAAGTCGACAGAAAAATAAAAGGAACGATTCCTTCCAGTGTCTTTGTACCAGAAGTCTAGGAATTTTCAGCACATTTCCTTGTTGGGTAAAATATACTTCAAAAAATTTAGAAAGACTGTGATATTCCTCTCACAAGGAGACTCTAGGTTTGTGTCGGCATGCAAACGTTTTTTTATAGGATGTTGCGAAAAATATAATGGATATGATTTCGAGTGGCAAAATTTTGTAGCTCAGAACCGGACGGTAACCAGAGACTCATAAAATCTTGGGACCATATAACGAGAAACATCCACACAAAAGAGGCAAAGTATAACACATCAACAAAGAACATTACCGAAAGAGAACACATATTCTCCATCCTTCTCAGATTTTATCAAAGGAGAAATACATCATAGTAATGAAGAATAAATAGCTTCTTCTTAAGCAGATCTGGATGGCATAAGACACTGAAGAATAAAAATAAAAAGAATATGAAATCAAAATAAGAACCTTTCAAAGAATGAACTTTTTTATCTCTTGTAATAAGTCGAGTAACGGAATGCCACAGTGCTCCTCAGAAGTAAAACGCTCCTAAATACACCCTAAACTTTCAAATTAGACCCGGAAGGTATACCTTCCTTCAAAAGCTTCCAAAAAAGGGACTATGAAGCAAAATATATGCATTGCTCTTCCATTCTTGTAAACAGGACCTATCAGACATGCATGTGTACAGGAATACATAAAAAACCTAGTATTTCAGACTAGAACTAATGTAATGCTCTTTATTCAGGTGAGATGCACTTTTTTTGAAGATACATTGTTCCTAAAGCGGTCATTGAGCCCATCAGTCAAGTCGGCATTCAAAATGCCCAGAGGCTAGAAAAATAACAGATCACAAGCAATCTTCAATCTACATCACAGGACTGATAGCTGGGGACTTATGACGCACTACACAACATTCCTAGAGGCTATACAAGAGATTGCATTGAATATAGAAAGATATGATCCCCATCCTAGCACTCAACAACTTTACGGATGAGATATCTGAGCTGAGGGTAGTCAGGGGAGTAATCAGGGCAGATGTTTAGATAATGAGCTTTAATAAATGAAAGTTGAGCAACAGTAGGAGTCTAATACTCAATTTTGAACAACATCTCACTCAAGTAGCAAATACAAGGTTTCAACTTTTTATATCTGGCTGGTAGTAATAAATAAGTTTTATTCAGAAATTTGTCAAAAAAATCGACAAGAAGCAGTTCCAGAAATTCGAAACCAAAAATATTATAGACCAGACATATGATAGATTTGCTTCTGTATTTGTGCCAAGGACACCATAAATTTTTCAGGTGGGGAACAAGGAATAGATCAAGAATATGATTGAAAAATAAGCCTTCGATGGAGAATACAGATAGAGCATGTCAGGTTGTCCAAAACTAAGGGCTTAGGTTTTTAGAAAGCTACTCCACTAGAAGATAGAAACTTAACATCACTTGTCATGACTAACAGTGTGTATCTCTCATGAAAATTTGAAGGAACAAGAAATGTTGCTAAAGATAAAATGACATGCTTCATAAAGATACAGGTGGATGTTTTCCTTACAGTTGCAAAGCTTTTCTGAGCACAAGAGATGCACTCAATTCCTCCAGCATCAAGTAGCATAAACGACGCAACAGATACAATACATCCACAATGAACCCACTGGAGAGACATCATAAATGATTAAAAATGACCATAAATTACCATACACCAATTTATACTAATGGAAGACAAACATAGCACAAACACAGCCATAGTTCCTCATCATCATTTATCTCTACTCACCTTACCACAAAATCCGCACTTCCTCCAGCCATCAGCATCAGAATGAAATGTCTCACAGAAGCTCCCTTGCTCGTATGCAGCACTAAGAGTCAGCGATAACAAACAAAAATGAGTTAGAAAGAATTCAATGGATATAATTTTAGATCTAGAATATATCTAAGCAATTGAACGACTGATTAAACTCAAGTATGCAGAATTTAGAAGCATCTGGACTAAAAACAGAGAAGTCAGAAGCACCACAAGCTTCAAGACACTGGTCAAGGAATACAAATTTCTAACTGACCTCCAAGACACACGCCGGTTAATAACCAGCAGAACAGAATTAGCCACTACAAGGGAAATAAGAGAACCAGATACACAAAACGAGAGCATGACGTTTATAAGCTTAGCTGTTCACCAGCTCATGTACACGAAATTAAATTCAACCTCTCCTCAACTTCATGAGATGTATTCACGCACCGAATCCAAACAAAAGCTTGAAATAACCAAAAAAGAAGACGATACCAAAGACAATATTCGCATGAGGCAGCTCAATGTGACCAGACTCACAGAGCTCAAAGAATGGGGATTTTCCGGGATAGTCCGTACTCCGCGTCGTCCGCCGTTCACCCCGTCGTGGAAAAATAAGTGAACACCTTAAATTGCGAACTAACCGCATCGGATGATGAAATCGAACCCCCCCCCTCTCAACGACTCAAAAAAGTTCTCAAATCTTCCGACCAGCGCGACTTCACACCCAATGCCTATACGACGGAAAAGGTCAAAGCGGCGTACGGGGGAAGCACAGAGAGAGAGAGAGAGAACACTCACGAACAGTGATCGCAGAGTTCGGCGAGCTCCCCGGAGCGCAAGTGCCAACCCCTCCAGCGCGGCGGCGGCGACTCCGCTGTCTTCCTCTTGCAGTATGTATTGAAACATCTCTTCCCGGTAAGCGGGACCAAAGAGCCCGTCGCCCCCACCGTTGCCGCCGCAGCCGGCGCAGGCGAGGACGACATCGCTGAGCTCGTCTTCAGAGCGCTGGCGTAGGAAGGAGCCACTGAGGGATCCCCTGCTGAATCCCCCCCCTCCCCCCGACCGGAAGGAAGCTCGGAAGGGGAGGTCGGAGAAGGGAAGGTAGAACGTCGCCGGCGAGACTGCCGTGAGGACTCCGGCAAAGACGAAGCACATATTATACATATATACTACGGGAACACCCGACGGTTGCTGATGTGGCAAAGCGGGTAGAGCAGTTGCGGCTCGTTTAATCTCACCGGTGAGTGCCTGTACTCTCCACCGAATATCCAGTCCCACGTCATATAAAAAAGCACAAAAATAGACCCGGATATTTAACGCCATGAACGTCCGTTCATTTATTCGAAAGAAGCCACGAAAATATAATTCGCGAGATTTTCGTTTTCAATAATATAAAATAAAATGTAAATATTATCTAGTTAAGTGAATAATGGCGACAACATAGGCAGAAGTGGACTTTTAATATGCCTTCATGGTCAACGGTATAGCCCCACTCAGCCACCTCCCGCCATGGCCAATCAATAGTCCGTCCATTTTATCCGCGCCAGAGGAGGATATGGCTCCCTGGGCGCGTTGACCAATGTAATACAGAGAGAAAGAAGAGAGATAAAGAGAGAGAGAGAGAGAGAGAGAGTGAGGAGAGAGAAAGAAAGAGAGAGAGAGCAAGAGAGAGAGAAAGAGGGAGAGAGAGCAAGAGAGAGAAAGAGGGAGAGAAAAAGAAAGAGAGAAAGAGAGAGAGAGAGAGAGAGAGAGAAGAGAGGGAGAGAGAAAGAAAGAGAGGGAGGGCAGAGCCAACTGAGACTGTTGCTCGGTTGCGGATCGCATCACCATGATGGGCCAATTTCATCTCTGAACTTCAATGCGAGACGTGTTAATGTAAAGTGAGGGAGAGAGAGAGAGAGAGAGAGGCCTTGTTGTACTTATCTTGGTGTAAGAGAAGCGTGTGAGATGAAAGAAGATGAGGTGTCGGCGGTGAAGGCCGCCACACACGTGAGCGAGGGAGCGGCATTTTGGAATCCCGAATTCTGGGCGTCTGTTTGGCAGCGTCCTCCCGTGGCCGCCTGCCTGCGCCTGGAGGGGGATTTACCGTTTCGAGTTTTCTCTTCCCCCACGGGAATCGTTTCGGGTCGTGGGTGCCCGAGAAATCGCGGAGAAACGCGAATTCTCTTGGCAGATCGCGTCCGCCGCAGCCCGGCGGGGAACCGCCTGCGTCCGCCTTTCCAGATCTCCGCGCGGGGGAATTTTTCTTCTTCTTCCAGATCTCGACGAGTATGGATTCGCTCTCTAGTTGTGGTTTCGGCATCTGTGGTGGCGTCAGTTCTTCGTCATTCGTCTGCCTAAGATTCCCTGTTGTGTTTCGAGTTGTCCTTTTTGAATTACCTCTGGGGAATTAGGGTTAGGGCGGGGCCAGTGCCTGATTTACGAAGGGCTTTCTTGAAATAGGTGATCCTTGCCTCGAAATTTAAACAGCTCTTTCTCGCGAAGGCGATCTTCTTGTAGGAGTCTCGGCTTTTGAGACACAATTCAGATTGTTTGCTTGTTTTTCGCATCCATTTCATTCTTCTCACAGCGGACCGCAATGTGACGTATTCATTGCTTTCAGTATTCTATGGCGAATAGGTTTTGCGAGTCTCAAGTCGTCGGTGGTTGGAGTCTAGCGTGAACGGCATCGGCAATCGGAGCATTGAAAGTTAGTTATGCAGATCTAGGGTGTCAGTCGTGTGGTCTTAATATGCCCCCACAATCAGAGGCAAACTCTGGTGCTCCACAGAATCCTCCATCAGAGAATATTTCAAATAAAGGTGGAGGTGATGTCGATACTACGTTCTCTTCTGCAGCCGTTGCTACTCAGAAACCTGGTAACAACATTTTTTTCATAGTTATATTTCGAATGTTTGCTGTTGGAAATCACTGCCTTTCCGCGAATTCCATCTGCAAATGTCAAAAAAGATTTTGCAAAAATTCTGCCCCAGAAACCATCTCTTTTTGTTTCATCTTCATTTTGTGATGAAGGTGTAATGCACTCCATAAACTGTAATCTATTCTTTTGATGCAGTGAAGAAGCCTACACGACAATGGGCTGCTTGGACACGCCAAGAGGAGGAAAGCTTTTTCAATGCATTACGACAAGTTGGCAAAGTACTTTCTCACTCGCTAAGCATATTTCCATTAGAATGCTTGGTTGTTAACTGGATATCTGATTGTGGTTTCAGAACTTTGAGAAGATAACTTGCCGAGTTCAGAGCAAAAATAAAGAGCAGGTATAGAATGCGAACCCCATGTTATTTTATTTTTGGTCTTTGATAGGTGTCGTTTACTGTCAAGAGATTTACCCTGCGAATAGTTTTTTTGGATAAGCTTACACATATGAATATAGATGGTGAACACTCGATAAAGCTATGAAATACGGCGAAAAGTTTTTTTTTTTTTTTTGTGAACGAAACATCGCCCAGAAGTAAAAGACTGATTTTCCACTAGGGTTAAAGCCCACAATGTTATTACACTTAATTGAACTATTATATGGTTTGAAAAGTGAGTTAAGTTCCATAGGTTGGGGGACTAAGAATTCCTGAGCACTTACTTTAACATGTCGTGCTAAATAAATTTTATTTTCTCTTAGTTTCTTAAGATAAGTCCTGTGTAATATCCTCTTCATAAGAAAGATGCTGTCCCATCTTTTCTGAAATGAGGTCCTCAAGACTTGGTGGGGTTAATACACTTCCTCCAAGCAATGGCTTTTCTGATTACTCAATTTCAGATTGATATTTAATCAATTCCTGGTTTTACTGAAGTCAAGATAATTCCCTTATCCGTCTCCATGTCCTTCCTGAAAGTTGTATCTAAGCTCATTTTTAATTCTTTATTTAAAAGTTGTTCTTTGGCTTGTCTTATGGTTGATAAGCTGCTGCAATAGATAACAGAAATATATTTAAATTTTCTGGGAAATCTCTGCTGGTCTAGGAAAGGATCTGGTATTACATTTCAGTTGGTCTATCAGAATTCTGTATCAATTTTTGATATTTTTCTGCTAGGAAAGGATATGGTATAATCTTTTTTGCTCCAATTTTGCCCAAGCTGAAATCACCACCACTTGAATTTTGTCCTCTTAAAAAGCCGGTTGGAGGTTTGCAACCCTGTGGTGTGTGCAACCTTAGCGTTTTATTCGTCAATGCATCAACCTGTGGTTCTTTTGCCAATTGTACATTCATAATGGAGCTAAATTCCATATCCTAGTCGTTTAGTGTTTGTTGATAAATGTCGAGATTAGGTGAGACAGAAGAATGATGTGCATTATTTTAACTGTGTATTTTTTCCCCTGTCAGGTAACTTTCTTTGTATAGTCAAGCTTTATCCTCCTATCTGTCTTTTCTGGAAAATGATCCCAGAAGGTGTTTTCCCCGCTCGCCTAATACCCTGGCAGAACTCTCCTTGTTGATAACACGGTCTCATTATGGTCACATAGTCATCTTTGGCATATTTATTTTAAATTGATAGTCATCCGGTAATCATTTTATTTATCCGCTAGGTTATTTTGGGATGCGTTTCCTAGGTAGACATGAAGAATCTTGTAAATTACAGCATGCAGGGAAATAAGTTAAGAACGACTAATAAATAAAACAGGAGAGTTTTAAAGATATTGTTTCTTAAGTGGTGAACTGTACATCTTTTTTGCATGTTTATGTGACTTAGTAAAATCTTATTTGACATTTATCTACAATTTTCATGATGAAGACCCTTATTTTTTTCCTCTTTTCACGAAGGGCTGATCTCTTAGACAATTTGCTTTCCCTATTGTAGTGCCATAACTGTTGGAGCCGATTTGATATTTTGTTACCTTCTTCCTGCTTTTGTTATTCAGGTGAGGCACTATTACTATCGTCTTGTGAGACGCATGAATAAGCTACTAGGACCAGGGTTTAGTCTTGATGCGAAAAACTCAAAGGATACAAATGCTGCGATGCTTCGTTGGTGAGAATTAGTTGGTTATGAATCTATTCGTTGCTTAATATTTTTTTGTTATTTACACACCCACCGGAACTGCTTCTAGTTTTTTTATTGATAATATTGCTGTTTTTAGACTTACTTTCTTATATCTTGTTTTATTTGTTAGATCATGCTTAGTATTGTTTTTGTGCAGAAATGAGTCATTTATTGCTCACTTCTGGTTTTTTCTTCGTTCTTTTCTACAGAGTGCTTATCAATGCTAAACGTGGTTATCTTCTTTTGCCTATCAGGGAATCCTAGTTCTGTTAAATGCAATAATAATAGTGGAAATGCATGCTCTTTAAGATTGATACTGAATAGATGGCTACCTTTATTCTTCTTTGGCACCTACTCCCTGGTTACTAGGACAGGAGTTTTGCTTTATGTGTCTCTTTTATTGCTTGAATTAGAAGTAGCGATTGTTAGAGGTGGCTTCTTTTGCCGTGTGTAACCAGTTCCTATATTTACTGGTACTGTCGTAACATTCAATATTTTATGTTCCTCAGAAACTAGAGCGCTTGTCTTTTGGTCACTTTCATTTTACTCTTTTAGGTTTTTTTGCTCCGAATTCTTATGATACTATGCTCATGTGAATTTCATAATATGACATAGTCATACGTCATTGTAGATGATGTACACATTGTCTGCTGTCATTGAAATGTTGCATTGTAAGCTAACTACAATTTCGAATGAGATGAATTGCGTGCTCTCTAGCTTGGGCCTTGACATTCTTTGTAATCGTGCTCTAGAACAGCCTTGTGAAACTATTGTTTGAGTCAAGATTAAAACCATTTTCCGATCCATTGTCTTCATAGTCGACATGGATTCCCAAATTAACCAGATCTGATGTGGTTCGGATCCAGATGCCCTCCTCTCTCCTTCTGAGAGTGAGTGGCAGGACATGGTACATAGAGTGGACCACTTGGTGGTGTTAGTGTGTGGTCCACAGCCATTGGTGACAGTCTGAATTATGATCTTTTCTTTCTTTCTTTCTTTCTTTCTTTCTTTCTTTCTTTTTCTTCTTCCCTTCTCTTTTCCCTTCTCTCTCTGCTCCTCTTTCTTCTTCCTCCATCACCCGTTCCCCAACAGTGAGCACTAAATGCTGCTCTTCAATTTGTTCCCTTGGCTGCAGCAATTTTGTTGGAAATTGGCTGGCCCTCTCCTTAGTTCAGGTGATCTCTGGGGATTTGTGTTTTTGTTCTTTGTCATATCCCCTGGTTTCAGAGGGTGATGATTTTTGATACTACCATCAGATTAGGCGAAATCAGCTATTCTGATATGGCTTTTTAGCTGACCCAAGCCAGATCTAATCCACCATATTCCAAGTGGCTCAGGTGATCAGCCCAGATTTTCAGAGTCGGTTCTCCATGCCTGAGCTGCCCTGGAGCAGCCCATTTAGATATATATTTCGCTAATTCTCTGTATGTTACTGAATTTATTCATCTTTGGTTGATACTTGTTACATCCCTACAATTAGCGAATTTCGGAAAGCTGTTGTTGATGTTGCTGGGCACTTCTCTTTACAATTGCTTTGGTTCATAATTGATGAAATTTATCCAAATTCCTTATCTGTCTTCAGATATTGACTGATGATCCACACAACTGACAATCTAAAATGACTCTTTCAAAGTACTCTAGATAAAGACATCCGTGAGAAGAGATCATCTTTGTCTTTTGCTTTAGGACTTGTACACCACCTGCTTAATTGCAAACTAAAGCGAAAGCGTTTTCCATAGTCCAGTGGATATTTTAATATACTACTTTAATGATGACATTTTAATATCCACCTGATGAATTTTCTTTCTTAAATATTCTTGTAGGTGGTCATTACTTGAAAAGTATAGTTGCACTGCTTCAAAGCTCCATCTGAAGCCCAGGAGGTTTAAGACCTTTATTGAAACTTTGGTTAGTTTCTCATTTTTGTCTTTATGTTCTCTGTATTTTTTTCCTTCTTTTTGACTTTTTGTGTTCTTTTTGATAACCTAGTTGATACTGACTTCGATTCTAATTTTGGCTATCAAGGCTCAGCAACTTTTGAAGGACCGTAACAGGACTAGACGAAAACGGCCTTACCAGGGAGAGAATTGTTCTATTCCCATGACAGCAGAGTCTATCTTCAGCAAGCCCCCAGGGCATGATGTCCATATGGTCAAACTTGTTTTTGTTGATAGCCAAAACTCTCCGAAGTTGGGGAATACAAAACTGACCTCCACGAAGCGTGGTGCAAGCGCTGCTGTTAATGTTAGTAAAGGGGAAGTGTCTATCATGAAGACTGTGAATCAAAAACGGCGGGCAGGTAATCAAAAACTGCATTCTCTCTTGTGACGAAAATAATTGATGCATATTTTTGCACATAAATTTTTGATTATATAAACTTATTAAAAATTGTAGTACTTTTTATCTCACTATTATTCATGGTATTATGAACACTGAAGTAGTTTTGCCATGAAAATTTAAACTTTTACAATGTGCCTAAAATACCTTGCTATTTACTTTGCAGTTTGTGGTACTGCATCCTCAGCGTACAAAAAGTGGGAGAAGGCCGCTATTGCAGGGGTTTCCTTGGTTGCTGATGCTGCAGAACATTTGGAGCGAACATCCAATGATAAAAATGGCTCTATCAGTCAAGGAACGTTGGACATGTTGCCTCCAAGCAATTGCACCACAAATGGTAAGTTTACCAATGAATCTAAATGATGCTTGTTACGGATTAATATGTTATTGACTTTGCAGCATTCTGTTATTCAGGCAAAGCGTATGCTGGCTTTTCTGGTGATTTTGCTGAACCTCTAGTGTCTACAATCCCTGAAGGATTATGTTCTCAGCAACCAATTAGTGAAACCAATACGCAATCTCCAATGAAACTGAAGCTCCAATTGTTCCCGATAGACGAAGTCACTCGAAAAGCACTGGAAAGGGTATAACTACTGCGGATCCATCTTTTCTCCCTATTTCCATCCCTACCTTCCTCTCTGCCTTTCTTTATGCCGCATGCTCATACATTATCAAGTATATTTGTGTATATTATTAAAAAGCGAACAGCAGCTTGCGGATAAATAGTGTAAATTTGTGATCGAACCCTTTTTTTTTTTTTCTCTTGTTGTAGACGAAGGTGGGCTACTGTTAGGCTTCCTTTCCAATGGATCACATTTATTTGCCAAGCATTTGTTGTTGAAGTCATGCATGTTTCTTTTGCTTGCGAGTCTCATGTCGGAGTTACATACTATTGTTGGCAATGAAAATCAATGCACGCGTTTGATCAAAACATGTTGTTTGTATGCACTCCAGAAGGGTTGAATTGAGATTTATAACTAACGAATTTTGCATTTTCAATTTCGCCATAGGATGAACGGAATCCCCATCTTGAGCTAACCTTAAGTGCTCGGAAAAGAATATCATCGATTCTTGAGCACTTGAATCGAAAATGGGGAAATTCTAGTATAGCATCTGGGGAGCTCATGCTTTTCCCATACAGCGTCCAGCAGGATAACCTCGCATGTTGTCCAAGATGGACTTTAAAGGATTCTGCTGCTAGTGCCGGAGACGTCTATGCAGTGGTCGGAAGTCCTGCTATTTTTCGACTGAGGTTTCTTCTTCAACCCTGCTAAAATCCGCTCAGTATTCGTATCCTTGCTTTTATTTTTTTTGCTTATGAGTCTTCTTTTTCATCCGTATTTTGTCAAGGTATGGCTGGTTCTCAGGTCCAGAGCATCGGTCTGCAACTGCTCAGCTTCCTTCAAATGTTCACCCTTTGGGTAGTTGTGCTCAGACGAAATACATAGAGGAAGAGGATGCCATTGGGTCTGTGAATAAGGATTTAACAGTCGAGCGTAGTTCGACTGTAACTCAGATGCCCAACCAACCAATCTCTGGTCTGAAATTTAACTCAACGTCAGTAGGAACAGCTGCTTCACCTTCTGATAATATACAGAGATTGGGAGTTGCAGATGGCCTCATGCTGCCCAAGAGTAGAGATGTGGAGCTGTTGCGGCAGAAGGTTGCTTTGCCCAAGCTTAGAGTTACAGATGAGGAAGATGACCGTGCACTTAGAAGGGGTGATGTTGCGTCGATCTCCGCAGGCGAGTGGGCCGACAGTCTAACCAATATAAGCGTGGGGGATTTGTTGTCAGAAGCTTCTAGGGCCACAGATACGTGCCACAATAATTCCGCTTGGTTAGGCGCATCTCTGCAGCACATCTCTCTCAGTTGTGACTCATTTGATGCAGCCATTGCTGGGCTCATATCCCGTCATCAGGATTCACTGAACCACTCTCCCAGAGGAGCTTCACTAGCATCGATCTTGGATGCCGAAGAAACCTGCGATGAGTTCTCTTTTCACAAGGTTCTAGCTGAAGATCAGCCAAACGGAGCCACCGTGCCGCCCAGTGCCTCCTCAGCTGGCTCTTCCAGGCAGATCACTCAGGCAGGTTCGAGTGGGTATCGAGGTTTCATGCAGGTATTATTCTCGTCGGAGCATCGGCATCCTACTTCTCGTGACTGCTTTATTTTCTAGTAGTTCTCATTCTAGCTGCAGAGGGTTGCAGTTCATTCATATGGGGAAAATTCTGTCTTTTCATAGGATTCACTCGCTGCTGTTGAGCATTCGGGCAACCCTCAGAGAGAAGAAGATATGGATTCCGCCGCCCCGTCTGACGACGACGAGTTGACTTCTGACAAGAAGCGCGACTCTGCGAGGAACAGTGAACTAACCGACTTTTTTTGGGTAACTACTTCTCGATGCTGCTTTTTTTTTTTTTTTTTACTGGATTTTCCTCGGCAAGAGTTTGCTTGATTTGATTTGGTCCACCCTCTTCTTGGTTTTGTTTCTCCTCCCGCGCAGCCGGATTCTTTAGGCCCGTTGGACCTTGATGTTCCACCGGCAAGATATCAAGGCCAAGAACTCCTCTTCGGTGATGGCGCCAGCCTGAGCGGTTTGAGCCGCCTGATAGCCAGCAGCCTCGACGCATTCCAGAACTGTTCCTTTTTTGGCTCGGAGAAGAAGGAATCCAGTGCAGCCGGCGAAGCTCAAGAAGCCGCACCCTTTCTCGACCAAAAAGGTGGCTCGGACACTTGATGATGATGATGATGATGATGATGACGACGACCCCCCAAGCAGTGGCGGCGCCCCCAGTTGACTTGACTTTTGTATATGGTCCGTTAGTTGCCGCGGCGGCAGTGGTGGTGGGTCCTCATTTGCAGGTTCCGCCATGGGGGATATTGTAAAGAAGCATTCTAACCCCTCCCCTATACAGGTTGGAAGAGGAGCGAGAGAGAGAGAGAGAGAGAGAGAGAGAGAGAGAGAGACAGGAAGGAATCCCAAGAGGTCTTGGACAGTGGGAGCTTGATTAACATCTGTCCAAATAAGTTGTATTATATCGTCCCGTTTCTGTCCAGAAGCGCTCCTTGAGCCGTTCTCAACAAGCCCTTTTCGGGTTTCATCTCTTTCTTTGTCCTAGGTGATGTCCTAGTAGTTGAAGTGATACTCAGACTTGCCACTTTGGTTAGCAGATGAGGTAAGAATTGGAACAGATCACTCACCGATCTTTCGGGGTTGACATTTTTCTATCCAAGAGTTGACTTTTGGTATGGCGTGGAGATCACCTGTTTTCCTCAATAGAACACAGGAGCCAGCCAGACTGCTCGATTTTGTTGGCACTTTTTTGCCCGCAGAAGAAAATGAACCACGCTCCGGCTTCTATGTGATAGTCAATCTCTCTCTCTCTCCCCTATCCTTAGTCAACCACTTGTTGAAAGCTGGGCTGGGAACCCATTTCCAGGCTTTCGGAAGCTTCAGTCAAGGCCTGGTCCCTTCAACAGTCTTTCCAACGCCAATCACAAAAATGGGTTCGTCGCATTTGCACAAGAGAAGACTCGAGGAAGCTCCTCACAGAGCTCAGAGGCCGCTCGTCCAACGACGTAGGAGGGGAGGGGCGAATATGGTGGACAAGCCTTGGTCAACGATCATCTTTATTGTGGGGCCCTTGGACAAGCTTGCCACTCTGGTAGGTCCCCTTCCCTTTGGCGAGGACCTCCCAGCCGAGTCGATGATGCAACCCTTCCCCAGATCATTGACCCGCTGCCCTGGCTCCAGCTTGAAGGCCTTGTCCTGCCATTGACCCCTCCCAAGAACATCTGCTTCGGACTCCATCCTTGGACAACTTCTAGGTCACAAGCCAAGAGCAAACTATTTTGAGTGACTGCAGCTCAACCCCGCCCTCTCCTTTCTCTCTCTAAAACATAGGGAAAATCATATACATGACCATAACATAGGGAATGATAGACACGATAAAGCAGTCGAAAGTCACTCTCTTTGAGGTACATGATGTAGGTGGGGGTTTACATGGCTTCCATCTCTCAACTTCCTCACAAGAGACGACATAGCTGACTTTGAGCATTCCTTGATGTTGAATCTTCTAGTACACCTGGAAACAACGATTGATCTTCTCTTGAAAAAGAGCTGTGAAAGAGAGATGGAGAAGAAAAGGAGAAAAATAGGCTGCAGCCCTTACTCTTTTTCACATTCTCAATTGGGTTCACCACGTGTGGTTTTTAGTAATAATGTGAACCGGAGTATAGATTGGTCCCATTCATAATAATAACTAAAGTAAAAAATAAAGGGGAAAAATATAAAAATAAAGGATAAAATAAAATAAAAGAAAAGAAGAAAAATTGCATCATTCTTTGACACTCTCCTTCAAGCTGGTAAATGCCATATCATTTATTCTTAACTTGGATATAAGATGATGAAAATCATTGTTGATCAAGCTTTTGATGAAAAATCCGCATTTATTGATGATATCTATGGTATAGGAATCTTGTCTTGTCTAGTTTTCTGATTTGAGTGCGTCCTATATTTCTCTGTTGAAAGTGTCTTCTTGACAATTTTCTAACAGATTTCAGATGTGCAGTATAAGGTTTAGGGTCATTTTGTTACCAATTTTATGTAAGTTTTCAGGCTATCCGAATAAGGGTATTGGGGTAGTGATGTTCCCATTCATCCCATTGTTTATCTGCAGCAGAGTATAATGAGTAGTGTTGATTATTTTTTCAATTTAACTTTCACTGAATTTCACAGCATATCTTATTCCCTCCTCATTCGGATATCTCTGTTGAGAATCTATAAGTTTTCCCAACTTCTGTTGGATGTTTTAGAATTTTAGAAAATAAGCTTCTGATTTTTCTTTTTCTTTTTATGATTTTTCTGTTGTTTTCACTAGAAAATTATTGACTGTCGGTATGTTTACTGTCACAATTCAGATTCTTAATACCTTTGAGATCTGTTAATTAGGATTAAAGTCTTGAAATTTATCAGCTTGGACTAAAGTTATAATACCTTTGTCTGAATTCAAACCTTTAGCTGCAAAATGATGAGAGTATTATCTGTCGGAAGAAATCAACATCAAATTTCTTCCCTAATCAAGGACCTTACATCATTTAAGGTTGGCTCCCTTTCTCAACCAAGAATTTGAGCCTGTATCTGATCAAACTTTGAATTAAGACTTACTAAGTACTTGTATATGTTCTGATACTCTCCATCACATCCCTAATGTATAGTGTCTATAATTGAATCTTTTAAATAGACCATTTATTATTTGATCAAACTGCTATCATAGGGTCATCAATTTATTTGTACACTTCATCACTGATTTTTCTCCTTGTATTAGATTCATAATTTTCAATTTCAATTCATACAACTGAGCCGCATCCCTAATTTTAGAGTAAGTTTGATGAGCATTCTCTCAAATATCTCTGGCTGTGAGAATGTATAAGCACGTTCCTCTAATTTCTATGGGTCATTGTGGTCCATAGCCATGCCCTGATTTTTTTAAAAATCCACCTACTCTCATGGTCTACAGTTGGGATCACTAATTTGTGGACCAAGATTTCATCAAATGACTCATAATAGATCCTCTGCTTTTTAACACAACTCTAACCTGCTGGAACCATCCAAAGCAGTTTCAGCCATTAGATCACGTGTAGAATTACGTGTAATTAATTCTCAGTGTAATAGATTTCAGACTAAAAAGATGATGTAGAAAAGAAAACTTAAACTTTATTCACCAGTACTTACCATTTTCAATCACCAGAGAAAAATAATTCAGAAATAAAATTGACAGTGCGAGAGAAACTCGAACTTGCTTCTGAAATACCCTGACAGGACAAGACCAAACTAGCTGCCAAGAGATTTCTTTGAACAAGTGGGTACTATGCGCCACACACATTGGTGCAAAGAGAGACACAGATTAAGTCCATGCCAATCAACGATACACGAATCAATTGTTCATGTTTGTTGCGACTGGCAAAAGGGAGGAAACAGGAGATCTGACAGAAAATAATAATAATAATAAAATCAGATATATCTCCCTCACTTGAGCGCCAAATCTTGTTCCATGGCTCCAGCAGGGTTGATAGTTGATGTTGAGACTGAATCTGAGAAATATAGGTGGATGGGGAGGCTTCTATGATTAACAAGGTTGGTAATTATAAACCTTAATGGATGCAGATATAATGAAATTCCACTCCCCCCCAACGGAAACCTACATAGAATCTAGCGACGAAGGGTGACTTCTAAATTGCTCTTTCTGGATCAGGAGCCCCCCAAGTTAATCCAAACCTTTTAAATTTCTTTATTATAATTGTATTTGCTATTATTATTGTTTCTCATTCTCTCACTTCAATGGAAACAGGGCAGGGACAATAAATTGAAAAGGGTACACAACAAATCGTCCCCATCTCAAGGGATCTAAGATTTGGACTGAGGAGAGGAAGGAGGGGGGGGTGGGGTGATGGACAAAAAAGAGAAAAAGATGAAGAGGAAAGCATCCAAAACAAAGACTTTGCCTTGCCATTTCTGGTTCCTCCATACAAAGCATGATTTTTACTAACTAATCATTCTTGGGAGCTTGGAATCTGTGTAAAAATGTGTAAATAGATACGTGCCCGAATTAAAGACAGTAATTTTTCAGAAACGCTGCCCCCTGAAAAGACACTTGATCTCGAAATTTACATACAGCAGAACACATAGCAACGAGTGACGATGTTCAACAGCGCAAGCAATCAGGAATCCAGGCTCCTCGAAGAACCGACGGAAGATTCGACACATCTGCACAGGGTGACATAGGTAAAGATGACACTTTTCAAACCACGACATCTGTAGAATGGAAGACGGATCATCAGCCTTGTGCAGGAAATGTCAAGAGCCGGCGTTGGGAAGAGCAGCCATGAATGCAGTGTACGAAGACTCGAGATCGAAGTGGAGCTGACGGGACTGCTGCTCAGTCAGCTCGTCGGCCGCCCCCATCTTCGACAGCCGTAAGATCCAATCCTTGACCTTAACCCTTCCTTCGAAGTCCGGAGGCACGATCCCCCCACCCAACTTCGCCAGAGATCCCGACAGATCTGAGAGCAGGGGATACACCTGATCGACCGCCACCATGTTCAGCTTCAGCGAATCCATGGCGGTGATAAAGTGCTGGACGCACTCGGCGACCACCGCGGCGGAGGATCCCGACGACGAAGAAGACATGGAAGCCGTCCGGTGCTCGACGGTGGCGGGGACGCCGGAGACGATGAGCCGGTTCAGCGCGGCTGGGCAGTCCATCTTATAGGTTTCGGCGAAGCTCTCGACGGAGGGAACGACGTCCCGGAGGAAGGAGGAGAGGTTCTTGAACTGGGTGATCAGCTTGAGGCACTCGGTCTCGTAGTCCCCGGAGGAGACGAGGTCGCGGACGTAGGCTTTCTCCAGCTTCTCCGTCGTCTTGATGATGGCGTACAGCTCCGCGAAGTTCTCGTACATGTCCCGCTCCCTCTTGTCGTTCCACAGCATGACCTCCATGGCGGCGCCGCCCTACCACCCCCCTCGCCCCCTTTCCGCAAGCACCAGGATTAGAGCCGCGAAGATCGATCGCCCCCCGCCGCGCGCAGACAGAAAGCTGGCGCCTGAGATGCCGATCGCCCGACGGGACGGATCTCCCTTCGAGGGCAAGCGACGGGGGAGATGGGGAAGAAAGCGAGTGCCCGTTGACCATGCGACTCTGCCAAGGCCTCCGGATCTCCTCCGCTGTCCCTCTCCGCCCAGGCGATCGGGGCTTCCTCCGTTTACCTTGATTCTTCCCTCTCGTCGGCGTACAGCGAGCAGGCTATTGGCTCGGTCCGCGGGGGCTCTGATCGGCAGGAGCCAACAGCATTGCGTCGTGTGAGAAACCCTTGATCGCAGATTCGTATATATATCTACGCATTTTTGTTTTGTTTTGTTCGGGTGGGCTATCTGCTCTCACCGTCCAGAAGATGTAATTATTATAGAATGCATTTTTTTGCTTCAATATATTAATATCATGCCTTATATTATGCCTCTCCTGCTTCATGTTTCTTGCTGGATTTACGTCGAATAATAATACAATATTTTATGTTCTTGTTGCGATATTTGGGATCCATTGCTCGCAGGTTTTATGGGAAGTCTGTGGATGAGGCTCCACTTGTTCGACCATAACTCAGATGCCCAACCATTCCGTCTCTGGTTTGAGAGTTTAGTCAACGTCGACAGGAACAGCTGCTGCAGTTTCTTCTCCTGATAAAAACCAGAGTAACGATGTGGACGTCAGACTTGCCACTCTGGTGGTCAGGAGTTCGATAGCAGGATGAGGGGAGAATTGTTGGTCAGGATCACTCAACCATCCGGCTGGCTGACTTTTGGTAAGGCGTGGAGATTCTGATGGAGCATAGGATCCCCGGAAGTCAGATCAACCTCCTGATTTTGTTGGCATTGTTTAGCCCATAGAAGAAAATGAACCCCGGTCCGATTTCTATATGGTCAAATCTCTCTCTCTCTCTCTCTCTCTCTCTCTCTCTCTCTCATCTCTAGTCAGCCACAAGCGTCAAAGGCTGGGCTGGGAACCCATTTCCAGGATTTCAGAAGCTCCGGTCAAGCCGTGGTTCTTTCAACACTCTTACAAACGCGAATCATGAAAACAGGTTCATCACATTTGTACAAGAGAAGAATCCGAGTAAGAGCTCCTCACAGAGCATAGAGGTCGCTGGCCCATGCCGCGGGGGGGAGCGGGGCGAATATGGTGGCCAAGCCTTGGTCAACGGTCATCTTGATTGGCAGCCCATACGCCATGGGGTCCTTATGCTTGCCACTCCGGTAGGTCCCACTCCCTCTGGCGAGGACCTCCCCATCCGAGTCGATGATGCCGCCCTTCCCCGGGTCGTTGACCCGCTGCCCTGGCTCCAGCCTGAAGGCTTTGACCTGCCATTGACCCACAAAGGACATATTCTTCAGACTTGATCCTTCAAGAACTTCTTCTGGCTCACATACTGGGGAGCACAATTTTCTGAGTGATCGCCCATGGGTGGCAGCTCACTCTCCCCCCCACTCTCCTTTCTCTCTCTAAAACATAGGGAAGAACATATGATCATGAAATAAAGAATGAGAATGAGAAGAGAGTTGAAGTTGACTCACTTTGAGGTACCTGACGTAGGGGGACTTCACATGGGTTCCGTCGTTCAACTTGGTCAACAGAGACAGCAAAGCCGACTTTGGGCATTCCTTGATTATCAGCACATCGAGATAGCCGTCTGAGAACTGAACCACAAGAGTTGAAGAACATGAGATGATCAAGTGAGAGAATCAGGAACAATAATTTTACACCAAATATAATTAAGAATAGAGAAATTTCCATGTATTTTATGATGCCACCAGATGTCCAGCACAAACATTAAACATTAATAGCCCTTGCCTAACCTTCTATTTTTCATTTTTTATCTTGTATCCATCGTCAACGCTTAAAAATGATGAAAAAAATAGGGTCAACACCAATCACCTCATCTAGATGTTCTTTCTTTGTACAGTCCCCTACTTTTTCATTGGAAGGCCTAATATCTCTGTGATCCTCTTTCCTGATAACGTTCTCAGAAAAAACCATATAATCTCAAGATACTACCTTGGCCTCTGGCGCCGGCATGGCGTCGGCGCTGCCCCAGGGTACGTTGTGCAGCCACACTGCAATGAACGGCCCCTCGACAGATCTCCACTCCGAGCTCTTGAAGGAGATCGTCGGCCCCTGGTATCCTCGGCGCTCCATCCCATCACCGCCATGATCGTGATCATGATCATGATCCCCACACAGAGGCGGCTCAAGCCCTCCGGCGGGTGCTCCGTGGGCTTCGTACCCAGGAGCAGGCACAAAGTGGACCCGCCCATGGTACCTCCGCAGGCTGAGAACGCGCAGAAGGGCCTGAGGAGAGCATGCGAATAGGAGAAACATTTCAGTCAGTCAGTCAGTCAGTCATGGGCCCCAAGAAAGATTCTTCGAAATTATTGTGGGAATGGACGGTGAACTTGCTGGTGCATACATAGAAATCGAGACGGGCGCTCCCCATCCACCTGTATTTCTCGGATTCAATGTCAACGTCAGCTATCAACCCTGGAACGAGGGAGGGTTATCCAGATTAAGATTTGTGACCCGAATGAGTGAGTGAGATATATCTGATTTCTTGTGTAAAAGGAAATCCAGATTAAGATAGCATGCGAGCATTGCTGCCAGGTTATTTGCACCCAAAGGACTGACTGAGCCCATCAGCCAAACTCTCTGCCCGAATATAAAATAATCCATGATTCATGCCCATTTTCCTTCCCATGTGAGAGAGCAAGTGTCGTACCCCAGGTGAGCATAAGAACACTGAAGAACGTGTTGTCTCCCTGCTTCACGGTGGAGACATCCAGTGGCTGTTTGTGACCTGCATCGAGACAGGGGAGGGACACTCCATTAAAAGAGGGAAATCCTCCCATCTCAAGGAATAGGAGGCAAAAAAGAGAGAATGAAGAGGACAGAGATAAACGAGGAGGAGTATAGTTTGGTGATTACCGCAGATGATGGAAAGGATTGCATTGGACGGCGAGCATCTCTCACCGACAGCGTCCAACAGAGATTTCGCCATGCCATTTCCGGTTCCTGCACTCAAATAAGTCGCGGCATGAGGCTCCTGCCTAAGCTCCAGAGCGAGTGAGAAACCGACCCGACTGAAGACTGAAGAGCCCAGAGCCCAAAGGGAATAGAATTTAAATAATATGAACCAAGATATTGGTTCCCAAGTTGATTTTTCACTGCAAGATCTTCTTATACCCTCTACTCTATCTTTCTCCCTCTCTGCTTGTACCCTCTACATTTATTTATTTACTTATTGTTCACGGCTTTTACTACCACCCTGATCTGTTCTACTATCTCTCTTCTACTTCTCATGGCCGTGGCCTTTGCACAGAAATCAGTTGATCAGTTGCAACTTTATCTTTTCTAATTCTTGTTCATGCCTTTCGAATCCATAACATTTACAAAACCAATGATCAGTCAATTGATGAAGGAATACGAATTACGAGTAATTCTAGTGGGCATAAAAACAGCAATTTTTTATACAAAACAAGTTATCAACTCTGGGTGAAAGAATATGAATTACGATAAATTATTTTTATGGGCATAAAAAGAAGCAGATCAAAAATATGATCCACAAGATCTGGAAGGATAACGGACCTCCAGGGACTATCCCAAGGGGCATCTTTATTGCATCCTGCCAATCTCCTCTCTGTAAGAACCCATTGACCACCTGAAATATTTGAAAGACATGGAAGGGGGATCATGACTAGGAGTTGACATTTAACAATCAGAGCTAGAACACCCTTTCTAGGATTTCCATTTTCATACAGGAACATAAGAACCAGATGAGAAGAGAGATCACCGATATATATATATATATATATATGTATATATATTAAAAAAAATTAAATCCCTCGATGTTCTTGATTCTGAAGATAAACTGCAGAATGCACCAGATGAGATGGGCTCACTAACCTCGACGAGGATGCCATCTCCGCTCACGCAGACAATCCCATCCCAGCTCGTGAGATCCAACTTTCTGGCGATTTCCTGAGCGTGGAGCTGATATTGCGTCTCTGTAGGGATCAAAAGCGTAGATCAGATGCCTGGTTCTGGGGAGGTGAGAAAAAAGTTCTGATAAAAGCGAGGACATGGTGAGAAACCTTGCATCACATAGAAGACTCCAGCGGCATCGAGGAGCGGCTTGACCTCATTCTCGAAGATCAGCGGCGCATGTCTCTTTCCACCAAATGGGTTCACGAGGATGAGCAGCCTCTTTGGGCGGCCTGCGACGGAGGTAGAGATAGGAGTGTTCACAATTCGAAATGGGGGATCGCTGTTCGATGCATACCAGTAGGACGCGGAGTGAGTTCACCAGTCGAAGAACCATGAACACATGGAGGTACTGGACAAGAAATGGGGGGGGGGGGGGATAAACCCGCAAGGGATGCTGGGTCGGAGAAGAGATCAGATTTGATGAGCATGGTCCCACACAAGTCTAATGGCAGGGCTCAGAAAATTCGAAGAGATCATATCTTCCGGCAAAGTCAGCGCGCTCGGTAATTACCGAGGGTTTCGATGCACGCCTGCAGCGCCGCCCTCCACGCCTCCGCCGCTTCCTCCGACGCCGCCTCGAGGGAAAAGTCCTTCCTCACCCGGCTCCTCTCACCGCCGCCAGCGCCGCCTCGCTTGGCGGCGCCACCTGCCGCCACAAACGCCTTCACGGTCACTCTCCTTCCCTCCCTCTGCACTCCCAGTACCTCCCTGTCCAGCTCCAGACACCTCTCCCTCCCCTGCCCGCCGACCTCTCTCCACTGCAACCACCCCCCAGCGCACAGCCCCCCGCCCGCCGCCGCCCTCGTCAGCGTCGCCTCCGCCGTCACCCCGTTCACCCGGATCGGCTCCCCCATGGCATGGGAACCTGCAGGCTCCGCCACCCCCACCATCAGCGAGAGAGGGAGAAAGAGGGAGAAAGAGGGAGAGAGAGAGACCGACAGAGACAGAGAGAGCGAGGGTGGAGAGGGAGAAGGGTTCAGCTGGGTGAGGTGAATGCGACGAACGAGACGTGCTGTTATCCTGGGGTCCCCCCTTCCCTTCCCTCAACACGTCGTCGCCCAGGTTCCTTCGCCGCCCGCTGGGGACCCAGTCTGTCTCCCTTGTAAAATCCGGCACCGGTCACAGATGGCCAACCGCCGTCACCGGCAGGCGTCCCCGTCAGCAGACTGCGTGAATGGACTGGTCGGTGGAGGGATCGAGTCGACCAGTCGGAGGTGTACATGCTCGTCACGCCTGCCATAGTTTCTCCATGGCGACGTGGAATCGTACACGCGTCCACACGTAGATCTCCAACGGGGGTTATCCTTTAAAGATGCTCTTCGACAATTTTCAAATATCTGACTTTTCTCTTCACCGTGTTCAAACGTCGTGAAGACTTTTGGAGAAGACTTTTGGAGACCTATAGGCAGCCCTCTCTCTCTCTACCCTCAATTCACAAGGACTAGAGAGAGAGAGAGAGAGAGCGGCAAGCCAAGTTCTGGCCTATTTTCTCTCTCATCAGTTCTCATTAGTCTAGGCTTTTTATAACTCACAATTACTCCTATCTAGGACATCATGACACCATTTACAGGCCAATAATCCTTAATTTTAGGATAATAAAAAATAAAGTAAAAGATTGAGATTATGCCCATGAACAATAAGCCTTGAGAATAGAGCTAATGTGAAAAGTCCTACATCCTCTCTCTCTCTCTCTCTCTCTCTCTTCCTTCTTCCAATCCATCTACTACTTACCACATTGTTGTGTTATTTGAATAGTCTTGTTCTTCCCATGCCAAGTTGTCTCCTAGTACCTTGATATGCGCATGCTTGCACCCGTTTGCACACTTTCACTTTTACGTGCCAACTCATGTTCATTCACATCCTCCTCCTTTAGCCCTCTCTTAGGCTAGGTATAAATTTCCTCAAAATTTTGTCTAAAATTATGTTTTTTACATAGTTCGATTTCATCATGGGTCTGAGCATAGTTTATTCTTTTTCCCTAATATGATTTTGTTGGTGAGCTTTCCCCTTTTCATACAACAACATCCCTCTCAAGATCATAATCTTGTAGTAGTTCTTCACGAAGTATATTCCTTATTGTGTTATCTTAATTATTTTCATTTTAATATGAGGTTATAAGGCAAATCAAGGAGAAGGGTGAAAGGGAAGAGTGAATTGGTATTCTTTGAACTCCTATCTAATTATGGTTTCCTATTAGTTTATACAACAAATAACTATAGTGGTTTCGTGTCTAGTCACATTTCTTAAATTTCACTAACTCTTGTTAGTACAATTTCTGCACACAAAGACTTTAGCTAGTTTCTCACTAAATTTCATGTCTAGTAAACTCAAATGCTTCCCAAAGTATTTCTTCTACATTCTAGATCAATGACATTAGGTTGGTGAGAGTACCACAATTAATCTAATAAAATAAGTATAAAAATATATTCACTTTTTGATATGAATTTTTGGTGAATGATGTGGAAGCTTATTTTGAAGAGGAGGTGATTAAATATTTTAGAGAATCTGTGAAAATATAGTTCTTGATTCATTTTGTGGGGCAATGGAGATGTTACTCCCTATAAAGAGTAATTTTATCTTGATTTTTTGGTCTATAGTTGGCAAAAGAAACTTATAAATGGCAACATTAATCATTAATTGTACTCTCTCAATGTCTAGTTGTGGATATTAAAATACCTTATCTTTTTCATATCCTTTTTCAGATAGTTAGTGGCCCTAACTTCTCTCCAAAAACAAGTTGACTCCTAGGGGTCAATTCACTTCCATCAAATAAATGCTAGAAATCTTGCAAATAAGAAGCATTGAAAAAACTAAAGGAGTTACCCAATGTTAGATGAGAATATTGCAATACATTTAAGAATTATTTAAATATTAAAAAAATACAACATAAAATCATTGCTTGACCCTTGTATGCCTTTTTCTCATTGATGAGATTGTTCTTACTAAGAGCAGTGACTTACTACCATGAGTGCTAACTTGTCATGGTGAGTTTTGAGTTATTTTTTCTACAAAGTGAATGCACTCACTTCCATGGTTATTGATAGTTTTAAGAGTTCTTCATGCAAGATGAGTAGACTCACTTACTCTATAGTACTAAGTTTATTATTTTTCATATCAAGTGAGTCCACTTCATACAAGTGAATAAACAAAAACCAAGAAACAGTAAAACTCAAATGAGTATCATATGTAGGGCTCTTAAGGGGTGGCACTATATCAAGCTAGGGGGTTGAATTAACTTTCTTTTCTTTTTATATAGTTCTATTTTTAGGAATAATAATCATCATCATATTCATAACAACTTTATTATTTGGCATATTAAGTGAGTCCACTTCATACAAGTGAATAAACAAAAATAAGAAATAGTAAAATTAAAATGAGTGTGGGATGTTGGCCTCTAAAGCGGTGGCAGTATATCAAGAAAGAGGGTTAATTTTTTTTCTCTTTCTTTTCTTCTATTTTTAGGAATAATCATCATCATATTCAGTGTAAATTTGCAGTGGTTTGGTTCCCTTAATCCACATACACTTTATATGGACTTCACCCATTGGTTTCACTAAATCCTTAATACAAATACATTGAACTTCATACTCAGCAACATACTAGATTTCATAATTTTAACAGGGATAAGTTTTTCCAAATTCTCTTTTATATTACACAAGAAACTTCCCACTTCTCTCTTTTGAATTTCATAGCTCTAAGAGGTCAAATCAATGACTCGTCTCCTTCTATGTTCTATGATTCTAGACAAGTTCTTTATTTCATGAGGCTAAACGTGAGAACAGGTTCTTCTATGTTCCATGAGGCCAAACTAGAAAAGTTCGTTATTCCTCTCTTCTTAGATTTTAGGTTATAATGAAATCCTTTCTCCAAAAAAAATATGGAAATAAGATAAAAAGAGATTACCCAATGGCAAAAGTTTCCCTTTATGTTTGGTTGAAATCATTGAGACTTGGAAGATCAAAATCATTCTTTTTCTTCTTCTCTTTGTTATGAAAATCACGAGCAGCAGTATGTGAATGAGATGATTTCTTCTCTTTTCTCTTCTAGTTTATCTCTTCTTCTTCAGTGCTTCTTCTTCTCTTCATGATTTTCTTATTTTGGTGAGAATAGGAACGCTGGTTGTCATCCTTCTTCTTCCTTTTCAGCAAGAATTAGAATAATTTTTTATTGTCGTTCTCCTCCTTTTTTGACGAAAATCCATGAGATTTTTCATCCTCAAACTCCTATTTCCGGCTAAGAATCGTGATTTTTTTGGAACTTGACAGAGGAAAACCATAGATGAATGAGGTGGAGAATAGACGTAAGATTGTGACAAGAGAGTGAAAGCATTTAATATAACGAGAGAGAGTGATAAGTCTTCATTATCATGAGTTAATAATTAGTAAATAATATAGTTTTAGCCTTAACTCATGATAAATAGACTTATATTTGTGTTAAAGCATGAAAAGTGGTTTTCAGTTGATTAACATGAATTTTTGGGTAATTATGTGATTTTCTACGATTTTTACAGTCTTAGTTTTGAGATAAATGAAGAACAAGAAATAAAAATAAAAATATTGCAAAATGGGGGGACCCGCCGGCCAGCCGGGCCCGCAAGCGGGTCGGAAGCGCAGTCGGGGAGTAGCCACGAGCAGGGGCTCGAGCGGCTTGCTTGGATCGATAGGGGCACGTGTGCGCCACTCCCCTTCCACATCACCGGTGGCCAGCCGGTTGTGGGGCAAGGAGTGGTCGTACACGCGAGAGGACTTTGCCTAGAAAGCTAACTTTACTATATATTCGCCCGAATAATCCGCGCACAACCGATGTGGGACTAAACCCGCGTCACACCTTGCTCAGGGGCGGGCGACCGCCGCGGGTTCGAATCCTCCCAGAGTCAAAATTCATATATTTTTAACTGATTATCGCGACTTTCCTGCAGATCGCCGGTGAAGGATTAAGCAACCGGAATCGCTGGATCATTGGCGAAAGTCTCGTCAACGCGATTCGCGGAGCATTGCTACTAAAATTGCTGAACGATTCGCGATAAAAGGATCGCAATCCATCGAGTAAATGATCTCCGATTGATCGACGAACAAGCCGTCGTCGGGAAGAGGACGATCCGCCGGGAGACAAGTCGCCACCTCCTGAGAGCGTACCAGATGCGATGAAGAGCCTCCCCTTGCTGCGGGGACCTGAGGATGAAGCTCCCTGACACACGCCCCACCTCCATCCAGCTCCTCTCCGTCGGGTGACAGCCACCGGAGAGCCGCAAAGTCGCCGTTTTTCCGCTCCGTCGGGTGACAGCCGCCGGAGACGACTCGACGACCCACTTCATTGATCTCTAGACTTCGCGAGAAGATCTAGAGATTGCCCACGTCGTCTTTGTCCAAGGAGAGCCTTCGAGGCCGTGGACACTGCACGACGATCCTCCCGAACGCTCAGGATTCCGGTGCATCGCCGACGCATCGCCGTCGCGACGCCGGAACTCTGTTTTCCTGCTTTCAATTTACTTTACGCTTCATTTAGTGATACTTTGTGTGATTTTAATTTACCAAACTATACTTCGTTCAATTACGATTCTTCCGGCTTTTACAGATCTTAATTTGATTAATTAAATCGTCTGTAATCGCTTACGTAAGAATCGCCGGGCGGAACTCTGTTTCCGCCCGATTCGTGTTCGCCGGGCGCTGACGTCATCCTGTCGTCCGCACCCTTATTTCCTCTTTTTTTTTCGTGAATTTTAAATATATTTCCTTTTCATTTCCTAGTATAAAATTCATAGAAAATCGTATTCATTGAGAAAAACTCTGAATAATTACAAAATATTATATTACATCCCTGTGATCGACCTGGGAAATTACCGCTATTTTTGGAACTTTTATTGAATTATAATTGATATATTTATTTATAA